GCGCGCTCCCTCAAAAGTATTAATGTCGTTAGCCTGAAAATCATTTCCAAACCCATTAGATAGAATTAGATGACTAAATTCCACTTCCAGTAATTTATTCTCACAACTGTTAAACCGCACACTCGTAGTAGACGAAAAACGTTGGTTTGACATAAGAAATAGGCAATTATAGTCTCGTGGGGGATGATTTATCTGTTTTTAGATATAATATGTACAACGACTGTTTGGTATTAAAGTATTAAGGATTGGATATTCATCACACGTTGCCTGTAGTACTACAAATTCATGCACTAAGTCCAAATGTAGCATAATATAAGGTTTGGTGAAAGGGCTGGTTTTGATTCGCTAACAGCTGATATTTCTGAAGAAAGCTTTAGCTCTTTAGCCTTTCAGACTGTTGAAATGTCGGGCATGTTATACCTGCTAGTACTACAGCAGTGGCGTGCATTGCACATAGTTTCCCTTCTCAGACCTGTATAATTTAAGAAGACATGAGAGTTAGTACACAAGGGTCGTTGTAACAATTTATATTAATTATAGCTCTGATCACGTGAGTCCTGATCACGTGACTTTTACAACGACCCTGACCTAGCCTACTCCTTCAACTCTAACACGTCCATGGCCCATATGGTTCAAAATGTACATGACTAAAGTCTAAATGGGCTGGTGTACAACAAAAAGGTGCTAGTTTATCATTGTAGTTTGTACAATGTTCAAGGTAATTACTGGTCGTTAGTGATCACGGTCTCTGATCTACATCCACTCTACTCTACTCTAAATCTGTAATTACCAACTAGGGTTACAGCTGGTATGCTGGTTAGATACTCCTTTATAAACAATTTACATGGGAGACGGGAATCCGAGATATGGATGCCTGGAGTAGGTTAATCATGCATATATTGATACAGACTAGAATAGCTGTGCACTGAATGACTGTTGTCTATTATAAACGTTTACATTCAGAACAGAGTCACTCAATTAGTTGAGCTCTACTGCTATAAGGTAACTAATATAATGGTTACTGACTATGGTAAGTTGTAACTGACTATGGTAAATAAGGTAACAATAGCGGTAACAGAAGTTTACCACCCGTTAGAACGGGTGGAGACAATAATATGAGTTCCTGGGTTTCGTCCACTTTGCAAATTGATGCAGACTAAATAAATGTACAGTGTATACAGACCCACCTTCTCTACAGTCTACATACATACATGTTACATGGCGAGATCTCCATCCAAAAGGATTAGTCTGCGTCGACTGCGTCATTACTTTGTATTATACAACTTCGGCGGGTAACATTTCTCCATCCCTTTCGGTCTGCAGCTAATCTTCTCATACAATCAATCGTGAGTCCATTCCGATCCAATCTCTGCTCAGCATCCTCAATAAATACATCATTTAAGCTCTTCCTAGGCCTGCCTCTTGATCTCTTCCCATGCTTGGGTTTCCATTCAAGTAAATAGTTGGGTAACCGATCTTCAGGCATTCTACTGACATGTCCAAACCAACGCAGCCGTTTTGTTGTTATTATGTCAGCAAGAGCAGTTATTGATGCCCTTCTTAAAACATCCTCATTACTTACTCGATGGAACCACCTCACTCTCAGGATTCTTCTTAAGCAGTATTGATGGAAAGACTCCAATCTTCTTGTCTGCACTTGAGTCGTGTTCCATATCTCACATCCATAGGTCAGAATGGTAAGAACAGCTGCGATGTAGATTCGCACTTTGTTGTTAATGCTTATGTTCTTATTCTTCCAAATGTTGTTGAGTTGGTTAAAAGCTCCAGTTGCTTTTCCAATCCTGACACTTATTTCTTTATCAATCTTGCCATCTGATGTAATTTTGGCACCCAAATAAGTGAATTGAGTGACCTGCTTTGCAGAGTTTCCATCGACAGTTATATCTATGGTCCTATTCTCTGGGAGTGGGTGCTGCGATGTATCTTTCCCAATGACCATGATCTCTGTTTTCTTTGCGTTCATCTTTAAACCCCCGAGCCCACAGTATTTCGCAATATTGTCCGTAGTTTCTTGCAGTCCTTCAACAGTGTCATCCATTCCTGCGATGTCATCAGCATAGTCCAGATCAATGACACATTTTTCCGGTTGTCTGGAACTTTGTCTGTACTGAAGAGTAAAACCACGGAATATACATGAGTCTCAATAATATGTCTACTTTATCTGCCTCTTTGTCTATATATCTCACTGTCTATAGTAATATAGTTTTAAACTAATTACAACACTACAAATCTATTACATTTATTGAGAATTATGTAATGTAACGTGATGGAAATATTTTAAACGGGCATATCCTGTCCAAACCGGCAAACCCAGGATGTACTACATGAAGAATTCGTTGTAACTTTGTTTGAAAAGCATTAATACATCTCCTTATAATTATAGTCCCTCAGCTGAAGGAAAAGACTGAATGGCCTGAGCCTGTTAATATAACTTATAATATAACTTTAAAGCTGAGCCTGTTAACTTTAAACGCCAGAACTAAAGCTGCCTAATTCAGTCTTTCACTCTACGCATACCATTTAGATGTAAGGAATATTGCTGAACGAGCTCTAACTAGTTTGTAAAGTAAAGGTCGGGCCTACTTTCTGGCCCACAATTCAATAACGATTATATTACTTGTATTAGTAGGCCTCCTTTCTGACTTAAAGCGTAGCCAATGCGTTATGCAAGTCTTTTATCTAGCATAAAAATAGCCGGATCAGTAAATCACTATCAAAAAGCATCACATACAGCAGAAGCCAGAAAAGAGTAAGAACCAGATAAGATAATTTAATGTAGTAATCTGGGCAGAACAGAAATGTCCCAGCACTGGTTGTTTCACTTTTCGATGACTTAATTCAGCTAACTAAAATTATATATATCATATATAATTTTTGTTTTTGGTTTTAAGAGAAACGATGTAAGATATTTAAGCATAATATATATATAATACATCTTTTCTCTTAAAAACAAAAAAGTCAACTCTAAGCCTTCTTAGTCTCCCTTCAAATAAATTACCAGATTGTACTGCAAAAGACAGGTCGCTAGTTGAGCAGGAGAGTTCTCTCACTACATAATTAGAGCAGCAACTAATTATAATTAGAGCAGCAACTAATTATAATTAACGGCTCACTGTCCTACTTTATCATGACTACAACACCTGAAACTGGCCGCCTTGTAATGAGTTGTAACATGGTAAAACGAAGCTAATGTTAAATCTCATGTCTAACGTTACTATTGTTTAATGTCAGACACGTAGAAAGAAGCTTGTGTTTCAATACATATTGTCGTGTGGACGTGTGTTTAGTGTTGCTACAAGGAACAGCTGGCACTAGCAGCTTGTTCAGGCTTGTAGAGGTGGTTGATACAAGGAACAGCTGGCACTATACTAGCAGCTTGTTCAGGCTTGTAGAGGTGGTTGATACAAGGAACAGCTGGCACTAGCAGCTTGTTCAGGCTTGTAGAGGTGGTTGATACAAGGAACAGCTGGCACTAGCAGCTTGTTCAGGCTTGTAGAGGTGGTTGATACAAGGAACAGCTGGCACTAGCAGCTTGTTCAGGCTTGTAGAGGTGGTTGCTACAAGGAACAGTTGGCACTAGCAGCTTGTTCAGGCTTGTAGAGGTGGTTGGTACAAGCTTTACCATCTCATTACAGCTTGTTCAGGCTTGTAGAGGTGGTTGGTACAAGCTTTACCATTTCATTACAGCTTGTTCAGGCTTGTAAAGGTGGTTGGTACAAGCTTTACCATCTCATTACAGCTAGTTCAGGCTTGTAGAGGTGGTTTGTACAAGCTTTACCATCTCATTACAGCTTGTTCAGGCTTGTAGAGGTGGTTGGTACAAGCTTTACCATTTCATTAGAACTAATATCCAGTTAAACGGTTTTGTTGTGTTTCCAGTTTCCACAATCTGCGTTGGTTAACCTAATAATAACCTGCAAACACTGCACTAATATATCCCAGACAACACAACGGGTGTGTATTACATGAAGCCAAGTAAGTAAGGGAAACTCACACTCCACCGTTTTGAGTATTGTGCAAAACCGGAGAGAGAATGCATATGTGTGTGGCCTCCCCCTGTGGTGAACCGGAGAGAGAATGCAGATGTGTGTGTGGCCTCCCCCTGTGGTGAAGTAAAGTTCACTAGTAAACGGAGTGTCAGGTCGTCTGGAGCGTTTTACCATGATATACCGATCTCAACACACACTCACGGAGTGTGTTCGAGAGCGGTTCAGCAATCAGCGGTATGTCTTGGTAGACGGCGTGAGAATAATATTTCCTTTAGTCGAGGAAACTGTGTTAAATGCTTTTAACATGATGTGCTTGTAAGCGGAATGCACGAACGGGATTGATTTTAGAAAGTAACATGATGGAATTTAAAATCTGTTTTGGAATCATATCAACAAGTGTACATGTTAGCTGACTTTCTTGTTTAATACGTGTTAAAATATGCAGACTGTTTGTTGATCACGTACATTAGAGAATTCATTAACCAATAGAGTCTGGAACCCATATAAATACAGATTATCAGCCGTGATAAGAACTCACCCGGTTACTGTGATAAACCTGGTCAGGTGATCCATTATTGTTTCAGGATAAAGAATGTTTACACAAGAAAGATCAAATTTTCATAGAGAACTAGGAAATGGTGCCAAGTACTCTCTGTTTAGTATGAAGTATTGAAGTATCCAACAATTTTTGTACGTATATATGTGTGTTCACGAAACAAGCTATGTTGTGGCGCTTATTTTTTTGTAAATAAACAAAAACAAAAAATGTTGTAATTCTGTGATGTGCCTAGAGATTGTATTATGTAATAACTTTAGTCCACATAATTTACAAACTTTCAGAACAGTTGAAAACTTATTTATATAAATATATAATGAAGCTGTATGAAAGCGTTGATTAATTCTATATTTTGAACTTGAAGTCACTTTCATAGCCAGGGTCATATCTAGATGTCTGTTAATTAATCATTTAAAAATATCTCTAAAACATACCTTTAGGATATTCAATATGAGTAAAAGTTACGGGAACCCATATCTCCTTGTCCATTTTACATCTGCTGTACTGAATGAAGTTATGATTATCGATCGAGCGTGTATAATGATGCTAAATAATTAATGAAATTATAATTTAATTAGGTAGGAGCACATCAGGATGTAGTAATAATTTGATCAAAATTTGATTATCAAACATCGAATTGACACAATAATTGATTTAGCTGCACGAATATAGCGATATAGCGATTAGCATTGCAATTAACAACTAATTGCTTTATTAAATGAGAGATGAGTGCACGAGCACATCGAGACAGCCTTCAACAAAAATTTGGGAGATTTGAATTATCAATTATTTAGATTTATCTAACCTGATCTAGGAGTGGTGCAATGCAACGAATCAACGATCCTGATTTTAAATTTTACATTTATTGCTATTAAAAAAATAATTTTACCATGGTGAATGCAAATATATAATAAGCATTTTTATTATATATTGTTATAATTTCTAGCTCAAATGCTATGGTTAGCTTCAGACATAATGTTAAATTTGTAGCATTATGACTCTCCAGATAGTACAAAAGCTAGCATAATTTTATTATTATTTCTTTATTTGCGGTTAATTGTGCAACAAAGAAGTTTACTTTCGATTTTATTACCGTGGAGATAAAATACTAGTTGGTTTGAATATATTATTCTATAACATCATGGGCTTAAAATTTGAACTCAATAAAAATGTCTGAGTTTCCGCAACAAACATAATAAGTTAGGTTACCCCAAAAATATGTGAATATTCTGACCACTGAAAAACTGCAATAAATAATCTGATAAAGAAAGAAAATAATGTGTCCCATTGATGTTTGGTATACATTCTGACCACTGAAAAAAATTTGCAATAAATAATTAATAATCAAAGCAAAAGCATGTACCCCCATTGATAAATTAAAAAAACATTCTTCTGTATCCCATAAATATTTTCGGAATGAAAGCCAACAAAATAAATATTAGTTATAAGAAGAAAAACAAATTTTTGCCCACTTTCACCCAAAATGTTTATTAAAAAGTTTCCCACAACGACTAAACCCTCTTCACATAGAGTTATCATAGTAAAGCACCATCCTTGCCATGTGCGCATCACCCCAATGCCATCCACCCCAGTAAATCTGGCCCTCTTTAAACTCCGGAGCACCCTGCGTCCACGCTATCTCCATATTTACTCCGTGCTCTTCGTCTTCGTTAAACATCTCAACCACAAAGTGCATCCTCTCTGGCTTCAAGTACTGAGCGTGGAAGTGCATGTTGTTGGCTGTGTAAGGTCCTTGTTCTTGCATGACCTGTATGTTAAACTTCTTCTCTCCGTCCCTGCTGAGTGAGCATACTTTGACCAGGGTACCACAGTGAGTTGAGAGAACCACACAGTTGGTTGTCCTCGGGCGAGGGAAGGGGAACTTGTAGAATCTTTCTTCCAGGAGGAATCGTTTGGGAGTGGTGGTCTGTTTGCTGATAATGATGGTGTGGTTTTGGTTGGAAATCAGTTCAGTGCATTTCTGTAACATGGCCAGTTTTTCTGGACTATCGTTGAGCCAGTAAAGGCTGTTGAGAAAGCTCGCCGGGATCCTGCTCCAACCTCGGTCATGGATACATTCCGTAACTTTTTGGAGCGTTGTCCCAGTGAACTTGTCCCAGGCACCAAACATGTCGATTGCTTCTAGTAGCATGAAAAGGTTTTTAACCTCAGAGGAAAGGGCAAGAATGTTGACAAAATTCTTGAGAGGCATGTCTTCAAATATCTCATAACACTGAAAAAGGTGGTGTTTAGAGGGGATGAGCTCTAGTTCGGTTTTTGTACCGACCCCTTTCAGGGTTTTTACAGATCTTGCAGAGTTAGAAACAGACTTTGATTTGATGATGGGATCCTGTGGATGTCTTTTTTTGTACTCCTTCAATGTCTCCGAGTTTAGTCCGTGAATTATTCGTTTATCCTGCCGAGTAATGTTCTTTAACTTTCTAAGAAGGAAATCTATAAGTGCCTCATATCCTTGACGGTCAATTTCCATTGATTTAACCAGGTCAACTTGCCGTAAAACCGACCTCGAGGTGTCATCAAATGCTTGACTTTCCGTAAGGTTTCTGTAGACAACCCTCAGGAATACTTGGTACTCAGGAGGGTTGATAGACACCAGTAAATTTATCTGTCCCATCGTGAGCTTCTGATAGTCCATGTTCATGTACCGGCCAATAAAATCAGATATCTTATGACCGGTAGAAGTTATCTTATCGAGAATTTGCTTCAGATAAACGGGATCCATAATGTGCAACTTAATGTGGCAAGCTTCTTCAAACAAAATGAACATGTCATCTGTGAAGGTGTTTTTGAGGGAATCCAGCATTTCGTTGAAATAGTTGTGACAGTGCAGGATAAGCCATGCGACCTTGTAGTTGCTTGACAACTTGCTGAAGCCCTTCAGAAGACCTTTTTCCAGCTTGATATTACCAGTATAGAGAGCTTCAATGAACTTCCGTACTGTCGCTCCGTCATACTCTTTCATATCAAGAGTATTTGTTTCTTGAGTTCTGAAGATTTCCAGAAAGAAAGGGCTGTTGTAGGAGAGTATCAGAGAGTTAGCCAGGATTTCAGGGTATCCGGACAGTTGAATGGTGATATTCCCGTGAATAGGACAGTCCAGGTTTTCGATCCCAAAATCAGCGGGAACAATGATTGTGGTAGCCATTGCTCTGAAACAGGTGCGCTGAACATTATTGTTAGAAAATGGCCTTTATCTTGTTGGAAATAATTGCACTAAGAAGTTTAGCAAGCTCTCGTGCACAGTGCAGATAGATTACAATTGGAAAATAGTGAGTGGCTTTTGTACTGTTCGTCTATTCTAACAATCGTCTATTCTAATTAATAACCAGTTCAATAGCAAAAGTTATTGAAAATGTATAGTACAGTACAACCATTACGTGCGTTACTGCTTTACTGTTAGAGGCGTGTCTTATTTAAAGAGTTTTCAATTTCATTCCAAGCGAGCTGTGTAAATGTTTCAATGTTGCGAAACTGAGAAAATAAGCTAATGACTTGTAAAGTCGTTGACTACTGGTTAATTTGCCTGTAAAACTCTAAACTCATGGCAGTGATTACATATTATGCTGAGACAGCCCGCTCATTATACAATTTAATATGACGAGGTATAGTACATATTCTGTGGAGCACAAAAATATTAATCGTACAAAAATATTATTCGTACAAAACACGAACAAGATTAGCGGATAAGAAACAGAATTGTAAGCTCAACGTCAAGGGCAAAGTAGGAAAATATAGAAAGTGGCAGGTAACAATATGCAAGGACGGGTAAATGAGTAATAAGTAATGCACTGCATGAAACATCAGTAATGCTGGAGCTCAGTGCCCATCGGGGATCCTAGCAACCAATCAGAGATAGCTATAGTGATCACGTGGGCACAAACCGACCAATAAGGACGCAGCAAGAGTATCTGTGTAACATATCACTATCTCTGCAGTGTTGTAAAGTGTGGAAGGTTACGGGGCTTCACTCACCGAGTATCACAGCATACACGGGTAGAAAGATGTGTGAGTGTAGAAAGATGTGTGAGTGTTTAAAAAACAGTATGTGTCAAAATAGCTGCAAAAGTAAATCTTTAAAAAATCGATCGCAATATTCTAATAACGACACATTTCAAGAAACTTTAAAAAGCGGACATTACTTTACAAATTTGATGAGTACTGAACCAGAATCCTTATCTCCACGGTAATTTATATTTCATGTCATGTTCCGCCCTAGGGGTTCAAATTACATCTCCAAGGATGAGGAATGTAATCTAATTAGGTTAATTTGGGGTTGTATTATAATATGTGGATATTAATGTCATAAGAAACGAATGATACAACAAATTATGAAAACTATACTAATATCATAATTCCATTTCAATTTAGACGATCATTAATTATTCCTGTATATTGTAGAGCAACGCTGATCAATTCAAAGTTTCACCCAAAAATTGTACCACGTTCAACCCAAAAAAGGAAACTTCATTTCATGTTATTATAACATAAATTAATCTATTACACCCTGGATAATAAGGTCATATTTGAATTAAGCATGCGTGATCTATAAAATAAATCTACAATTTATTCAACCTTATCTTTGACTATAGATCATCTTGTCAGATTGTGCATTTTATGGTTATAAAATAGGAAGACTGGTAAAATTTTCGTAAGTAAGATAATCATTTAAATAACATTACCCTTAAAGTTCTTTGATCTTAAATTTAAGGCCATTAATAAGTAATTTAAAATGGGCTGATTAATCAATTTTCCTCATCACAATACATACGGTCAACTAAAACGCGGAAACGATTAGCTCTTAAATATTTACAACAATCTACAAAATGCAACTATTATGGTATAAAATATTATTCATTCATAAGACTTGCTGTTACAATAAAAACTGACCGTGATACTTCGGCTACTTAACTGGCCACTTAACTGGTCGTCAACTGACCGTTTGAATATTCTAGGATCTTGATAAGATTATCAGTATCAAGTATAAAATAACTTTTGTTCGTACATCAAATATTCAGCCGATATTTCGATTCAATTTAAATAGTTAATGCAACCTCGTAGTCATAATTATAGCATTTAATTATATACTTGATCTTTCGGCCTTAAAGGATCATTCTTACATTCCAGTAAATTTGACCAAACTGCTTTCCCAGGAAATGTTTTAACGTATAAAGTAGATCAAACAAGACTTACTTCACCGTCACCTAGAACAACTTAAAAATAATTTCTCAGTTCCCTGTTGCTCCAACATCACAATATTCAGATCCCACGTGATAGTATCCAAGTAAACATACACCCATTAAGTTCAACCCACAGTGTACATCTATGTAAAACCTGCCATTACACATGTTTTTCTTTAGCCGATAACAATGCCCCAACGTTGTCCAACTGTCGCAGATTATCCTCAACTTCCTTTATCTGGCTAGCAATGGCAGAATATCTCTCAGTGTCAAGCCCTCGTCTTCGGGCGATCTTGTGGAAACTCCTCAGGTTCCATCGATCCCTGGCAACTTCAAACGTGTAGTCAGATTTTACACAGACGAAGTAACAGAACATGATAATTGAAGTGCCGTATGTGACAAAGTATGTTACAGGTTCCATGATATCCCATGAGTAGTCCCACCAAACCAGACGTGCCAAGAAACCAAATTGGAAGCCCATGGAAAAGAGACCACCCCAAACAACAGCATTTGTTCGGAACTGGGATTTGGATAGCAGAGTCTGCGGATAAGGGTAATTGTTAGTCTGTTATAGTCTACAGTTTTTAAGAAATACTGCGTTAAGATAGGTTCAAGGCAAATTTTAACTCTGGTGGAACGTCTTTATGAAATTGTGAACATGAATCGTCAACAATAACAGAATACAGTTTTTTTAATTAAATTCAATGGAAACTTAAATATACTATAAATGTTACTTACAAGACGTTTTTCCTCCAAAGGACTAAACTCTGTCTGCAAAGAATCCAACTTGTTTCTTAGGTTTTCTTGGATCGCAATTTTGTTTTCAACCACTTCCAACGACCCAGCAAGATCCTGAAAAATACATTTACTGAGAATAGACCTCCAATAACACCAGCTTTTCGATGATTTTAGTTTAAACATTGAGTTGATGAAATATCTGCACAATATAACAGGAGCCTAGCCTGTACCATCTTTCCGATTAATCGATGATGGAACTATACCAATTTAGATTGTTAAATGTACACTGCATTATTATAATCATTAATGCGAAGCCCATAATTTTTTGCCAGCCCACCAAAAGATAATGTTCACTTTCAAACTTGGCATTTTATTTTCTTGATTTACACATAAATTTAAGCATAATATAGTGTAGAGTTTCTGTCACAACAAGACTGCAATCCTTAGAAACAACACGTTATTTCTCCCAACAATTTGTATCTGATCCAATTAAGAGCCGTGTCTCCAATAACTCATCTGGACTAATGTTTCGGTGTGTGCTAAAGCTTTCAGGCCTGCACATTCCTTGCCCCGTTAGTTGCCTGTCCGTTTTCAACCCAATTAGCAGTCAAGGACAGAAAGTCATACACCAAATGAGCATTATATTTTTATTACATTAAAAATTGCTAAAATTAAATTTCTTGTTTCATTGAAAATTTATTGTTTCATTGACTAACAAAATGTATATGCCATTACCTTTATTTTATCACGAACTTCATCAGCATCAGCTTGAAGGATGTTCACAGGACCTATATTCAGTGAATCTGCTTTTAAATTCTCATCCAGGACTTGAAGTGTAAACCCATTTTGAAGAAGGAAGGTTAAGGGTGTGCTTTTGGAGAAAATGATACCTGAAAGATAATCAAATGAGATAATATTAAGTTGAGAGATTTAAGATAACAGACATAATATAATGATATAGGCTAGACTCTTTAAAGGCTAACAAGATATCAAATATAATGCAACGAGAAATTTGTGTCACAGAATTTAATAAATTTGCTGTTGTATGATAGATATTACATACCTTCAGAACTAACAGCTTCAACAGCCTGAACTGATGGATCTTCTGCAATGATAGCATTTTGAAGATCCTTCAATGACCTTAGATGTTGAGACAGAACAAAAGTCTTGCATCTTCAAGTTGTGGAAGTTTGATTGATAAAAAAGGTGTTGTTGTTGCCGAGAATTGCCTCAGGAGGAATTTGGCCCCAAACTTATGTTGTTGTCTCACCAGCCGTGAAGCCAGCATTTTTAAGGAGTTACTCTTCTTGCTTCGACTGTGCAGCTCCTTGCTAATGGAGTTAGATAATTATTGTATTGCTTCATATATTTATATCTTATGGACTTGGTTACTAGTGAGTAGGTAAGCTTTTACTTTTCTTCAAGTAGTCATTCACTAGACACAGAGTAAATAGACTTATATCCCAGGGTCAAGATGCAAAATTACCAATGTTACTGTACAAATTGTTATCAAATAATTAAAAAACGAGCCCTTGCAAATGCAAGGATCTACTCCTTAACACCAGTATACTATAAAAGCCCAGACTTCCACTCGAATACTGGCTGGTAAATGATGTTATGGGGCCACAGAATACATTTTTGTAGAAATACTTATGACTATGTGTAATGATGTTTGTATCATTATTATTTGATTTGATTAAGTGTTATAATGAGCTTTCACTGACGAAGAGTTAGAAATTGACAAGTCATTACTGGTATTAATAAGCTAATTACAAATCTATTACATTTACTGAGGTGATGTACTTCTTTGGATGGAAAGCAAAGGCCAAAACTAGTCGAGTTGCAAGCATTTCAACTCAAAATATGTCGTTTCATGTCCTTTAAATTCGCATCACTGGTGTAATTTAATTATGATTACGACTTATTATTTCATTGAAATAATAAGTAGTACACTCATTGCACTAAGAGGAATCAGAGGAAGATCAACGGCCCAGCATCTTGAACTGCATGACATCTCCTTCAACCTCATCCCCCAGAAGACGAGCTTTGAGGTCTCCTAGATTTGTTTATGTAAATTTTGATATTTTACTGTACCATTTATGTTGTATATAATTTTACGGACGAAATGATCCCAGGGGGGACTCCCAACCCACCGCTTCGGCAGGTAGTTGACGCACCTTTCACAAGCAAGAGCCACTTTGGTCTACTTGCTGTGAGGTGTCTCAGCTACATGGGTTGGGGGTCCCCCTTTTTTTTATTCTTTTTTAAAAAATTATTTCATTGAATAGAAGTAATTATCATTTTTGTATCCATATTGGCCCTAAATTATAGAATGAGCTGCCTTTCGATAACACTAACTTTAATTATTCTTTCGGTGGTTTTAATTTAGAAACCTCAGAACAGGAAAAGTATTTGGGTGGTTTCATGTAAAACATGTGTCACTGAAATAAAATCAGCAGATAAAAGCATGTATCTAAAGCTAACCAAAGATATGTTGATTAGTCAGGAATCTGCAATAAATCTTTCATAAAACTACATCTTGAAAATAAGTACAGTTGTGGAATTCATTTAATTTGCTGCTTATGTTAGTTGGCGAATCATCATTGCATTGAGTTGCAAGCTGTCCAACGCCGGTTCACCCATTTTATCGAGTGTATTAGCACCCAACCATATAATAGCAGCAGTTGGAAATTCTAAATTCAACTATGTTAGCTGGAAAAAATCCGTGGAGATCTCATAAAAAATAAATAACTGCGAATAAGTACTATGTACATCGGCAAATAGTTGATGCACCTTTCAAAAGCATGAAAAGTCACTTTGGTTTAATATGAGGTGGTTTATATCAGGTTTATATGAGGTGTCTCAGCTGTATGGGTTGGGAGTCCGGCCCCACTTTTAAAAAGTACTATGTTCGGAGAGGGATGAAAGGTGGTATTGCAGTTAAAATAGCGGATTTAGATATAAATTTAGAGCCAGTACATCGAATTGGCTATTTTTACTACTTAAAGGGTTTTCATAAAATTTAATCAGATTTTTATTGAATTTGTATATATACAAACCCTATATACAATATATAAGGTCATTGTTATATTATGTGTATATTGTTTAAATCCCAATGATTAACTATTATATGTTCGTAGACGACTACAATGTAAATGAACTGAAAGAATGTCCTAAAAAGATTTTTGCTCTTTTGGCAAATATTTGTTCCAAGATCGTGATCAACGAGTCTAACGTCCGGCACCTATTTTGGTAACTCATAAATGTACATAACAATTACATTTCTATTATTATAGCAAAGTTTTGATTTAAATTATTAAAATATTTTTATGTTTTTGAACAATTTTGATGATCTTTGCATTATTATGCTTTTATTTGTTTTGTTTGGAGTGTGTTTTGGAATCAAAATAACTTTTAAAGACGTCTATACCCCTTTTCGCAAACGTGCGAAACGCGTGGCATCCGAAGGGCATCGTCCAATCGTCGCTTAGCACACCGCGCGCATTAATTTGTTTGCTTTGCTTCTTAGCTAGTATTTATATTTGTATCACGTCGTGACCCTCGACCCCCACTGTCGTTTCATTATTATGAACTGTAGAGTTTTAACGATACAGGGGAGCTGGAGCCGCGCACTCGTGCGCGGCTGGTCATACAACGTATGACAAGCTAGTATGTAGTTGACGGATGTTACTTGTCTAAATTTCTTCGAAGTAGCGCGCGCCGCTTTCTTCTCGACGGCAAGTGCTACGAAGTAGCGCGCGCGGGGCCAGACCATTAACAATGGTCAAGTATTGATACATTTTTTTATCCCTTTGGATAACTTGTAGGTTTATAATTTACCAAAACGTATTACCCGTTAAGTCAAAAACCCACCAATAAAAATTAAATCATACATGCATATTTAATTAAGTTTGTGAGCCCGTACGTCACTCAGATCAGCAGAAAATACTGTGAGGAGGAGTTCATCTTGGATACCCCAGACATTATTTCTCAGATCAACAGCCACAACAAGGAGACGCTAAAGGGCGCTTCTAGAAACTTGCAGCTCTTTACTCTAGACGTGGCAGCATTATATCCTAGCATCAGGCCTGAACTAGCGCTTACTGCTCTTGAGGATGCCCTCAATAGTGATACCAACTTCTCACAAGAGCTAAAAGCGGCTTTGCATGAGTTCACTGACCTGATTTTCCGGGAGTCCTTTGTCACTTATCAGGGAGAGGGATACATTAACAAGGAGGGTATCCCGACGGGAAATTGTATCTCAAGACAAGTGGCAGATGTGACGATGCATTGGCTATTGTTTAAACAGATCAAAGGAAAGATGAAAAACTGGAGTTTGGTAGACCTCTGGAGGAGATTTATTGATGATGTACTTGGGGTGTGGTTAGGAACAGTCCGACAGTTCAATCTATTCGTGGAGCAACTGAACAAACTTACTGGCAGAACCATTTGGAATCAGATTTGCTGACCAACAAATCGGTAAAACTGTTAATTTCCTTGACATCACTCTAACCTTGGATACTTACAACCAGATCCAATATAGACTCTACAGAAAGGAGACAGATGCTAGGAATTACTTGCGAACGGATAGCTTTCATCCTCACCATGTATTCGAATCTGTGGCGTTTTCCCAGATGATACGAATCATAGAAAGGAACTCTCAAGACTCAACCTGTGTAGAAGACTTAATGGAGCTGAAAGCAGATTTATCTAACAGCGGACATAACAGCGTTAAGTTAGAGGAGATCGAGCCGAGAGCAGTTGTCAGAGTACTGGAGAACACCCACGAGCCAATAGGTCTAAGGAGAGTGAGAACGCTGATAACTTAGTCTTTTCAGTACAACACTCTTCGGACAACATTCAGCTGAAGAAGTTGATTCACGAACTTGGACCAGACATCAGGAGGATATGTGGAGATATGTGAATTGCTATATATTTGGTTTATATATTTATGATAGTCGATATAATATATACTAATTGTGTTCTATTTCAGAATGTACCACAAACATGTTGTCTGTGGGGTTTGATAATTACTTGTAACAACTGGTGTGTTTCATTGCATAGTGATCCATTTAAAGTTAACAAGTGGTAGCAGAGAAGGACGCAATGGCACCCCCAGAGACAGTTAGAGTAACTAGTAATTACAAAGCCCCACCGGCATACAGTGAGGATCAGGACTACTGCAATTGGAAGTTAGACCTGCAGCTGTGGCAAGAGTTCACGGGTTTAGAGAAAAAGAGACAAGGAACTGCGTTGCTCTTAGAATTGAAACAAGGGAAGATAAAGGATACAGTACGATCATTGGGGAAAGATGTCCTAATTGCAGAGGATGCAATAGCGAAGATTTTAAGTCATCTTGACAAAATCTATTTAGAGGACTCAGCTCAAACCTGTTACCGAGTTTACGGTAAGTTTGAAAAATATGTGAGACCAGAAGGGTTGTCTCTACAGAGTTACATATCTGAGTTTGAGAAGTTGCTAGCGGATCTCAGGAGACACAAAATCACTCTTCCTGAAGCAGTCCTGGCCTACAGATTCCTTAACAGCGCTAACCTTCCGTCAGAAAAATATGATCTCGCTTTGGCAACTGTAAAGGATCTTACTTATAAAGATATGTGTGAAACGATCGGGAAAATCTTCTCCGTCCAATCAATGAAACAAGAAATTCGATGAAACAAGAAATTTAATTTTAGCACATTTTACAGAATAAAAAGATGTAAAACAATTCATAAAATATAATGCCCATTTGGTGTATGACTTTTTGTCCTTGACTGCTAGTTTGGTTTTGGAAGGACAGGTAACTAACGGGGCAAGGAATGCGCGTGCCTGAGAGCTTTTGCACACACCGAAACGCTAGTTCAGTTAGGTTTTTAGAGACAGGGCTCATTTTAGGACTAGAAGAAATTTGTTAGTAGACATTAGGGGTTCTGTTTATAGTTGTTACTATAGGTTGCAGTCTTGTTGTGACAAAAAGTCTACACTAAAACATGCTTTAGTTTATATTGTGTGGTTCAAGGATATAAAATGTGGCTTCAAGGTGGATATTAAAGAGCTTGCGAAAGATTATGGCCTTTGTATCAATGGTTATAATAAGCTATAAATATCTTAAACTATACAGTGCTAATTAAAAATTTCTTTATACTTCATTCTCAGATTAGATTTAAAAATTCAAAAAATATACATTTATTTTATTAATACCTTCTCACACATTCTTTACTCACAGGAATCGAACCTTTCCACACCGCCTGCGTCAATATCAGTGAAGGTGGAACATGAGGAATGTAACTATACATACAACTCAACCCCAAGAGGTGGACGAGGAAACTACAGAAGGATGTCAAGAGGACGTGGGAATCATCATCATCCGTATAATCGACAAAAGAGTGCGTATACTGGATGCTATGCTTGTGGCGATAAAAACCATATTGCAAGATGGTGCACAAGCAAGAACAGAGCTTCTTCAAGTTCAACAGATAATGCACAGTATTTCGCACAAGATGGTGCTGAGAATGTTACGGCCATGGAAGCAGAGGGTGCATTCTTAACATTCATGGTAGTGTCTGAATCTGAAGATGTTGTTGAGATTCCTGAAGAGTGCCTGATGAGTGATACGAACCTTGGTTCTCTTGTATATGAGTCATTAGCATGTGCAGTTATTGATTCCGGATGTACAAAGACAGTTGTTGGTAGGAACTGGGTGAATCACTACAGAGAAACTCTGGAAGAAAAACAACTGAAAATGATGGTTAGTGAACCTTGCTCGACGCCTTTTAGATTTGGGGATGGACTCGAAGTCATTTCCACAGAAAAGACTATCATCCCTGGGCGAATAGGAAAGACAGATGTTCGAATAGAAGCAAACATTGTTGAGAAGGGGGGGGTGTCACGTCCGTCTATGTCCGCTTGTCTCATAGAATCCAAAAAGGACAGGACATAGACGGACATAGGCGGACATAGGCGGACATAGGCGGACATAGGCGGACATAGGCGGACATAGGCGGACATAGACGGACATAGGCGGACATAGGCGGACATAGACGGACATAGGCGGACATAGGCGGACATTAATGGACACCTAAATTGCTAAATAAAATGTTCAATTTTTGCTGTTATAGGGGGATCATGTTTTTTGTCCGTTCGGTACCCTATATTTTCAAAACGGACAAAAAATAGAGCGGACAAAAATGGACAAAAACGGACAAAAATGGAAATAACATTTAGATGCTTCCTCCTCCTACTCTTCCTCCTCCTCCCCCTGGGTCTTTCTGATCTTCCTCAGTCCTCTTCCTCCTCCCCTCCTCAGTCCTCCTCCTACTCCTCCTCCTCGTCCTCAGTCCTCCTCATCAGTCCTCAACAGTCCTCCTCCTCCCCAGTCCTCCTCCTCCTCCTGAGTCCTCCTCTTGGGTCCTCCTCTTCCTCCTCTTCATCCTCCTCCTCAGTCCTCCTCAGTCCTCCTCCTCATCCTTCTCCTCATCCTTCTCCTCAGTCCTCCTATTCAGTCCTCCTCCTCCTCCTTCTCAGTCCTCCTCGGTCCTCCTCCTACTCTTTCCTCTCAGTCATCCTCCTCAGCCATCCTCCTCAGTCCTCCTCAGTCCTCCTCAGTCCTCCTCAGTCCTCCTCCTCAGTCCTCCTCCTCCTGGGTCCTCCTCCTCCTCTTCATCCTCCTCCTCTTCCTCCTCGGTCCTCAGTCCTCCTCCTCCTGGGTCCTCCTCCTCATCCTTCTCATCAGTCCTCCTCCTCCCCAGTCCTCTCCCAGTCCCCCTCCTTCTCCTCCTCCTATTCAGTCCTCCTCCTCCTCCTCCTCAGTTCTCCTCAGTCCTCCTTCTCATTTCTCCTGAGTCCTCCTCCTGAGTCCTCCTCCTCTTCCTTCTGAGTCCTCCTCCTGAGTCCTCCTCCTCCCTCTCAGTCATCCTCCTCAGTCATCCTCCTCAGCCATCCTCCCCAGCCATCCTCCTCAGTACTCCTCAGTCCTCCTCCTTCTCAGTCATCGTCAGTCCTCCTCCACAGTCCTCCTCAGTCCTCCTCCTCCTGGGTCCTCCTCCTCCTCCTCCTCCTGGGTCCTCCTGGGTCTTCCTGATCTTCCCCAGTCCTCTTCCTCCTCCCCTCCTCAGTCCTCCTCCTACTCTTCCTCCTCGTCCTCAGTCCTCCTCATCAGTCCTCAACAGTTCTCCTCCTCCCCAGTCCTCCTCCTCCTCCTGGGGCCTTTTCCTGGGTCCTCTTCCTGGGTCCTCCTCAGTCCTCCTCCTTCTCAGTCCTCCTCGTGCCTCCTCCTGAGTCCTCCTCCTCCTCAGTCATCCTCCTCAGTTCTCCTCCTCCTCCTCTTAGGTCCTCCTTCTGGGTCCTCCTCCTCCTCCTCCTCCTGGGTCTTCCTGATCCTTCTCCTCCCTCTCAGTCATCCTCCTCAGTCATCCTCCTCAGTCATCCTCCTCAGCCATCCTCCTCAGCCATCCTTCTCAGCCATCCTCCCCAGTACTCTTCAGTACTCTTCAGTACTCTTCAGTCCTCAAAATGTTTGTCCGCTAATGTCCACCAATGTCCGCTAATGTCCACCAATGTCCATCCAAGTCCGCCAATGTCCGTCCGGGTCCGCCAATGTCCGTCCGAGTCCGCCAATGTCCGTCCGAGTCCGCTAATGTCCGTCTGAGTCCGCCAATGTCCGTCCGAGTCCGCCAATGTCCGTCCGTGTCCGCCAATGTCCCAAAAAACACGTCCGTTGTCTCATAGAATCCAAAAAGGACAGGACATAGGCGGACATAGACGGACATGACACCCCCCCCTGAGAAAGAACTGCCGTTGCTTCTCAGTAAAGCATCGTTAAAGAGAGCTGGTGCTGTGTTGGATTTCACAAATGATACAATGAGATTCAGTGGAGATTGTGTTGATTTGTTTGAAACTAAATCAAAGCACTATTGCGTTCCTCTTTGTAATAAAAGACGCATGACCATTGGGCCGCCAGATCGAAAGACCCCACATCTGGTGATGACAATCAGCGAAGAAGGTTTGTTTGGTACTGACGAAAAGGAGATTAGGAGGAAAGTGGAAAAAATCCACAAACAATTCTCACACCCTCCTAGTGATAAACTGAAAACATTGCTGAAAACTGCAGGATTTAAGAGACCAGAATACATGAAAGCAATTGATGAGGTATCCAGCAGTTGTAAAATATGTCTGATGTACAAGAAACCCAAGTCAAGACCAGTGGTGGGTCTCCCAAGAGGAAAGGTGTTCAACGAATGTGTTGCAATGGACCTTAAGAATGTTCCTGGCACTCCTAATGTGTATATCTTGCATATGATTGATTCGGTGACAAGATATTCAGCAGCTAGAATAATCTACAATAAGAAGAAAGAGACAATCATCCAAGGAATTTGCTCTGGATGGATATCCATCTTTGGAAATCCAAAGAAATTCATGGCTGATAATGGTGGAGAGTTCGCCAATGAGGAGTTTACTGAGATGTGTCAAAGATTCAATGTGGATGTGCAAAATTCAGCTGCCGAGAGCCCTTGGAGCAATGGGATTGTAGAACGTCATCATAAGATGCTGACAGAGATGATGGTAAAAACGAAGGAAGATTCAAAATGCAACTGGGAAGTTGCATTGTGTTGGGCACTAAGTGCGAAAAACTCCATGCAGATGTTTGGTGGGTTTTCTGCAAATCAGTTGACAATGGGCCGTAACCCTTCACTTCCGAATGTCATCGATGATAGACTGCCAGCTTTAGAAGAAACAACGGTGAGTAAAACCGTGGCTGATAATGTTAATGCAATGCACAGTGCAAGGCAAGCATTTGCAAAGTGTGAAAGTAGCAACAAGATACGTAGAGCTCTGCAAAGCCAGGTTCGGACAAGCAATGATGAGTATTATAGCAACGGTGAAAAGGTGATGTACAAGAGAAAAGGATCTGCAAAATGGAGTGGGCCAGGTGTTATACTGGGGAGAGACATTACTCATTTATATATTTTAAAGCATGGAAATCAGTATTATAAGTGCAGTGCATGTCATCTAACCAGGGATACAACAACAGGATATCCCATTACCTCAGAGTCAGTTGTTGGGCAACCTAACCCGAGTATTGTATCAAGTTCACCAAAATCCCCATTAGAGACGCAGAGAAATTTCCTAGAGGATCAACCATCTTGCTCTAAGGAAACAGCAGTTTCTGTACCGGAAACAGAAAGTGAGACAACAGCAACAATCAGACCTCAGCACAAATCAGGACTTCCTAAAGCAAGAAGTCACGTGGAGTTTCTTCCAAAGTATCCAGAGGAGGATGGTGAGATCTGGCATAAAGCTTATATCCATAGCCGTGCGGGAAAATCAACTGGCAGTTACAAAAACTGTGTAAATATTCAACTTGATGGTGAGGAGAGCATCCAATGTGTGGATTGGTATGAGCTTGCTGTGAATTGGAGAGATGACCTGTCACCAGAAACAGAAGAAGAGGTGTTGCTGTCCAGTGTGAGTATGTATGACCAAGCAGTTGTAGATGCCAAGCTAGCAGAGCTTGAGAAGTTCAAAGTAAACAAGGTTTACGTGGAAGTTGATGCAAACGAACAGTCCAATGTTGGTGTTCGTTGGGTAATTACAAAGAAAGCAGAAGGTTCTGTTAAAGCTCGTTTAGTGGCACTTGGTTATCAAGAAAATAGTAGCAACATACGAAAGGACTCCCCAACATGTAACAGGGACTCTATAAGACTACTCCTTACAATAGTTGCAACAGAAAGTTGGAAGTTACAACACATCGATGTTCAGGCTGCCTTCTTGCAAGGCAAGAAGATTTCAAGAGATGTCTTCATTATTCCTCCGAAGGAAGCTGAAACGAGGAAAATCTGGAAACTGAACAAATGTATTTACGGGTTAGTAGACGGACCTAGAATGTGGTATGTTGAGCTTCGTGATACTCTAGTGAAGTTAAATGTTGTGGTATCGTCATATGATGAGTCATTCATGTTCTGGTATGATGAAGGAAAACTCGAGGGTATCATTGCTGTGCATGTTGACGATCTGATGTTCAGTGGAAGCAAGAAGTTTGAAAGGGAAGTTATTGGGGAACTGAAGAAGAAGTTTCGTCTAAGTACGGAGGTCGAAGTTGAATTTGCTTATACTGGTCTTGATGTAAAGCAAACACAATCTGGAATTCTGGTATCACAACTGGGGTATGCAGACCAGATTTCAAGAATAGAGATCGACCCCACCCGAGTGAATCGAAATACGCTCCCAATCAATGAGAAAGAAAAGCAACAACTGAGCACTGTGTGCGGACAGTTGTTGTGGGTATCAACACAGACACGGCCAGATGTAGCTTATGCTACATGTTTTGCTAGTAATTCTGTGACTGAAGGGACCATCGCAGATTTGAAAATGGTAAACAAAACAGTAAAGTTCTTAGAAAAGAATCCTCTAACACTCAGGTTTAAGAAACTACTGTTGCCTGAGTCAGTCTTAGTGGTTTTCTGTGATGCATCGTATGGAAACTTGAAGGATGGTAGCTCTCAGGGAGGCTTCATAATTTTCCTTGTTTCGCTTACAGGAAAATCTTGCCCCATTACATGGCAGAGTAGAAAAATCCGGAGAGTATGTAAAAGTACTTTAGCAGCAGAGAGTTGGGCAATGATCGAAGCAGTGGAAACATGTGAGTTGATCCAAGCTCAGCTGAGTGAGATCATGTTATCTGGAAAACTTGATGTCATTGTAATGACTGATTGCAAGTCTCTACATGATGCTATCCAAACCTCGAAAAATGTTGATGACAAGGGATTGAGGATACCAATAGCTTGCCTGAGACAGCGAGTGAACAATAGTGAAATGACAGTTCGTTGGATTTCAACAAAGAAACAGCTTGCAGATAGTTTGACTAAAGCTGGAGCTCCAACTTCACTGCTACGGGAGGTATTGTCGTCAGGAGAATTTGACAATGAACTGTTTAGAATTGTATTCCAATAATAAACATTGTATTCAAAGTTTTTAATATTGTGTGTGAAGGATTTTAATAATCTTAATAATTTGAAACTTAAAGAAGTTAAAAGAGTGAATATATTGGTATTTGTGATTTATATAATGTGCTCGTTTAAAACGATTTTCTATTACATGTTGTGCATGTATCCACAAAGAGGGAAGTTATATTTAGAAAGATTATAGTCTTTCTTGTGACACCTTTATTTTATATTTAATATTTTAAATCTTTCAAAGCCTTTTTAAGAAAGAACGGGAGATTGTGAATTGCTATATATTTGGTTTATATATTTATGATAGTCGATATAATATATACTAATTGTGTTCTATTTCAGAATGTACCACAAACATGTTGTCTGTGGGGTTTGATAATTACTTGTAACAACTGGTGTGTTTCATTGCATAGTGATCCATTTAAAGTTAACAGAGATATACGTGTGATATTTGCCACACGAAAACATCCTTCAATCGGGAACAGGGTAGTGAAGAATCGACAACTTGGAAATAAGGCTGAATGTCCCCAAAAAACATCACAGAAGTGCTCAGCCCCTGGATGCAAGACTTGCCCGGTATTGTTCGATCTTGACTCTAAGATCATGGTCAACGGCATGGAGCTTAATCTAGACGAATCCCTCACGTGCAAAGATAAGCACATTATTTACGTTGCACAATGCCAGCAGTGTAGGGCTATTGAGGGATCTGAGGACACTTACTTTGGGCAGACGTTGACTCCATTCCACATTAGGCTCAATGGGCACCGGAACAAGTTCAACATTGACGACCGTGCCCTCTACGAGCACTCAGCCTTATCAATGCATTGTTACGATGTACACAAGGACACTTTCAGTTTTGAGTGTTTCAAATTCGGGATTGTGAAAAAGACTAAACCTTCCCTATTAGATAGGGAAGAGGCTAGATTTTGTGCAAAATTTAGAACTAATGTTTGGGGTTTAAATAGGATGGAAATTAAAAGATAGTTTTTTGTGGTTTTTACCAATATATGTAATTAATTAATTTTAACAATTTTGTGCCAATTTTGCGTCATTTTTCTTTATAAATTTTATCTACCACGCTATCAGTGAAACAATTTTATCGTATTCCAATTTCTGATCGACTTTCATGATATTCTCTAATCATGACCTTTTTATAAATTTTTGAATCTCTTTGACTGAGTATTATAATTGATTTTATCTGACTAATTTATTTCTTTTTTGTAGGCTCTAGCGATGTAATAAACGAAGTTTCCAAGCCAAATTTGTGTGTTTCCCTTCGTGTCCAAAATCAATCATATTTAATCATATCATTGATTTGTAATTAGCATTAAAAATATTTATATAACACTAATTTGTCATAAAAATACGGATCATGTTATAAAATAATAATTTCTTTACGTGACGTTTGTCATTAATTACAAATGTTATATTCAATGATTGCTAAATTAATTAAAACAGGTAATATTCATAAAATATTTGATTTAAAAATAATTGTCGACGAATCCTATTCATGAGTGCATTTTGATAAATTAAAGTACAAATACGCTCAGCTCATTTGTCAAGTTGCTTCGAAACCCTACCTCATCTCTTAAAAACGAGCTTTGCTTGAGGTCTCCAAGATTTGTTTATGTAAATTTTGTAAATATTTTACTGCACTATTTTATATTGTTTACAATTTTATGGACGAAATAATCCCAGGGGAGACTCCCAACCCACCGCTTTGGCAGGTAGTTGATGCACCGTTCACAAGCAAGAGCCACTTTGATCCTCTCGCTGTGTAGTCAGGTGTCTCAGCTACATGGGTTGGGGGTCCCTTTTTTCATTTTTTAAAATATTTAAAATAAACGTTTTACAGGTATCACCTGTTAAATGTATTTTTGCCTTCTTAATATGATTTCTTAAATTCCATGGGCTACTTAAGAACAAAGCTTCGCCTTGACATACTTCGAAAAGTCCTTATATATTATATAGCAAGAGGCTAGCTTATTCTATAACTTAACCATGTTATTCGAGAAACAGCATCGGTAGGCTTATACATTAATATGAGGTGTTAGGGGAAAAGCTGTTCAAAACGTTTATGTTGGGTTCATCCCTCTCAAATTTTATTCCATCGTGTGAATCAAATGACTGTTGACATTACCTTTGTACTATACCTACATTGCTTGGATGTTCCGGGTATTGTGGTGCAGGTTATATCTCCAACGAGATTTTGCACCCACTAATCTTTTATTCTTTTCTCAAAAAAATTTTGATTATTTTTTAGTGTAAATTAATTTATTAATTTATATAAATACAATAAGTTAAATCAAGTGATGCAATTGGCAGAGCACAATCGTAAATCCTGAGCAATAGATATCATCTATCCCTCGTAGCTCTTCTCCTCAGGTATCAGGTTGAAGGAGACATTGGATATTGAGGCGGTCCATGCCTTCTTTGCCTTTCCACGTACACCTCTAACTGCTACTAGCACACTCCTCATTATATCCATGCTCAGGCGTGTCCTGATGTTACACATCACCTAGTCCTCCTTGGCCTTGGTGGCTATCAACACAGCAAGTCTCCTTATGAAACGCTTGGCCTCAGGTGCCATTCCTCCTGTAGTGGTCAATACAAGGGAGACGAATGACCATTTCTCCAATTGTAGCACTCGGTTCATGTACTGGTTCTTTTTCTCATTCTTGTGCAGAGTGTAGAGCTGTGGCATGGCCTTTCCTTGATATGAAGGCGATTTAGGATTGAAAATGCGCACATCATTTAGAAAGTCCTCTCAAATGTGCTCCACACTCCTCTTGCTGATATATCAAGCCTAGCCTTATCAGCATTGTTGCCCTTTTGTTGGAAGTTGGCCGATTCTATAGGTGTTAAAAGGGGCTCAATCCTCACATCCTTGGTCACCAGCCTAATCCTCAAACAAATTGTCTTTTCTCAATCATCCTACAACTATTACTTACTATCCTTTTGTTTTTTGTCTTGCAGCTACTCTACCCTCAAATCATGGCTGGCTTAAATAGATGTCGAATGGGATCCCTGGTTTTTTAGATTAGCACACTATCTGAGATAGTTATCTGCCAACTTGTCAAAATTTTATTCAAAATCACGAAATTTCGGTTAAGGGGACGGCAGAAAAGCTCTTCAAAAATCTTCCAAAATAACTTTTCATATTCTGATGCTTTTCCGTTTATCTAAGCTTTATTTGGGAATAGACACCTCGATCGTGTCTTGTGCCATCATCAGTAACTCTGTAAGATTTTCATTCAAGAAAAATTCAGTCAGAACAGTGAAATTTGGGCCGCGGAGAACTGAAATTCAAATATGTCCTACTATACCAGTGAACATATTCAAAATTTTCATTGCATCAAAATTTTCTCCGGATATACTGCAATTGTTGTTTTCTTGAATTTCGGTCAAGGGGACGGCAGAAAAACTCCTCTTCAAAGATCTCTTTTTATATTCTGATGATTTTCCGTTTATCAAAGCTTTCTTTGGGAATAGAACTGTGAGTACGTCAATCGTGTCTTGTGCCATCCTCAGTGACCCTGTAAGATGGTCATTCAAGAAAAATTCAGTCAAAAAAGTGAAATTTCGGTCGCAGAGAGCTGAAATTCGAATATGTCCTTATACCGCGCCGGTAAGACATATTCAAAATGTTCATTGCATCAAAGTTTTCTTTGGATATACTGCTTCCAGTACCTTGATGGTGCCTTGTGTCACTCTCACTGACCTCAATGATTGGTTACTTTCAGTTCCTCAATCGTATCTTGTGCCATCCTCAATGACCTGGCCTTGCTAGACGGTCATTCAAGAAAAATTCAGTCGAAACAGTGAAATTTGGGTCATGGAAAGCTGAAATTTGTCCTACCAATAGGACATTTTCAAATTTTCATTCCATCCAAGTTTTCCCCTGATATACACTATACAGCTTCTAGTACCTTGATGGGACTTGTGTCACTCTCACCAACCTCATTGATTGGTCACTGGTCAAAAATTCAGTAAAAACCGCAAAATTTTGGTCAAGGAGATGGCAGAAAAGCTTATCGTCAAATATCTTCCAAAATCACTTCTTTTATTATGATGATCTTAACTTGTGATAACTTACTGGCTTATTAATGCTTGTTAATTAGTTGACTTTCGTAGGCATATTTTAACATAATTTTTGAAACTTTTACAGGATGTTTGATGAAAGTGCTGCTTGGGATGGGATCGAGTTGGACAGCTCATTATCTGAAGCTCTGTTAGCAAAGCCTGTAGGTACTCCAACCAAGCCGAGTAAGAACAAATATCGTCCCAACTCTGTTCCTGTTAAGAAGAAGAAGAAACTAACTCCACATATTGACACCACACCTGGCAATGTGGTGAACGGTAGTGCACCTCTTGGTAAACGAAAACGTAAATCAAAAAATAAGAACGTTAAAGCTGCCAATGGTGATGGATCAGACTCTCCAGTGAAAAAAGTAAAACACACTAAATGCAATGTTATATTTGATGATCTCAGTAATTGGGAACAGGTTATTATCAACCATGAGGCTGAAGATACTGCTGCTGAAACCATGGCCCAGTATTTAAGCTCAGCAGTTGATGAGATTTCTAAAGAAAACACTACTGAGAATCTGAACTCAATTGAGAAGAAAACCAAGAAGAAAGGAAAAAAGAAAAAGGTAAAGTTCAATGATGAAGATGAACTTCTTTCCAAAAGTATGACAGGCGGAGCGGGTACTGCGCTTTCTAACATGAATCTAGTGGATGATGAGGACGAGAGTGTGACAGAAGAAGAGAGTGTAACAGAAAGTACAACATCATCACTTCAATCTGCCAAAGAAAAGATCAGCAAATTAAAGGGAAAATTCCAGAAGAAGATGGATGCCTCCCAGTTTAGGCACATAAATGAAAAGCTTTACACTACAACTGGTGATGAAGCTTTGGAAATGTTTACCAAGAAGCCTGAATTGTTCGACGTATATCATAGAGGTTTCACTAGCCAAGCTGAAAAGTGGGAAATTAACCCTGTTGACAGAATTATAGATAGGATCCGGAAAATTGGGGGAGACCAGGTGATAGCAGACTTTGGTTGTGGTGATGCTAAGATAGCACAAACCCTTCAGAATGCTGTGTTTAGTTTTGATCTGGTTAAACACAATGAGCACGTGATCGTGGCTAACAGCTCAAAAGTGCCTCTAGGTGACAAAAGCGTTGATATAGCTGTGTTTTGTCTCAGTCTCATGGGAACAGATTTTAAGGATTTCATCCGAGAGGCCCGGCGAGTCTTACGGTCAAAGGGACGTTTGATAGTAGCTGAAGTAGCTTCACGTATTCCAGACACATCACAGTTTGTTCACGGAGTAGAGGAGCTGGGTTTTGCAATTCTTGAGCAGAATGAGCCTAACAGCTATTTCACTGAGTTGTTTTTCAAGAAAACTAAACCGAAGGAGAACAAAGGAAAGTTTGAGAGTTTAGCCCTGAAGCCATGCTCATATAAGAAGAGATAAACTGTTCTGTTTTTAATAATTTAAAAAATCATTTCAAGGGTTGATCAGCGTTTCTGAGAAATACAAGTTTGTCGGTATTATGATATATCCATAATCAATGCTTTTTATCAAGTATCAACATAGTTTTAATTTCTTTATTTAATCGAGACTATTTTATGTCTCGAGATGCCTATAATCTATATGCTTACATCAGATTGTAATTGTACACGGCTCTGTGCCAGATCTTTCGGTTTCGTTTTAACGCTTTAACAATTGTAGTAAATTTATTTATTATTACTGTTAACAGTCCTATTACTTTGTGGAGATTCAAGTTTCGACAACTGAGTTTTATTGTTTCCCAAAATTCAATGATTTCTTAATATATAATTGACAATATGATTGGCAATATAATTGACAATATAATTGACAATATAATTAACCATATAATTAACAATATAATTGACAATATAATTCCTTCGCGTTAATAAACAATTTCACTGTGATATCATTGATAAATTCGATTCTACTTTCCCCTAGCAATGAGAGGGGATGAAAAGTTTGACCTGTCGTTTAAGATCCTGACTGTTGGTGAAAGTGGGGTTGGGAAAACAAGTTTACTGTTGCAGTACGTGGAGAGCACCTTTGGGGAGAGCTTGCTCAGTACAGTCGGGATTGACTTTAAGTGCAAGTAAGTCTTTATAACTCTAATAGTGAATGTTAGGTGAAGTAGTTGTTTCAAAGTTAACTAGGTAAACTTATTGAGTTTATAATTGTTTTTTCCAAGCTAGGATTGTCTAGGAACAGTTTAGATTGGGTGAAGCTGCCCGGCAGCCTAATTTGCATATTCTTAATCTCATTAACTATTCATATTATTAATCTCATTAACTACGTAAGAATTATTCCAGTTTGATTTTTGGCTCCAAATCAAAAGCGTAAATTAGTTCTGTGAAACCTTTCGAGTAAAATATTCAATGTTACTGCATGACAACATTTAGACCTCCGCCTAATTTACTGATATCTTAATCCAGACCTGCGGAGCTCGTATGATCAATGATCGTCCTTGATCATATTGTTACAGTATCCAGTTACAAAATCATAAGGCTTTTATACTCTGTGCTCTTAAATAACTGGTTGTACCACTTCATCTGCATCATCTCTACATAGATACCCCAGCAACCTCATTCAGGGTTGCCATACCCCAGAGGCAGGCAGAGCATTCTCATGCTATCCTCACGTGGGCCATCTAGGTCCAGCCTCTCTTTTCTTTTAACTGGTTAAATGTATTTTAAGCTCGAATATGATCACAATCCTTTAAAAGTTAGTGACTCACCTTTAATACAACGAACAGTGTGTATAATAATAGCAATGTGCGCTACTCACATAAAGTAACATAATGATTCATATTGATTTGAATATCAGCTAAGAATGATAGGTATGTGTCATATATCTGGATACAGTCCAAGGTTATCCCTAAAGACACCACATACATATCAAACCAAAATAAGAAAGCAATATTATTGAGACTTATAAAAACTTTAAGTTGAATAGCGCATTAAAAAACATCTGAAAAGCTACGATAAGACTTGGTAACATTCTAAATGTAACATGCAGAGTTTCAGAACCGTTGAAGTGGATCAGAAGAAGGTCCGGTTACAGATATGGGATACAGCTGGTCAGGAGAGGTTAGTAAAGGGGGACAAGGGAGACAAAGGATACAAGGGGGACAAGGGAGACAAAGGAGACAAGGGATACATTCAGGCTGAAATTAGATTGGGTCAGGTTCGTTCTGATTTATTTCAATTGTGATTGTTTTAATTTGAGACCACTCCTCTCAGGTTCCATTCCATGGCGAGCTGGTATTTCCGAGATGCCAATGGGTTAGTATTAGTTTACGATATTACCCACATTCGTAGTTTCGAAAGGGTTAGTGGATGGGTGGACAACGTTAGGAAAAGTGCCCCCGCAGACGTAGAAATATTTTTGGTAAGTTTTTATTATAACAATACAAGTCTTGTCAAGAATTTTGCATCCTTTCTGTCACTTTCGTTTACAACTAGAATTTTTCGTAGAGAAGCCATTCGATTAAGCACCAGTTATACCAATTTATCAATTATTATTGATTAGAATCAATTGTAGACACGTTAATTTTACCAATTTCTTGGTAGGTCGGAAACAAGGCAGATAAGCAGTACAAAAGAGTTGTTTCTCACGAAAAAGGAGCTGAGTTGGCAGCTAATTACAACATCACCTTCTTTGAAACCAGTGCTAAGACCGGTGAAAATGTTAATAATGTGAGTGTGTTTTTGTTTGCAGGCTGTCTGTTTTTGTTTGTGTAAGCAAGTATCTGTGCAGTCTGGACAAGCAGGCGTTTCTCAAAGTGGTAGGAATTGGAGGTAGACTTCAGTATACTGTGGTAGTAACTTTTAAAAAGCACGGCATCACCTTAAATCCGGCACCCGGGTTGTACTAATTCGATATAAAACATGACAAAACATTTCCGGTACCAATTGCTATGGAAAATGCAGTTTGCAATGGACCCTGACCGCGCAATGTTCTTTAAATACAGCCTAAAATTTCTGTAATGTACTCTTGTAAATCCTGGTATTTTAATGGCCCACTCTTCACTCTTGTGCAACTTGTAAATTTCGCCAGTGGTAAGAAAACCCCTGATCTGGCCTCAAATGCTTCAATTTGATTTTGTACTTTATGTAGCGCGCGTTAAATAATTTGCATTGAAGGCAGCGCAAATCGCACGCGATCCGAGCGCGAAAATTTTGGAAATAAACGAGCACCCGGCCGAACGTGGTCGACACTCGACTTATCCCTGAAGTGCAAAATTTGAAGTGTCGGTAAAAAATATGATAAGAACAGTTGATTTTATGCCTTTTTTTTCTTTCGAGCCCTGCTGAATACTGTTTCCCAAAAATATACCCCCTTTTTATCGGTATCGTGAGTACTGAGTACTGATATACATTTTTATCAAATCTTATTTTATATAACATATTATGTTCAGGTGTTCGAGGAGCTAACGAAAGCAATCTATGAAAATTATAAGAAAAATAAGAGACAATCGCCCATTCCAGAAGTTGCTAAACTGAGGTACCTTACAAGACATTTTTATAACGTACGAAATGCGACGGTTTTCCCGAAATTTCGCCATATTTTCGGACCGCCAAAATTTCGGTCGTCGTAATAGAATCCGTCGCATTATTTTTAGCTTATTCCAATAATTGTGGCTTCATCGATTCATTTTGTTCTTGAAAAGTTAGTGATATGATGGTGGGACAAATAAACACAATATTCCATGATGAATTTAATGTCAAGTTATACGTTTTAAATTTACAATAAATTACATTTATGTGCTAACATAAACGTCTTATAGACTAAGTCAAGATAAACAATTTAATACCAAATACCAAACTCAATAAGTGAAACTGAAAGATTCGAGCCGGACCCCTTGGCCTTAGAGGAAGATGAAGAAATCGATTTATAAGTTTCATTTTGTTTCAACATGATTTTACCGATTTTTAGAAAATTTTGAATTTCCTTTGTGTCAGAAAACAAAATGATGAAAAATACCCTTATTTTCTGTGACGTCCGAAATGTGACGGTTTTTGTTCAATTTCGCCATATTTTCGGACCGCCAAAATTTCGGTCGTCGCACATTGGTCCGCCACAAAAATGTCTTGTAAGGTATACATATTATAATATTTTAGTTTTATCTGTTTATGCTGCCATGAGCCATCATCCTTACACAACGCAGCAATACTTCATACACCAGGTTATTAAGGTTTTAATTTCAATAATCCAGATTGGTATCTACATCAGATTTAACCTGGCAATATTACTTTCAGTGCACCGCCCGTTGTTGAAGAACGTTCTGCCTGCTGCAGTTACACATAACATCCAGGAGTTCTTTGTTTTAGGTGTGAAATTATCCGGGGTTTTCTAGTGTACAGTCTTAAAGACTGACCTGTCACTTACTACATTCTTACGAGAGTAAGAACACAAGCGCTCGCGATCCAACGCGAAAATACGCTAGTTAATAATTTTATGTCACTGTCAGTCCAAAAGTTCGATAACTTGAAGTTATAGATTTTAATCGCTGATTAGCTGTTACTGTTGGGTGGTGTCGGATAGATGGTCCAGCTTCAGCCTGCCATTGATTTATGGACGATTAAATAAGCATATCTACTGCAATTAACATACTTTGCTTATATTTGATTTTGAATTTTACCATTTAATTTCTTCTTTGCAACGAATTTATATATATCAAGAGGACTGATTTTGTAAATCTTTAATGTATATTAATTGTCTTAGAGGGAGTACTGTAAAGTTTGGTTACTGGAACGTGTAATTTGAAGGTTTATTTCTTGTGGAAATTTGAATCAGGGTTTACTTTTCTTTTATTTCTTGTTGATTTTCATTGTCTTACCTTAAGCTCGTAAAGTCGTTGCACTCAATTCATGGCTGGTACATGCTTAATTTTAAGACCAAAGCTTTGACAGTTATAAATCTTACAATTTAAGGCAGAAGGAGATCTCGAGCGCTTAGATCGATGATAAATAATGTGAAAATTATCACAGGATTAAGGGAAAATATTTCTGGTAAATTCGAGGGGGGCAGAGACTTATATTCTCAGATTTGTACTATATCATAGCCATTGTGTATAATATAATAATATTGTGTATAATTTGTTGCTTTGATAAACTGTTGTATCATTGCAATTTCGGAAAATCATGATTCGATGGAATTTGCGTTTTGCAGAGTGACACTGTTTGTCTTTCTTCTTGTTAATAATATGCACTTGATATGTATTATGTGTTACATTTATTGGGAGAAGTATTCTTTACATATTGTTCTAATTATTAATAAATTCATACATTTTAGCCAGAAAACGCAATTCGGTATGACAAAGGAACTTTGAAGTTGGGTTGGAACATACAGTACAGGATGTACTGCTTGGTAAAGTGGAACATACAGTACAGGATGTACTGCTTGGTAAAGTGGAACATACAGTACAGGGTGTACTGCTTGGTAAAGTGCTTAAAGTAAATGGTAGAGATAAGAAAATGAGCAGGACGAGCTTAGTCCGACTCAGTTTGTAAAGAGAGAAGAGGACAGTACTTCATCACTATTCACTAATAATGGAAACTAGGAATTCATGAGGTAAGACATTTTTTCTTATATTATTAGTTACTGTCACTACTGCGTCACAATGGTATCACTACTGTAACAATGCCCATGCCCGTCACTGATTTTTGATTTTTTAAAAAATTTTGCATGTTCTAGCACTCAAATTATAACACTTGCATAGTTGTACGGAAATAATGAAATATTTGATATCAAAATGACAGGAGATAATTGGTAAAATAACGCTCATAAAGCCATAATATTTTATAACTGCTGTATCTATGACAGCAAATCCTTGGCTTAAATGGCATAAAATGTCAATTTCTCAAAGGTGTTCACATTTTTTTCGTGACAATTTATGCTATTTTATGCCATTTTAGGTCATAATTCCATTAAAACAATGGAATAAAAATAAATTATTCCTTGAAACATGGAAATCTCTGATTTAAGATTCCTAATTAGCTAGTTCATCCTTAGTCCGTAATATATAAAAGTCCTATAAAATAAAATAGAAAGCAATTCGGATTGACATAAATACACAACCCCGATTGTTGTACACTATGTTAAACTGCGAGCTGACAGTCATCATCACTCGAGAAGCTGATTACCTGGGGACCCCAGGCTATTATATTTATGTTCATAAGGCGGAATGACAGGCTGAGCGCCGCCCAGTAAGAAACTGACAGTCATCATCACTCGAGAAGCTGACAGTCATCATCTCTCAAGAAGCTGACAGTCATCATCACTCGAGAAGCTGACAGTCATCATCTCTCAAGAAGCTGACAGTCATCATCACTCGAGAAGCTGACAGTCATCATCACTCAAGAAGCTGACAGTCATCATCTCTCAAGAAGCTGACAGTCATCATCTCTCAAGAAGCTGACAGTCATCATCACTCAAGAAGCTGACAGTCATCATCTCTCAAGAAACTGACAGTCATCATCTCTCAAGAAGCTGACAGTCATCATCTCTCAAGAAGCTGACAGTCATCATCACTCGAGAAGCTGACAGTCATCATCACTCGAGAAACTGACAGTCATCATCACTCGAGAAACTGACAGTCATCATCACTCAAGAAGCTGACAGTCATCATCTCTCAAGAAGCTGACAGTCATCATCACTCGAGAAACTGACAGTCATCATCACTCAAGAAGCTGACAGTCATCATCTCTCAAGAAGCTGACAGTCATCATCTCTCAAGAAGCTGACAGTCATCATTACTGAAGAAGCTGAAAGTCATCATCACTCAAGAAGAGGCTTGCGTTCTCCATTGGTGCATTTCTTCAGTTCACTGACTTTCCAGCAGTAGATGAACGATAGGACTGACTGAAACGAGGAATTTTATTTTATCGTTAAATTTACTTGTGGTGATAAACTATTATTTTTATGAAATACTAATTACAATTACCCATGTTATTCCCATCGCACAGATGTGATAGTTACCATGGTTACTGTAAGAGAATATTATACTGTTTAAACGTTAAACAGTTGCGCACTTTTTAGGATAAAATAAAGCAATTTGGCGATTTTGAAAGAACTCAACCGAGGTTACCGCGGCACTCTTGCCAAGATAACTGAATCTGCAGTTTTGGTGATTTTGTAATCCTTGAACGAATGTTAATAAATTACCTGCACAATGAAGAGAAAACCCAGTCCTCCGGTAGACCACTCGAATGGCATGTATAGTGACAAAATCCCTGAAAGTGTCAAATACTGATTTAGATAATAGTTATACAAAAGGTGACTGAAACGTTTAAGCAGCACAATTTGAAAAACCTGAATTTTTGGCATTTTGTATTATCTTAACGTGCTACTAAAAGGTAAAGTACCTGCAGAGAAGGATCCAATGCAACCTCCCAGAGGGAAACATGAGCAGTAAATAGAGATTATCGTGTTGGATGCTGAGATGGACATCTTCCCTCCATTCCTCATCTAAAATGTCTCAGTTAAATATTGAAACAATTAAATCTGACTACAATCATGTCAAGATAAACTGTTATCAATAATTTGAAAATGATTTGAAACGCTGTTAACATGGTAACGTTGTTAGTATGGTTCCCTTATGGTTACCGTTAACAGTTACTATGGTTACTATGGTTCCCTAATCCCTATGGTTACCGTTAACAGTTACTGTGGTTACTATGGTTCCCTTATGGTTACTATGGTTCCCTTATGGTTACTATGGTTCCCTTATGGTTACCGTTAACATGTTAACATTGTTACCTTGTACACGTCAAACATAATCAGCAGTATTGGGGTACATCCCATGGGCACAAAGAACCCCAGCAGAGCCAGAACTAGCATCACTTGTAGTTTAGATGTTGCAAGCTAGTGGGAATATGATGTTGTTAATATTATAACGGGGTACTGAGGTTGGTTATCATGAGAACAGCATATGATTAATGATTATGAACGTCGAAATATTGGTAAAACATATAATTTGAACGTTTTCCATCGAGTAGAGTTCATGATAACTTATTACCTAGTCGAGGTATCAATTATGCTATGGTGGTGATAGCAACTCACGTGAAATAAAGGTATAGGTCCAATACACATGTAGAGGAAGGGAAGGATAACGGAGGAGAACATCACAAAGAAGTACGGGTTAAATTTGTCTATCAGCCAGCCTAAAACAAATAATCAGATTAGCTTAGACTAAATTTTAATAAGATTTTAACACTTTTCCCGAATGAATGTCCGTATAAAATGTTCATGGTCGTGGAAGTGTGAGTTCGTACCTAGGGGTGGGGCGCTGATGATAATGGTGCTGGTGTTGACAAGGAGAGCTAGTCCCGTCCAAACAACGCTCATTCCTAGAGATCTCTCTACAAACGGGGCCAGGGTGGGTAAGTGGAAGTAGAGCAGGACCTGTGTGAGAGCTGGATCAAGTTAGGCATACTAATAGTCATTCACGGGCTGATAACGGTTAGAACTTGTGTAATGTCAGAAGAAAATATATCCTTTTGTTCGAAGCGTGGGATAAGTTTAAAACCTGACAAGCGGCACAGTGCCAAGCTGCGAGCAATATCCAGGGGTCACCCCACACCTTCGAGGCGTCGTTCAAGTCAGACTTTTCTGGTAATGTGTTAACCCGGGGTATAGTGATTTCTATGAGTACACAACAGAGCACCACCAGACCCGGTAACCAGAACGCTATACTGCGGAGAAAGAGATTTAGAAGGATTATGGAAAAGAGAGGAAGTGAGGGAGGGTTAATGGGGGTTTCCAATGGTAAAAAATGGTGAAAAATGGTGAAATTTTACAATTTGGAAACTAGATTCACCATAAAAATCATTCACTATTTTTCACCATTGGATACACCCGGGTTAATTAAATACTAGGTAGATATTATACTTGCACGTTATTTGACCTCAGCAGCCAGCTACTTGATAACGGGAATTCATCAATAAGTACCTGTATCCCCCATAGTCAAACAGCAAGCTGCCCATGAATGGACCAAAAGCTTGCGCCCCGTTAAGGGCGGCTTCAGCCAAAGCCGTAACAGTGGCTATTCGAGTGGGAACCAATTTCGTAAGTGCTCCAAACGATGTGACGGCAATAAACCCTGTAGCGATACCAGCGAATACTCGGAATAAACAGGACAGGGCGATGTAGATGGCGTTATTTGCGATTCTGTTGAAGAAACTGAAATTTCGGGTAATAAGTTAGGTAGTCCAATTCACACGAGTTGTTGCTGTACATTTTTTGTTGAGCTTTTGTACATATGATCACCCCTTACGAACCTGTTAATGATGAAGATTGAGCCCAGTACAAAAGAACCAGTCATCAATATTGGCTTAAAGGTAAAATGTTCCATCAGGTGGTCAGTGAGAGTACACGATATCAGGTACCTTAAAACATTAACTTTAGTACACGATATCAGGTACCTTAAAACATTAACTTTAGTTCACGATATCAGGTACCTTAAAACATTAACTTTAGTACACGATATCAGGTACCTTAAAACATTAACTTTAGTACACGATATCAGGTACCTTAAAACATTAACCTTAGTACACGATATCAGGTACCTTAAAACATTAACTTTAGTACACGATATCAGGTACCTTAAAACATTAACTTTAGTACTCGATATCAGGTACCTTAAAACATTAACCTTAGTACACGATATCAGGTACCTTAAAACATTAACTTTAGTTCACAGCCATTTGTAGTAAGTGATGTAATTAGGCTTCAGCTTGACATCAAATCAGATCAAGAATAAAGCAACCGAGAGCGAGACCAAATTTCTGACAAATATAATGCTTAAAGACCATTTTTGAAATTCTGGATTCTTTAACCCAAATTTCTTTTTTTGGTCAAGAACTATCCCTGAATTCTGAAACCATTAGAATCAATCGCCGGCTCCCAGAAACCCCCTTGTCAAAAATGTGTCATAAGTGCTTAAAAAACCTCGGATTTTTGAGTGGTCTTTAAGCACTTTTGTCAGAAAACGGCAGAGATATTTTGTTAATCATTGAATCAGACTAGCACAAGTAATCTGAATATTACCCGACAGGAACAACTCCAAGGATCACTCCATCCCAGACGGAAGAGACGTTCCTGCCCGCGTGATAAAGGGGTAGGAACGGGGCCGGTAGAGAGTACAGGCAGAAACCCAGCGCTGAAAATATTTCCTTGTTTTGAAAAACATTGAATATTAACCTCGAATAATAGTGGTTTTATATTATATAATGTAAGTAATTTGTTAGAATTGTGAAAAGGGAAGTGAAGCTCACCTAATACCACTGTTACGACAGTAAAGGCGTATATCAGCTTCGGTTTACTCAAATTGTGAAAACTACTGGCTGTGCTAGTACTAGGCTCGTTTTGCATTTCACTTTCTCCTTCCATCACTCCTAACAAGCTGAAATTCACCTACAGAGATTGATACTTATAGATTCTCGAATGACACAAAGAATGCCTTTGGTTTACCAGTTGAATGGTGTGAGATCGGGTCTAGGATGACTTAATTCTCCTTGTTGGCTTGTTCTATATAAACAAACAAAGAAACACACGAAACTTCAATGAAATCGCTTTAAGAAGTAGAGATGTGGTGCCATGTGGTAGGTGATCATAAAGAATGTGAACTGGGGATGAAACACAGACTGTCCGTGAATGAACTAACAGAGAACTAAACTCTATGAGAAGACAAAAAATGACGACATCAAATTTTGTTCCAATTTAACGTATTTCACAAAATTAAAGATGATATTTTCTGTTTCAACATTTGAATAAAAACGGAAATGGAAGAATCTTGATAACAGAAAGAAATCGTTTAAACAAGAACAAGAGTACATGTAAATTGTAATGTCAGGGTATATACTTTTGGATTTTAAATGTTAGTAGGCCTATTTAGAGTTTGGAGTTGAATATCCCCTTTCACAAATGGTGTCACAACTTGACGAAAACTCATTCGACTAACTCCAGCAAGAGCAACCCGCTTGACAAATATCTTGAAACTATTAACCGAACGATAATAAACAAATCCGTTCGTGAAACAATTAATAAACAGCACAAAATAAGCAAATCCATAAACGTTAACGTCGAAGAAACCTCTTGCTCCAGGAGACATCAGATGAGAAATGTTCATGTAGATGGTAGTGTAGAAGGCTACAGGAGAGTTCGCCAGAAGATAAACAAACCCAATGTAGAGGGCAGTGATGGCGCCCTGCTTATTTGTCCTTCCTTTAGCCTTCTTAACAATCACCAACAGAGCTATAGTTGTCCCGACAACTATGATGTTCGGAAGCACGGTGACAACTGTGGACATGGGAGCTAGCAACCACTGCCAAACTGGGGCTCTAAACCCGTACTTGCACCTGTAGATCCTGTAGTCGAAAGTGACGTCACGTCGGTCCGTGGCTATCTGTACCAGAGGCGTGACTGCGGAAAGGAGCCAGGCGACGGCGCTGATCAAGTAAGCAGATCTCCTGGTCCGACTTATTGACTGGAAGGGGTAGAGAAGGTTGTGGAGCTTGCTGAGGTGCAGGGCACAGATCAAGTAGACAGCAGATAGGTAGGTTGGTACCTGCAGGAAGTGGTGGATGTAACACATGGTCTCACCGTACGGCCACCGGTTGTATATCAGCGACACAAGAGTGGGGTGCACTGCGAACACTGCCATTGCAATGTCACTGACAGCTATGTTGTTGATCAAGAGCACGCTTATCTTGTCCAGCCTGATGGCATTATATCTGATGGTGGAGAGGAGGATGATGGTGTTCCCGGTGAGACTCCCCAGTACAGCGATCAGACACCATGATATCAAGGGGTACCGCTCTGCGTCAGACTTTACCGTTAGACCGAGTGAGGAGAAGTCTGAAGTTAAAGAGTTCGTTGAGTTCATCGAGAGAGGGAGAGAACTTGCACATCAGTTACAATTGAAGGCTGCTCGAGGCTGCGCTGCGGTTTTATATATGCAAGAATAAGGTCCATTTAGTATCAGTCACGATAATTAACCTTAACAGGAATTCTCTTTGAAGGATTTATCTTTGAGCTATAATTCGCTTTCTTCCTTTCGCCATTATAATCAACTTATCAAAGAAAAAAATTTTTTTCTGATTCTTGGAACGCCTAATCTTTGATTTTATCAGCTTTCAAAATCAAGAATTTAAGATTATGATCCAATGAAATTACAGGTGGTCTAGATAGAAGGAATCTTATCGAATTCATTAAATGAATCTATCTATTACTTTGATTTAAATGGTTCGGGAGGCTTTGTATTATAGCTTCAAAGAATATTAAACCTTAACCATGTTGACAGCGCGAATTTAGCACGTTATAATATAACGAGTTCCTTATGACAAAAGCCTAGTAGGTAGATTGTGAATGCATGATAAAAGTTGACTGGATAATGACTATAATTGGTGAGCATAGGATATGATTACCATCTACCTTACAAAGCTTACAAAGCTTATAAAGGCGGTTTTACTACAGTGAAACCGCGCCCAGATAACAATTGCAAACCCCAATTTATCAAAACATTCCTCGGTAAACAAGGACAAAAGAAAATCGCGATTATTTAGGCCAAAAATCAACCTAGGCAAAATCGCGGTGAATTTGCGGCGAAAGATAATGTATTTGCAGAGCTAAGTTAGATGTCATGAATTCGTCAACTAGCTTGTTAGTATAGAAAGATTAGGGAGCGACAGGCTCGTCAGGCAAAACAATAGCATATATATTAATAATCTGAAGTGTATACTGAGTAGTGTTAAGATCTAAACAGACTCTTCTTCATGATGCCTACGATTGAAATATTGTCAAGTTAGAAAACGGTAAGAGGTACGTGGCTGGTTTTTTCAGTACAGTACCCACAAAACTCTGACGAAGCCCAAGAGCCTAAGTTTTTTAATCGGCCGGTGGTAAGTGGTTTAATTGATGATTTTGTGACCCAAATGTGATACTAAAGTGTCTCTCATCTCTCCTATTCTCGTTCTCTCTCTCTCCCCCATACTCCCATAATAGATATGCTATATCAAGTATTACTATTAGATACATGAGGGGCACTCAGAATTGAATTGAAGTATGCTTTGACTGAGCGATTTCATACTTTTGGACCGTTTTAACTACCAAAATGTAATCTTACGTAATGATTACGTAAGAATTATTATGAAAGTTATATTTATATAGAAACAAGGGAGTAACTTACATATTGAGGCACTTTCCATGCTACACTGAGCATTATGAGCCGAAAATAATTTTTCGGTCCGTACCTACATTCGGAAGGCTGTAGATGTGATTAGTTCCATATAATTATAAAGAACGTGATATTGGCCCTCGATATTTGGCCCTCGGATTTAAAGGAGAATGCGCAAATTTGGTCCTCAGAGAACTGGAAATGGAATAATCGCAATTTGTCGCGAGGATCTGATAAAATCGCGATTTGTCTCGGCAAACGTCAAAAATCGCGATTTGTTGCGAGAATGGGAAAAATCGCGATTCTGCACGTGCCGCGATTTCCTTTTGACCTTGTCGGTAAATCGGGGTTTTACTGTACCAAAATAACAGGAGGAAGGGTACACAGCTTCTAGGTGCCCAGATAATAATCGCATAACGAATATACACGGCACAAGATTAAGTGCCGATATTAATAAGTTATTAAAAGCAGTGCAAAGTAAACAATTCAGTCATAATAATGCAATTAGCTGGTAATTGGTATACAATTTGTAAACAACTTTAGCATCTGCTATTTTGATCTAGCAGCGGTCAAAAATGTTACACGACAACTGTCACGTGCCAGAAATAAACCTAGTTATGGATGTATTAATAATCATCTCAATTTTGTTCCAACAAAAACTGGAAACAGAATTTGAATTCAGACGTACGAATACTTACAATTACATGCATGACAAGGTAAAGGAGTAAAGGTTAAGAAAACATGAAATGACATGTGAAGTGAAAACAATCTGAGTTTATCTGATCTCTGGTTCATACCATCTAAGCTTTAAATTCCTACTTCCTAGTCTTTTAAGTATTTTAAAATAGGTAGAAGAGGGCCCGGGGTGGAGGGGGGGGGGGGGGGGGGCTACGGGTGGGTCTTCATCGTTCGCCATTTATTCCAAAACTTTCGGAGTTTCACTGTGGCGAAAAAGGGGGAAAATGCTATTGATAAGTTGTTAAGATAAATTCCTTAATTTGTAATTATTTCGCCATTTTCGCTATCGGTGATATAAAATTAAGGAAGCACCCACTCTCCTCTCCTCCCCCCCCCCCCCCCCCCCCCCTCACCAAACTATTCACTATTTTGCACAATGCACATTGCACAACTATGGGTAACTGTTGGGCACCGATTTGTCACCGGAAGTAAAATTAGGAGGAAAGTTTCCATTTCGATGGCAAATCTGTCCTCAAATTCCACCACAATTCGGATTACTCAAGTTTGTCTTGACGTCATCACTGCGGGATTCTTTTGCCTTGATTCGACACAGTTGTATATATCATACATAGAACGTAAATCCAAAAAATCAGTTACTGACCCAGTACATGTAGAATTTGGACTATAACACAAAATAAGTTGTTAGGGGGGGGGGGGGGGGGGGGCAATGGCATAAATGGAGAAAATGGAGAATTACTCATAGGTTTTTCCATTTTCTCCATAGAAATAGTCTCCATTTCATGCCATTTTATGCCATTGAAAACCTGAAAAATTTAGAATTTCGAGAAAAATTATTTTTAAAAAAGATATTTTCGGCCAATAATGAACAGAGTATCATGAAACATGGAGAAAAGTGGTTTTCAGAAAAACTTTGAAAAATGTTGACTTAGAAAATTTTCGGTCCGAGTCTTTTTCGATACGTACATCCCGTATCGAGAGCTCCCGATTCCGAGCTCGTGTTGCAAAGGGGAGGCCTGCCTTCCGAGATCGCATTACCTCGAGTCCAAAATTGTGTATCGAGGGGAAAAAGATATTCTCGGCAAATAATGAACAGGGTAGCATGAAACGTGGAGAAAAGCGGTTTTCAGAAAAAATTACCCCTCGGTACACAATTGCCCCCTGGTAATGCGATCTCGGAAGGTAGGCCTCCCCTTTGCAACACGAGCTCGGAATCGGGAGCTCTCGATACGAGAGGTACGTATCGAGAATGACTCGGGCCGAAAATTTTCTAAGTCAAAATGTTTCAAAGTTTTTCTAAAAACCACTTTTCTCCACGTTTTATGCTACCCTCTTCATTATTAGCCGAAAATATTTTTTTGGTTTTTCGGTTTATCGAAGTCTGCACGTACCCCTCGATAGTCGATACACAAATTTGGACTCGAGGCTTCCCCCTGGTAATGCGATCTCGGAAGGCAGGCCTCCCCTTTGCAACACGAGCTCGGAATCGGGAGCTCTCGATACGAGAGGTACGTATCGAGAATGACTCGGGCCGAAAATTTTCTAAGTCAAAATGTTTCAAAGTTTTTCTAAAAACCACTTTTCTCCACGTTTTATGCTACCCTCTTCATTATTAGCCGAAAATATTTTTTTGGTTTTTCGGTTTATCGAAGTCTGCACCTACCCCTCGATAGTCGATACACAAATTTGGACTCGAGGCTTCCCCCTGGTAATGCGATCTCGGAAGGCAGGCCTCCCCTTTGCAGTGCGAGCTTGTTTCGACTTTCGAGGATGTAGGTCTCACTTCTCAGTGCCTATTACTCTCCCCTATTACTCACTCCTGCTGTAGCCTGTAGAAATAACTTTACACTAGGCTTGAGTAATTATGAGTTTGCCTGAAGTGTGCCTCTACTAACCTAGTATAAGCATCTAGTAGCCTACTATGAGCTTTCATAAGCTTGTTACGCCCCTAGTAAGCGTAAATAAATATGTTAGGATGTCCAATTTAGGTGTTAAATGGTGTTAAAGATGAAATTTCGAAGACAAAATTCATGGCATAAAATGGAGAAAATGGAGAATTACTCATGGGTTTTTCCATTTTCTCCATAGAAAAAGTCTCCATTTTATGCCATTTTATGCCATTGGCCCCCCCCCCCCCCCCCCCGTTGTTAGTTTTTACTTTTGTTGTTTTTCGGATCAACTATAAATTTAAGATATTTCTGGATCTGGAATCAATGATATTTCACAAACAATAAAGGTGGTAAAATGGCAAAATTGGGCATAAAGACAAGTGCAAAAGCTTGAAAAGGTTGGTCAGCCATAAATGACACCTAGTGGAACTCAAATATAATGTCCAAAATCCTTTGAAATCTTGATATATCAATAAAAGGGATCTGTATGTACTATCATCGCTGGTTTGATTTCAAATGCAGTGCGGAATCGCACTTTGTACCTAATCTACTGCCGCACTATTTCGTACCGTTGTCCGTTATCTGTACTACCAGTTGTTTTTTCGTAAAACACATATCGAACAATTTTGTCCTTCAGAAAATAAACCCAAAAAGTTCATTATCAATATTGTGAAACGTGGCAAATGCATTACTAATGACTCATCGAGCTCGATCGCAAATCGCAATCCCTGATCAGATTGAAATACAGTCACTTTAGTCACAAATCACAATTAGATGGTATCGGTAGATTCTTAGATTGTAGTGTACACACCCTTTTGTGTGTGAAATGTATTGAAACACAAAATTGTTACCATGTTCTACCTTAATGTGCTCATAACCACCTCATTACTAACTAACCTCCTCCGTAATCAGTTTTACACATAGCTATTGTGTCAAAATTACACTAGCGTAATCATTTGGAAACCACCCCCCCCCCCCCCCTCAGCTGATTACGTAATATGTGAACAACCGCAATGTGCCTCATAACCACCTTGAATTACTAACGACTAACGACTAATGACTAGCGATTCATTCTAACATTCTAACCCAAGGGTACTGTGGGTACATTTCTGTGCTCACACATGAAACCCAGGAGTTGTAAGTCAAAAATGTGAATAGCCGGACAGAAATAAAAAGAATATTTTGAAAAACTTAACTTAATTGGGCAGAGACTAATTTTATTTTATTTTTATTGAATGATATTGTGCCTAAACGTTTCTGCATTTCTGGCTGAGACCAACAAGATCATCAGTCAAGGCGCAGTGCTGCAGAAAGAGATGAAGACGGTCGAGGAAAAGGTCATTCTGGACACCGATTATGCTGATGACATGGCTATTATGGACAACTCAGGGGAAGGCCTACAGGAATCAACTGATCTATTAGTTCATTACAGCTCCTACGCTGGGCTCAGAATAAATGCAAAGAAGACCCAATGCATGGCTGTAAGCAAGTGCGCCTCCCAGCGACCTTTCATCAAGGATGATTGTATTGAGCTGTCGGTTGAGGGTGAACCCGTCGAGCAGGTTAGCAACTTTGTCTACCTGGGTGCAACTATCAGTGGGGATGGGACAATCAACAGAGACCTGGATGTCCGTATCCAGAAGGCTAATGGCGCCTTTCATCAGCTCTGGAACATTTTGAATAGCAGAACTATAAAGACTCCAACCAAAATCAGGATCTATAGGGCTGCTGTCCTCACCATCTTGTTGTATAGAGCTGAAGTCTGGAACACCACCAAAAAGCAGATGATACTTTTCGAGGTTTTCCATCAAACCTCCTTGAGAAGGATCCTTAGGATTAAATGGTTCTTTCATGTGACCAACGACGAAGTTCTTAGGAGGGCTGGCATCAAGTCAGTTGAGACTTTCATCAGTGCTGCGCCTGCCAGGCTACGTTGGTATGGACATGTGGTTAGAATGCCAGACTCTAGACTACCGAGGTTTCTGTTGAACTGGAAGCCAAATTATGGAAAGAGGTCAAGGGGAAGACCCCGTAAGAACTGGAAGTCCTGCGTACTCGAAGATGCTGCTAAGTTTACAGGTGTTGAAAACATCGACAACGACACAACAGAAGCTTTGGCTACCAACCGAGTACAGTGGAGACATATGTTACGCCGCCAACGCGATGTGTGTGATGCAGGCCACTCCAACGACTAGGAGGAGACCTTACCAGGCCATGTAACATGTAACATGTATGTATGATATTGTGTATGGAACGATAACTTTATGTAGAATCTGTTGCTTTGATAAACCATTGAAGTGCTAGTCGTTTGTAAATTTGTAAAATGATAGTTAATATTTATATACTTTAGATGCTGCATACTCCATAATTTCTTATAGTTTTAATCGATTAACAAATGCATGTATTTTAGCAAGACAACAAATGTTGATATGAAAGAAAAGGATTTCAAACACCTGTACAATTATGGAGATATCCCAGATAAAGCTAACCCGACCCTAGAGTAAGTCAAATTATTAATCAAGTTATTAAAATTAATTTAATTAAAGAATTCAATCAATTTTGTTTGTTTTAATTTTGTTTTAATTTGTTTTAATTTTGTTTTAATTTTGTTTTAATTTTGTTTCAATTTTGTTTTAACTTTCTTTTAATTTTCTTTTAATTTTCTTTTAATTTTCTTTTAATTTTGTCTTTGCCTGTTACTTTTGTTCACATATACACATTTTGCTCACATCACTCACAGTCAGCCGCTCTGACATGGTTAACCACCTTCCTTGTGTTGTTGGTTAATCATATGAGCGGGATATAAACACTCATTTCATTTCATTAATGCTAATAGTGGGATGGTAAATTATTAGTTAATAAAATTGAAACTTGCAACATGTTTTCGTGATATATGAGTCCGGTTTTTAATTTTTTGCACGTTTCTTTTAGAAATCAATATCTTTTGAATCTAAAACATTAGAGCATTGATTGGGTTAGGTTGGTTACAAATGTATTGATGTTTTCAGGAAACTATTGGCACCCCACAAGGAGGCGTTTAACTTTACAGTGGGTGTTGGGTTGGAGCATGCAGTACAGGATCTACTGCCCGAGAAACTGCTTAATGCTGACGGCAAGAAGGTAAGAATGATATAAATATATAAGAATATTATGAATATATAAAGGAGGCTGCTCTCTAAAGGTCTTAGAGGGAATTAATAAAAAATTAAATAAGCTGAATTAATGTTCGTTTATATTGGTGACAATCCCATCCATTTCATTTAAATTTTTACCAACTTTAGAAGACAATATACACTTCTCGATCTCAATTAGAAGTGTATATTGTATACATTTTAATTGTCACCTGCAGGTGACACTACGAATCAAACGGGTGACATTCAGTAAGCCGATGGTGAACGAAAAGAACTCATTCTCGAGGCAGCTGTTAGTGTACCCATCGGAGTGCCGTGAGGGAGGGACTACTTATCAGGGAAACTTGGAAATCGATGTGAGTTGGTTTATTTGCACGTGCTTTATCAAGTTTAGATAGGCTTGTTGAAAAGTTAGGAAACTGCCGCACCGTCTGAAGCTTTCGTTAAACAACATGTACAATGTACAATTTACATGCCCATTGCCCAATTTAATATCAAAGTCAATCACAGTACTCTGCCGTTCTAATTCTATGTATTACGCAAAAACATGGAACCTTATTAAAGCGAAAAACGTATCCTAATATATTGGCAGAATACATGCATGAACCTATCAAGGATACGCGAATTAATCTAAATCAAAGCAGTCATATCACAAATAAGATATCAATTAGCAAAACCGAAGCGGACAATTGAAATTTCCACCGCAACTCCACTAGAAGTTCCAGAAAAGATTACGTGTTCTAGATCGTAGTGCCAAGGATACCCTACACCGCCTTATCAGTTATCTCGGATCAGAGGAGTTAGACCAGTGACCTATGACTAGGCTTAGGCTATCTGTAAGCGGACGTTCGCATAGATTCACCTTAATTATGACTAGGCTATCTGCAAACGGACGTTCGTATGTAATTCACCTTAATTATGACTAGGCTATCTGTAAGCGGGTGTTCTCATACATTCACGGTTCACCCTAATTATGACTAGGCTATCTGCAAACGGATGATTGCATGTATTCACCATAATTTTTGCCAATTTTTACCAGCTGCCAGCCCTATCGGGGTTTTCAAACAGAGTGTGCTAAATCACTATACACTCGAACTTCGAGATTTTTCTAAAGGGCCCCCGATAGTTGAAATTAATCTGAATCGATTTTAAACGCTGATTCCGAATCATCCCACATGACATGGGTTAAAAATTAAAATACTCTCCTGGCGAGTTATCGGCGAAAAAATCTTTCGCTCACAATCACATGACATGACCATTTAAGGAAGTTGGTATAATTTCTCGTTAGTGTTAGGGTTTTAGAATATACTTCAGTTAGGGATTAGGTTAGGGTTGGGGTCAGAGTAGAGGGGTAGGATTTTTAGTAGTCCCTCAGGGCGATCTAGAGAATGTGTTTTTAAGTAAGTCACATGATACTCAAGTGTAGGGTGATTAATCATCATACCCTTTCAGATTAAGTACCTTTCCCCAAACTCCATGGTAAATCAGGGTTTTACTGTACCTGTTCCCTTCCGCTCACCTCTTTGCAAATAGGAGCAATAGGCTTTTAACCGGCCGATAGCCGTAAACCCCCCCCATCCTTGTGCTTGTTCAATGTTCACCCCATTGTCTCCACAGTTGGATGTACACGTTGAGGATACCCTGGTGTCCAGTTTCACGCGCCACGTGGGAATGGCTCCCATAATGGTGCAGTCTGATATGTGTAACTTACAAGGGCTCACTCCGGATCAGTTGGTGAAGAGGAAGGAGGACCACAATGAGATGGGAGGGTACTTTGTCATCAACGGGAATGAGAAAGTCGTCAGGTTAGGGTGTTGAATTTTAAAAATTCTCAGCACGAATTTGTTGTTACACTTAATATGTTAGGTTTTCGGGAAACACTGAGGAGAATGATAGCTTAAATCCCGTTTCGTCTAGGGCCTGTCGTGATATCATAGATCGCTTAGGTTCCACCAGGATCTGGTAGTCCTCATAATTCTGCGGTTTCGTCGTTTCATTCAATAGTATTCCATTTTATCTCAAATTACTCCAGGATGCTGGTTAATCCACGAAGACATTTTCCTTACACGGTAAAGAGAACGTCTTACAAGAACAAAGGGGCTTGCTTTACTGAATTCGCCCTACAGGTATAAGACAGAGCTGCTGTAGTATCTGCAATTAAATATTATGGGACGGTGCTGTATTACAGTACACTCCCTTGGTCCGCCAACAATAGAAGAGGTCGGCTGGTTGACCAAATCCCTAACGGACCAAATCCCTACCGCAGTACCGCTATCAGCTCTAACCATAACACAGGGGTTATAGAGGAAATGTACCCTAAATTTAAGCCAATTATCAAATTATGTAATCAGATTATCATTACAGATGAAATTTATTACAGTTTGTGATTATATTGAATTGAACCACCCCCCTCAGATAAGATGCGTCAGGTTAGACCAGACTTCTCAGCGACAAACTCTACACTACCTCAGTGACGGACAAGTCATCTTGAACTTCACCCACAACAAAGCTCTCTACTTTATCCCTGTTGTGCTGATTATGAAGAGTTTACTTGCTGTTACTGATAAGGAGGTATTTTTGTAACCGTTTTACATTTTGAGTCCATACTGTTGTGATGACCAATAATTATACTTTTACACTCAGCTTACAATTGATTTGAAAAAAAAACCCCAAAAATTTAGTTTGTACCGTACATTAGAAATTAGAATACAGTAATTGTGGTTGGAATTCAAACTTCTCTTAATAGATGGACAGTATAAGGTTGACACACGAATCAAATTCAGCTGATTTATAATCGAAGGTTGATGTTTAGACTCTAGAATACATAGTTATAAGAATCCCTCGATTTCCAATAACTTTGGATTGGTACCGTTTTTCACGCAAATAGAATTTACCGGCGCATTGAAACAAAAATTAACCAAGTGACAAATACTAACAGCGCCTGCGAATATTTTGACTGTCAGTAAGATTTTTATAATAGGGACTTGTAGTAATTAGATTGAGTTGTAGATTTTTGTGCTGTTCAGCAATATCCAGTTACCAAATTTTGTTCATAGTACAGATCAATAGCGACCTCTATTTGGGCTGTGCTATCAGGCTCGACAAGCCATAATTAGATTGTCTGCTAATTGAGCATATAATTACACTTAAATTTGAAAGTATTGGACTTAAATCAGCGATTCAAGAGTTCATTAAAATTGGGAATGCTCAACGTACACTTAACAGAAACTCTAAACAGGTATTTGAAGAATTGGTTGAGGGACACGAGACTGACAAAGTCTACTGTAACTCAATTGCTTCCATGTTACGGACTGCTCAAACTGAGGCTGGAACGTACGATCAGGTAAATACAATTTTATGCGAGATCATAACCAAACATAAATTTAATTTCTTGTCATCTAATCTGGGAAGGTTTTTCCAGAAAATTAATCTTACTCCATTTCTAATATGTTTGATGATAATTGCCTCCTCAGATTCGCTGTTACCTTGGCAAGCTGTTCCGAATAAAACTGGAGTTGCCTGCCTGGTACACTGACGAGGAAGTTTGTGTTGTCTTGCTCAAGAAATTTGTCCTGGTCCATCTGAACGACAACTTTGACAAGTTCAACCTTCTCGTTTTCATGGTCAAGTGAGTGATACTCTCAAGTGTGTGCCTTAATTATTGTCACTGCTCGAGAGAATCCCCTGTGGACTGTGGAGTTATGGAGTTTGGACGTTCAACGTAAACGTGCTAACAGCTCTACTTCTATGACATAACAGTAGATTTGGTTCCCACTATTAAGTAAAATTAAGTAGCCAACCATCATTTACCCGCAGGAAGCTGTACGCGTTTAAAGACGGTAGATGCGCAGAAGAAGGAGCTGACAACCCCATGATGCACGAGGTGATGTTGGGGGGGCACCTGTACCTGGCTCTATTGAAGGAGAGGTGCGAGGTGTGGCTGCGGACACTGCGGATAGAAATGGAGAAGGCAGTGAAAATGAGTGAAACTCCTGTGGATGTAACCACTGACAGTGTCGTCAACAAGTGCGTGATATTACTACTAGTTGCTTCCAGTTCTAGATCATTCCTATAGCTGGGTTAAAATCTATGAACATCAGTATTCTGTTGTTCTGACCTTTATTTTTTTGCGTACACCGGATTTTAAAGATTCTGATTGAAACCTGCACCTCCAAGCTATATTCGTAAAAACTTCTTAACCAATCACCTCCTCCCACATCAGAATGCTTAACCAATCACCTCCTCCCACATCAGAATGCTGGCTAGATTGCCCAATATTGGACACGCTCTCAACTACTTCCTGGCGACAGGGAACTTGAAATCTAATTCCGGACTGGACATGCAGCAAATATCTGGTTTTGCTATTGTGGGCGACAAACTGAACTACCAGCGTTGGCTCTCTCATTTTAGGTCAGTTTAGCACCTGATTTCAGTGATATATATTTTTTTAATTAATTGATGCATCAATTAAAAGCTGTATCCACTGAGTTGAATATCTTGAATTTTCAAAATGCCACTTTTTCCATCAGATGTATACATAGAGGAGCTTTCTTTACGGAAATGCGTACCACAACAGTCCGAAAGCTCCGGCCGGAAGCTTGGGGTTTCATTTGCCCCATCCACACTCCGGATGGGACACCTTGCGGGTTGTTGAACCATCTCTCCGCTGCTTGCACTGTTGTTACTGAACTTAGCGAGGATACGGCTATTCAGAGGTTTGTTTTAAGATCTTAAAATTACGGAGCATCACGTGACCATTTGCACTACTGATATGTACATATACCTTATCGGACTTTATTTGAATAGACATTAAATTGGACGCTGGAGGCCCTAGCGTTCATTTTAATGTCCGTTCAAAATTATGTCCGTTCACAAAATAACGTCCGATAAGGTAAGTTATTCATTATAGGGGGGGGGTGTCACGTCCGTCTATGTCCGCTTGTCTCATAGAATCCAAAAAGGACAGGACATAGGCGGACATAGGCGGACATAGGCGGACATAGGCGGACATAGACGGACATAGACGGACATAGGCGGACATTGGCGGACATAGGCGGACATAGACGGACATTAGCGGACATTAATGGACACCTAAATTGCTAAATAAAATGTTCAATTTTTGCTGTTATAGGGGGGTCATGTTTTTTGTCCGTTCGGTACCCTATATTTTCAAAACGGACAAAAAATAGATCGGACAAAAATGGACAAAAACGGACAAAAATGTAAATAACATTTAGATGCTTCCTCCTCCTACTCTTCCTCCTCCTCCTGGCTCTTCCTGATCTTCCTCAGTCCTCTTCCTCCTCCCCTCCTCAGTCCTCCTCCTACTCCTCCTCCTCGTCCTCAGTCCTCCTCATCAGTCCTCAACAGTCCTCCTCCTCCCCAGTCCTCCTCCTCCTCAGTCCTCCTCCTGGGTCCTCCTCCTCCTCTTCATTCTCCTCCTCTTCCTCCTCAGTCCTCCTCCTCATCCTTCTCCTCAGTCCTCCATCCTCCTCCTCAGTCCTCCCCCAGTCCTCCTCCTCCTCCTCCTCCTATTCAGTCCTCCTCCTCCTCCTCCTCAGTCCTCCTCCTCCTCTTCTCTCTCAGTCATCTTCCGCAGCCATCCTCCTCAGTCCTCCTCAGCCCTCCTCCTCAGTCCTCCTCCTCCTGGGTCCTCCTCCTCCTCTTCATCCTCCTCCTCTTCCTCCTCGGTCCTCAGTCCTCCTCCTCAGTCCTCCTTCTCATCCTTCTCATCAGTCCTCCTCCTCCTCAGTCCCCCTCCTTCTCCTCCTCCTATTCAGTCCTCCTCCTGATCCTCCTCCTCCTCAGTTCTCCTCAGTCCTCCTTCTCATTTCTCCTAAGTCCTCCTCCTGAGTCCTCCTCCTCCTCTTCCTCCTGAGTCCTCCTCCTGCGTCCTCCTCCTCCTCCCTCTCAGTCATCCTCCTCAGCCATCCTCGTCAGCCATCCTCCTCAGTACTCCTCAGTCCTCCTCCTTCTCAGTTATCGTCAGTCCTCCTCCTCAGTCCTCCTCCTCCTTCTGGGTCCTCCTCCTGGGTCTTCCTGATCCCCCCAGTCCTCTTCCTTCTCCCCTCCTCAGTCCTCCTCCTACTCCTCCTCCTCGTGCTTAGTTTTCCTCATCAGTCCTCAACAGTCCTCCTCCTCCCCAGTCCTCCTCCTCCTGGGGCCTTTTCCTGGGTCCTCCTCCTGGGTCCTCCTCCTCCTGGGTCCTCCTCCTCCTGGGTCCTCCTTCTCCTCCTGGGTCCTTCTCCTCCTCCTCCTCAGTCCTCTTCCTCCTCTTCCTCCTCCTCCTCCCTCTCAGTCATCCTCCTCAGCCATCCTCCTCAGCCATCCTCCTCAGTCCTCCTCAGTCCTCCTCCTGAGTCCTCCTCCTCCTCAATCATCCTCCTCAGTTCTCCTCCTCCTCCACCTAGGTCCTCCTTCTGGGTCCTCCTCCTCCTCCTCCTCCTCCTGGGTCTTCCTGATCCTCCTTCTCCCTCTCAATCATCCTCCTCAGTCATCCTCCTCAGCCATCCTCCTCAGCCATCCTCCTCAGCCATCCTCCTCAGTACTCTTCAGTACTCTTCAGTCCTCCTCCGTCTCAGTCCTCCTCAGTCCTCCTCATCAGTCCTCCTCCTCCTGAGCTAATGTCCACTAATGTCCGTCCGAGTCCGCCAATGTCCGTCCGGGTCCGCAAATGTCCGTCCGTGTCCGCCAATGTCCGTCTGTGTCCGCCAATGTCCGTCCTCCTCCTCCCCAGTCCTCCTCCTCCTCCTGGGGCCTTTTCCTGGGTCCTCCTCCTGGGTTCTCCTCCTCCTGGGTCCTCCTTCTCCTCCTCAGTCCTTCTCCTCCTCCTCCTCAGTCCTCTTCCTCCTCTTCCTCCTCCTCCTCCCTCTCAGTCATCCTCCTCAGCCATCCTCCTCAGCCATCCTCCTCAGTCCTCCTCCTGAGTCCTCCTCCTCCTGAGTCCTCCTCCTCCTGAGTCATCCTCCTCAGTTCTCCTCCTCCTCCACCTAGGTCCTCCTTCTGGGTCCTCCTCCTCCTCCTGGGTCTTCCTGATCCTCCTTCTCCCTCTCAGTCATCCTCCTCAGTCATCCTCCTCAGTCATCCTCCTCAGCCATCCTGCTCAGCCATCCTCCTCAGCCATCCTCCTCAGCCATCCTCCTCAGCCATCCTCCTCAGCCATCCTCCTCAGTACTCTTCAGTACTCTTCAGTCCTCCTCCGTCTCAGTCCTCCTCAGTCCTCCTCCTGAGTCCTCCTCCTCCTGAGCTAATGTCCACCAATGTCCGTCCGAGTCCGCCAATGTCCGTCCGGGTCCGCAAATGTCCTTCCGTGTCCGCCAATGTCCGTCTGTGTCCGCCAATGTCCGTCCGAGTCCGCCAATGTCCGTCCGTGTCCGCCAATGTCCCAAAAAACACGTCCGTTGTCTCATAGAATCCAAAAAGGACAGGACATAGGCGGACATAGACGGACATGACACCCCCCCCATTATAACAAATTTTTATAAAGTTTGAAGTCAATATCAGTTTCCGCCCTCCTTTCTCTCAAACCCCCTTTCTCTCAGACACCTGGTCTCGCTAGGAGTGAACCCCATCTCAGCACCTCGAACTCCAGGCTCGGTGCCCGTTATATTGGAGGGTGTGGTGTTTGGCACTGCCCCGGCCAAGCGGTGCGAGCAAATCGTAACGGGACTTAGGTACTTCAAAGTCAACGGCCAGATACCTGAATGTACTGAGGTAAGAACCTTCTGACGTTACATCAACCAAAGTTGTGAGCTTCGCCGTAGCCACCCGTGATCCTTAAAATATGATTCTATAAATGTCTATTTAATCTCTCTCAACTTTTAGGTCGTTTATTTGCCGGTGATGACTGCTCCTGGTCAGTACCCTGGACTCTTCATCTTCACAGGTCCAACCCGCATGGTGCGACCTGTTCGGAACATTGGATTTGACAAGACCGAAATGATCGGAACTTTTGAGCAGGTGCCGGGATATGATATTTTTGCAGATTTTTTCAATTGATTGAATCTCTAGACAATACAAATTCTCTGCCATTGTATAACATCGCTTCTTCAGGTTTACCTCCACGTGTGTATCACTAAAGATGAGTTTGAAGAAGGTATCACCACCCACCAAGAACTCTCTCCGATCAACATGCTCTCCGCTCTGGGCCAGCTCATACCCTACTCCAACTTCAACCCCTCCCCCCGAAACATGTACCAACTTCAGATGGGTAAACAGACCATGGGGATACCATCTCACACACTAGATTTCCGGTCCGACAGCAAGGCTTACAAGCTGGAGACTCCCCAGGCTCCACTAGTCCGTCCCAGTGCCAACAGTAATTACGATATAGACGAATTTCCGTCCGGGACGAACGCAATTGTAGCGGTAATATCGTATACTGGATACGATATGGAGGACGCCATGATTATAAACAAGTCTGCATATGAGAGGGGGTTTGCTCATGCTAATATCCAAAAGTCGCATGTTTATGATCTCAGCCCTAAGGGAGGAAAGAATTCGGAAGTGTTTGGATATGATCCCTCGACATACACTCCGCAGGGTGACGAAGATGTCAACTTAATAGCCTTAGATTCAGACGGAATGCCGCCAATAGGGACTAAACTGGTATTCAACGACCCCATGTACTCAACGATAGACTTAGCCACAGGAAAGTGTACCATAAAACGTTACCAAGGCCTGGAGCCTGGGTTTGTTCACAGTGTAAAAGCGCTCGGGAACGATATGGGTACAGGGGACCTCCACAAGGTGTGTATAACCCTGAGATCGACCAGGAACCCTACTATAGGGGACAAGTTCGCTAGTCGGCACGGTCAGAAAGGAGTCTGCTCCATGTTGTGGCCTGCTGAGAGTCTACCCTTTACAGATGGTGGTATGGTACCTGACATCCTCTTCAATCCTCACGGATACCCTTCAAGGTTAGCTTACTCAACTTTGCTTTTAATTACTATCTAGGATTTGAAGCCATGCTTTATTAAACAAGTTTTCTCATTTTAACCTTGTGAATATATTGCTTATCTGGGTGCATAACTGCAGCGCAAAGCCTCGTGTGAGCACATCCTCAACCGTGCTATTCTTCACTGCCAAATATTACCTTCACAACACTGTCACAGTCCTGTCACAGTATGTACCTTCCTCAGGATGACAATAGGTATGATGATAGAGACGATGGCAGGAAAAGCGTGTGCAGCCCACGGGATTGAGCAGGATTGTACACCCTTCTTGTTCAGTGAGGAGAATAGAGCTGATGACCATGTTGGGGAAATGCTCAAACAAGCTGGTACTTTACTGCTTAATATTCTGATTTAAAACAATCCAATGTTAGCAAAATAATTGTTTTGACTTTGTCAAACTACCGATAAAGCTTTTCTTTCAGCGAATACTTGGGAAACTTAGTACAGATACATATTTCTACAGAAAACATTTTGCAGGATACAACTATTTCGGTACGGAGTCCATGTACAGCGGACAAACGGGAGAGGAGTTTGAAGCTCAGATATTTATCGGAGTAGTTTACTATCAAAGACTGAGGCATATGGTGTCAGACAAGTACCAGGTATATTTCAACGACTGTTTTTGTAGCCATAAAATTTAAGATTGATCATTTCATTAATCACGTTATTTGCTCGACTTTTTTTGTTTTGTTCGCCGTGTTCTGTTAGTCAAAAAGGGTTGGAAGAAACATTTTTCTACTCCCAGGTGAGGACGACAGGCCCCGTGGACCAGTTGACCAGACAACCTATAAAAGGAAGGAAGAAGGCTGGTGGAATCAGGTTCGGGGAGATGGAGAGGGACGCACTTTTGTCTCACGGCACAGCCTTCCTCATGAATGACAGGCTACTCAACTGCTCCGACCTTTGTGTTACTCATGTGAGTATGACAGGGACTCTTTATAGTTTCCTCAAAAACACTATGACTCAGCCCTGAGTTCTGGTTAAATAGAATGAAAATGGAGATAAAGTCAAATGTAATTGGAGATAAAATAAAATAAAATGCTTTTACTTAACTTTTAATCGATAATATAATATATAACTATCCGGTTATCCCCTTGTAGGTCTGTAAGACATGTGGTAAGACGATTGGCGTTTATTCAGCGGCTTCTTTCAAATCGAAACAGTCCTGGAAATGCAGAGTAAGTTTAATTCAAAACTAAGCTGATATAAAATCGCACATATTAGCACTGTTTACTTCACACTTTTGATTAGGTTTATTTTTCGTAACAAGGGGTCGGATACCTTGATAGGAGAATTTCTTCATTTCAAGAATTTTAATTTATGATCCGATACTCTTTTCCCCTTCATATAACTCGTCAAACTCGCCCTCGGCGACAAGCGAGCAGTTATGACAATTCCAGTATTAAAATTTTAAATTTTAATAAATCGAAGCTATCGTAAGCTGGTGTAAGCTGTTTTTGAACTTCCTCAAATTAATTTGATAGCATGTCTGATATCTGGATGATAAGATATAGTAAAACTGTTACGGACGTAATATGTAATCGGATCCAATGATACAAAGCAGATGATTAAACTTCAGTAGGCAATTTAAGTAAATTTCCTAAATTTCAGCTGTGTAAAGACAAGTCGGAAGTGGTACCAGTAAAACTACCATACGTTTACAATTACCTCACCGCAGAATTGGCTTCTATGAACATTAGCCTTAGTATGAAACTGAGCTAGGCCGATCATGGGACACACGTTTTTAGCTAATTTATTAATTTTAACTTTTATTTATTTGACAGGCTAGGGTATATGAGAAATTCTATCATTATAGTTTTTTTGAAGTCTGGCATAATATGTTCAGAAGTATTATATATATTCTGTTTGATCATTTATTTTAAGGATTTTATGATTTTCTTAAAAGGACCAGTTACTTAGTACTTTGCTTGTATTGGTGAATAAATGAAACACGAAAATTACAATGAAGGTGATTAAAACAAAAAAACAATCAAAACAAGAAATGATGTACAAAATTCAAATTACAAAACCAATCCAATGAATTAAAATAATTTAAAATATACACTATCTGCTTACATACGATAAATCTTCCATACCAACAATAATATAATCCCAGTTAAACAACAAATAGTCACAATTATACATTCAATTGTTAGTTTAAATATCAAATCTTCATATCTACTTGCAAAATCTATCACATCGATGGTTCAAACATCACATAATTAATGGACCGACAGATTTAATCAATTCCTAAAAACTCATTTAAATCGTACCCAAAAATAGCAGCATCATCCTTATATAACTTCGTTAAAATCTGTTTCTTATCCACGCTAATATCCCTCAACAACACCTTGGCCTCGTCTCTCGAACTGCTACTTGCCTCTTTGAAAAAGTGCTCAGGAACGTAGTTCTGTAGATTTAGTTTGTCTATCAAGTACTCACTCTCTTCTTTTTGGTTCTCGAACTTTCCAACAAAGTTGTAGTTTATGTGGCATGGTCGACAAATAGTTGTCACCGGTATCCAATGTTCGTTCATCTCCTCAACATTCTGTAATTGTGATTTGGGATTAATAAACCTTTCAATTAATCAAACAATCGATCAGGAATTAAGGACAGCTCATTCAACTCCAGAAAGTTATTGATCCTTGAGAAATATTGAATGCAAATCCAGAGTAATACCTTTTAGTAAAATTTAGTTAACAATTCAAATGAGATAAGATCCTAAATTCCTGACCCAATTTACCCAATTTGCTAATTACAACATGATTGATTATTTCATGATCTTCATTAGATAGCTCACCGAGAATGATGTAATGTAGTTTATGTACTCCTGGAAACTTATTGGGAACCCCCTCTCCAGCTCGTGGGGTGTGAACTTCTCCCTGAACCTCTTCATTATGTTCCGGCCGTATTGGTGATGGAAGTTGACATAGTCTGACCTGACCAGATGGATTGTCACTGCATTAACTACATATTAAGGTTACTTAATTGCTCCGGTATTTAGATAAAAATGCGTCAACTTAAAATTGCTATTAACATTAAACCAATTTATCATTTTGGAGTACCGTACCTGTTTTCCTTTGGGTGATGTTGAAACTTGTCCCTCCAAGCGCTGACAATCCTCACTAGAGGGTCTCTGGCAAACGTGAAGGTGTAGTACTTGTCCAGCCTGGGTAGTAGCTTTGTTTAAGCAGTCTGGCCTCCCTATCTGTGCTTTCAGGGAATTGTAATACCTGATAGCTTCAACAAGTCAACAATGTTATCACGTGTCAGCTTCTTTGCTACTACAATAATATTGTTCAGTTCCCCTTCAGAGTCAGACTCAAACTGACGAACTATAAAATTAGTTGAAATTAGAATTAATTACTTAAATTTACTCTACAAATTCTACTCACACTCTCAAAGCTTTAATGGTGTCCAGGTCGCTCAGCCTCTTGAAGTGATAATCCAAGTGCGGGAATATATCCTCAATGTCTTCATCCTCGTACATTGCCACCTCACCAGACTTCAGTAGGATTTGCTTCCACTTAGTGCAGGCTGCTTTTGGTACACTGCAGTACGCAAATCTGAGAGTTTGAGGTTTGAGTGAGGACTTTATAATGAGGTCAAGCAAGAATAAAAATTGTTAATGTTATTTTAGGGCAAGTACAAAGTAAAATGATGATTATTTTCCTAAATCTTCAAGCTAAAAATTAAACATTTCAAATGAACTTTGGCTGTATTCCAAATTGATAAATTCAGTAACTTATAGATTAAATACTTGTGTTTGTGATCTACGAATACTCGATTGTACAATCCTTTCTTCTGGTGAGCTGCCAGGAACTTTGGTTCTGAGATATCACCTCCCGAACATTGATTTTTCATCTGTTTGAAAATGAAAGAGTCATTAGCTCGATTAGCTTAAGAATAGAATTCTTCATAGGATGCAGATGGTAATTATCCAGTGGACATTAGATGTTTGTTGTTAACAGGAAACTATAGGCCAAAGGAGTGTAGGAAATACAAATTGATGAAAATATCCACTTTTCTCACCATAGTAAGCCTCTTTCTATTCAAGCTTTCTACCTTCTCGTCTCTCTTTCTCATTGCATATTTAAGCGGCCTTGCGATTTTGGATGATACCTCTTCAGTATTATTCTCTGCAAAACCTACAATAGATTGATGAAAAATGAGATTATTGATATTATCTCTTTTCGGACTTCAGTAAGAAGAAATTGTTTCCTTGCCTGGATAGGAGATATTTATCTTACAATAAAAATGCAAATGAATTCGTAAGCATTATAATTATCGGATTGAAATCTGGAAATGCTTGAGAGGAATTTCAAGATAAAACTCCAGTACAATTTCTAGAAAATGATGTGTCATTATTCAGTGCGTTTTCAATAAATACCTTTCAATACGCTTGAGCAAACATGTCCTAAAAGCAAGGCTAGGAGAAATATTACTGCCACTTTGAGTAATTTTTTCAATAACCGTATTGGTATGTATTGATTGATTCCATCATGAGCTATATCGGTCTCATCGTGACGCCTGTAAAAGATGTACTGATATATTTTTAGAGTGTTTGATGAAGTCTCACTTCCTGATCAATTAAGCCAGGATTAGGATACATTTTTTTCTTCCACCGACATTCAGCAGTTAAAATGTACATGAAAGTTTAAAGTTTCACTTTCAGTAATTTTTTTCATTAACAATTAAGGAACAATAAATCGCAATTTAATTGCATATAGATCCGGACAGAGTCCATTAAGGATGCAATTGCAATTTTCTCGAATATTCTCTCCACTAACCTCGCTTTGTAACGGTATGAAGTCGGGATGAACGGCTTCGTTGTCCGTACGGAAACAGGCATCAAACTACTCTGCAGCAAAGTCGTGCACTAAAACACTACTTGCACTGTTCTACGGCTCCGACAGGATCATATCATCACTTTCTCCGCGAGGGAGCTATTATCCAATAGGTTTCATTTGCCTGCAGCTGCAACAATTCACCTTAGATCACTCAACGTAATTACGATATTGGCTGCAAACACGATCCAATAGATATTGTACGTAATATTGTTCATCTTCGTATAATACTATAATATGCATCTCATGAAAAACAGTTTGCAGACAAACGTTGGCAATAACCTTTAAAGTTAAGCCCTGCATCCGATACAATTATTCTAAGCTGTGGCTGAGTGGCCAGTGCCATGTTCAATCAGAACAGAGTTGTTTATATCGAGGGGTTATAGTAGTATATGATATTTAAGTTGTTGAAGGGGTATTGCAACATGCATTGCAAACATTTAACTTTATAGTGGCTCTGATAGTGCTAGTGCTAGCAATATATAAATTCCTCTATCATCTATTAGTATTACTATTAACCTACTGTAAAATTAAAATGTATAAATTGAACAGGTAAATTTTATATGTGCTTTTACGAGTCGAGAGTTATCAACATTTAGTTCAAATCTACGGTCGAGGGGGTGGGTGAGACTGCCAAGGGAAATATATTCTCATGAATTTTAATTTTCAGGCACATAGGAGGGCTCATACGAAGACATTGAACTTGAAGCAAGCCTTTAAAATACTCCAACTTGTGCCATATGATGCAGTAACAAGTCACAAGATGACCTAAAATGCAGATTTCACAGAGCTTTGCTTTAAGTTTAGGGTTGAAATGAATGATATGGACACACCCCGAGCAATTAATCGTACGTATCCGGCCTTAAGCTAAAACTAGGCCCGCAAAGTATGACCATGTCATCTCATTTTTAACATGATTGTACAGGTGACCACTGACCAGGCCGGTACTCACGAAGTTAAAAGGTCGTGTCAGAGCCAGAATGGTTTTATATCTTCATTCTTACAAAGATTGGAGATAGATTAGTCACAGGCCTTTTTTATTAATCCTGTGTACGTGGACTGGGACGTTGTTATTAATATTTATAGCTTTCATCTCCGGCCAAACCATCAAACTATCCTACGGCATGATAGTTTAAAGAATCAAATCTTAACCGTAACGGATACAAACAAAATTTACAGTAAAGTAATCGAATCAAACAGTTGCATCATGATCATGCAAGTGACGGGGGCGGAGTATTACTATTAGTATTAATTGCGCACGAACTTGGAGGGGTGTGGCAGTATAATGGTTAAGTATAAAGATCTCGTGATGTAGTTTTAGGATTTATGCTAGCGGTGCCAGACAATTGATTTTATTTTAAAGTTTAATGGACCTGCAGAATAATGGCCGTCGAGGGATGCATGATGCAGACCAGTAAAACTTAATCAAACAGCCCCATTTTGACCGAACCGGTTTGAGTACCATTACCTGCCCTGAAGTCTTCGAACTAAAATGGTATTGGTAACAAAAACAAAAGCTCAGATAACAAATAATTTCCGGCCTTGTGTGGTTAAAAATTATTAAAAATGGTATGAACACAAAATAGCTTGCAGTTTGCACTGTTAGTGTTAAAAGGTTGCACAAATTTAGCAGATTTGGTTCTATGTTACGCGTAATAGGTTGAACGATATCAAAGTTATAAAATCGTCTAACCCAACGTCAACATGGGGAATGTGGTTATACAGCTCTGTCCAACTATCAAACTTGACAGCCACTCCAAAGTCCAGACTGCAGGTAGTGGTACAATGCTTGTTTATCAGGCCCGGTTGAAAGCTTTAACCGCAAGCCGCGATCACGACTTGACTATCCGGCAGCTTGTCATGAGTCATATTATTAATGTAGGTATGCAGATTGTGGAGAGTACGTGCAGGTAAAACGATAAACCTGCGAGGGTCTGCAAGATGAAGGGTATGGAAGGGTCTGGGCTGCTGACTCCTGTTAAACATAGAATCAGATTGTCTAGGCTGTACAGTGTTCAACAACTCGGCATACTGTCTGTGAGAAGTATGCTGCTGTGATCTGATATGCCTCACCAAGGGCCTCATAATTTAATCATAGGGACTATTCAATATACTGGGCCAAACTTCTTCTAAAGTTCTGTGCATCTGACGTTATGTAAGCGAAGCCATATCTGGAAGTTAGCACTATACCATTCATGTTCAATCTACACCCAATTCTTAATCCTAATGCCAATGGTAGGTATTTTATTCTGACCAAACTACGACCCACTAATCACTGTGCCAATTGCCACTGATTTTATTTATTTCCTTATTGGGTCGAATCAGAAACAACCAGGAAAACAGCTATAAGTTCCTCCAATCCTCTTTGCCCTCTTTTTATGCACGTCTTGTAGCGCGATGCACCACTGTGCCTCACCGAGCTGCGAAGGATTGACATCGTGAATCAAATGCACGTCTATAGTCCTACTTCCTAAATATTGATTAATCGATTCCTAAATTGTTTGAGCTAATGAAACACCGTTACTGAAACACGAACGAACTGCACAACTAAAGGCTCTCAAGTGATACAATAAAGCAGCTAAAGTTAACGTTTGACGGATATTAACATTAACAAAACAACTCTGACAAGCTACTGTTGACTGACAGAGTATATATCGGACAAGACCCCAGACCCCTGCTGCGACCTGCCACCCGGCCTGTATACTGCGATCTATCACAAGCTGCAGAGGTTAGTGGCCTCTGTCTACAAATTACAAAACTAACTCTAAGAGTAAGAGTCGAAGCAGCCTTACGCAATACACATGGTTAAAGGAGTGGTAGCAAGACAAATGACAAGCAGGCATATTTTTAGAGGGTAATCAATGTAGTAGGACATGCATGATGGACGTATGTCATACATACATGCATGCACTCTATTCAGCACTGATGAATTGTCGGTGTTTTGCACTTCGCCATCCCCAATACAAAGCTCCTTGTGATCAGGTGCATGTTGTTTCTGAAGGTCGAGCTTTAGAATGACCCGATTGAGCTGTGAACTGGATGACGTATAATTATAAACGAGATCGGGCCGGTAACCATAAGCATTGTAGTTAAATGAGATAAGGAGTCCCTCGGTGATGGGAACTACTACTAGTTATACTTGAATCGAGAAATAACTATAAGCTAAGGACCTAAAAGTCAAAATTAAAAATATATAACCGACAAGGCATAAATTCCCCAAGATTTCCCAGAACTAATGTAGTGTTATAACTGATATAAAGATTCGAATGTATAGAAGTGTCAAATTATGTTTTAAAAAAGTGTACACTACACTACACGCCCAGGCACCAACAGTACAGTGGTGTATAATTACTGTTCATCTGGCTTGTTTATTATGTAAGCGTATGTTTTTAGGGCTATCTTTTGGGGGAAACGTTGCTTCCTGCCACTGTGTTTTAATTGGTAGATCAAGTCACATGATCACTCAACAACGTGACATATGCCGGTTCAGAATCACGTGGTAACACGACCCCATGCACGTGTCAAGTTACATGGTACAGTGTATTATACTGTATAATCAGTGGTAATCACGATTCAAAACTGCAAGCATCTTAAACATTAAACATAAACCACGAGACAATGATCAACAGTCTGGATTTTTCATGGTTACACATAATGAAAGCATAATCATGCCGCTTGAAAGAACTAATTATCAACTTCGTCAAACTCAAAGCACAATTGCATTTGCAATTATTGATGGCAATTATAATAATAATAATAAATTGAAGTTTAAGAACACCACTATTAAGATAAACTTATACTCAGCAGTGTTTAATCTAGTCATCCCAGAAACTATCATGATAAAAGTTAGGACTGCTATCAAATACTTGAAAATATATCGTTCATATGAGTGAAACTTAAAACTAAAGAACTAACACTAAATATAGGCCAAAATCAGTCATTGATATAGTTTTTCAAGTTCATGCTGAGACAGTTTAAATAAGAAAGTTTTTAGAAATGCTTTAAAAGATTCCAGGGATTCAGCTGATGTGATGGTAGTAGGCAGACGGTTGTAGATCTTTGGAGCCACGACTGAGAAGCTTCGCTCGCCAAACTTAGAGTTGAACGATGGAACCATAAGTTTCAATGTGTGACCATGATGAGTGTACCGAAACATGTCTTGAATATACGTTGGAGCGAGCCCTAATAATGATTTGTGAGACAACAGTAATATTTTGAACACAATCCTTTTCTTTACATCCAGCCAGTGAAGATTAGTCAGGTCGTCTTCCAGGTGGTCATGCTTATATTTACCAGTAATTATTCATGGCTCTAAAATTTAAAGACGATCCATGTCGGAATTTTCACATATTCCTTCAGACCATTCCTTATCCCGATAAGAGCCTTTACTGTGTCGCCATAAACGGGAACACTAAAAATTTTGCTCCAGGAACATTACAACAACATTACAATAATGCAACTAATAAATAATCTTCCGATCAGGATATTAGTATTACACTCTTCCTTCAGAGGCTGAAATTAATGTACTTTGTGAGCTGTTCCCAAGTCCAGACACCATTATTGAAAATGATTGTTTCAATATGCAGATATCCCTGTTATGTTATATCTAATTATGTTGATAACTGATATCAATATGAATTTTGCGGTTGTCTCGCTAACTTAAACTAAGAGTATCATACAAAATAAAATGTTTGCCGAAGTTAAGAATATCTGAACATTTCTATACTAAATTTCAAAATTTGTACTTAAAACGGGGGTGATGCAACGTCAATTAATGTCAGTATTCCATAAAAACCCCAAACTGACATTGACATTAATTGACATTAATCATTAATTGACATTAATTGACATTAATTGACATTAAGGGGGCAGGGGGGGGTCTTTATGAAATTTCTCTCGAAATTGATTTTATAGTTGTTTCTGATAGAGGGGAGTGATATCTATCTGCTGCTTTTGGTCCCATGGAAAAATATTGTTCCTAGCCGAATTTATTGCCGGTCAAAGGTCAGCGTTCATGTGTAATTGTATTGCGCGAGCGATTTTCAATCGCGCGCCCTGAAAATCGAGTCTAAAATTCTATCTTCTCCTACTAGAAAATCGCTCGCGCAATACAATTACACATGAACGCTGACCTTTGACCGGCAATAAATTCGGCTAGGAACAATATTTTTCCATGGGACCAAAAGCAGCAGATAGATATCACTCCCCTCTATCAGAAACAACTATAAAATCAATTTCGAGAGAAATTTCATAAAGACCCCCCCTGCCCCCTTAATTGACATTAATTGACATTAATTGACATTAATTTGTCTAGAAATTTGAGATTATCATTATTCGATAAATATTCAAGATATTCACGTCTATGTAAGTTAGACCGGTTCAAAAAAACAAAATGTCCTTGAATAATTATGAGTATGTTCTTATCTGTTGATCCTTAGGTTCAAAGACCACCAAAAAAATTTCAGCTTCCAACTCTTCCATCTTCGGTCCCCACCGGCCACGCCCATATTTTATTGGTTTCTTATACAGGTAAAATATCTAGAATCGGCTTTTTTAGTATGAAGGAGTAATGTTAGCTGTTTAAGATTCGTTATTCAAACATAAATGTCATGAAGGCATTTCGTTTAATGTGGGTTTTAGGTTCTGATGATGTTGAGAACCACGCCCATTTAAGAAAATTAAATTTCGGAAAACCGTATTATTTTAGTTTTATTGTTTAATGATCTGAATTTTTTCACATTTCACATTTCCATATGTGATAGTAGTGAATAAATTGATGATATAAACGTTCTAAAGTGCTAAAAATATGGTAGAACTACATAATCTCTGATAGAAAAATATCGTGTCAATTAATGTCAGTATTCCAAAATTTTGCAAAACTGACATTGACATTAATTGACATTAATTGACATTAATTGACATTAATTGACATTAATTGACATTAATTGACGTTGCATCACCCCCCTTAAAACTAAAAGATTTCCTGCACACTGCAGAGCTCTCTTCGATTTCTTTTAGCAAGGGTTATTCAAACAAAAATGTCGCGATTTTATAGACACTTGACTGTGATCGACAGTGTTTCGTAATGAACCCCTCCCTAACATATTGTGAATTTAAATAGCAGTAACTATTATCGGTAAACGTTTAGTCCTATTATAAGTAGGAGACGAACTCTGCAACTGCAAGATTGCGCAATTCGATACCTGTATGCTAAACGTTATTAAGTTGCGGAAGAAGGCGATCAGCAAATTATCATCCTTTTAAATAAAGCATTCAGTAACAACTGTTCAACTTGAACTTCGTGTTCAATTTTGAATTAGGTATAATGTTTGCGTGGTACTATAACTATAACTATAAGTATACTGGTGAATTTTGATAAATTGCTATATTAATATATTTGCAATAATTAAAGCTCTCAACATGAAATAATAAATTTGACAATATCACTTGAATCATGTAGACTGATAGTAATCGGATGCCAAATTCCGGAGAGGTTTTAAGATGTAATATGAAATTTCCATGCAATACCTTTCATGGCTAGGCTGGAATGTGGATTGTGGAAATGTTCAACCCCTATTAAATTTTGAGTCTATGAAAAACAGCACCGATTTTTAGCTAAACACTCATTTTACTTCGGTTTATCCAAACAGCCTCATGGTTACAAAATAAAAATAGCTTTCGTGATTTTAAACTGAGGTTTGATAAAAAGATTTGGGTAAACAAACTACAAGCACAACTTGCAATACATTATTATTTCACATAATTAGTTAATCATATAATTAATATTATTAAACAACAAAATTCTGCCTGATTTTGCTTTATGTTAAAATTGCTATAATGTTAGATTTTCAAAACATTAAAAGCGAACGTGGTAAAAAATTATCCATTTGACCAGGTTTTTCTTACTGGGCGGCGCTCAGCCTATCATTCCGCCGAATCTCTATTCCGCCGAATCTCTATCTTTATGAAAATTATAGCCTGTGGTCCTGGTCCCCAGGTAAGATTTTTCATGTCCTTTTGGAATTTAAAACCAGTATAACATAAGCATAAGGATAAACAGTCAAATATTAATATGCTACGATTTCCTACTTTTGTACGTTCTACTTCACTACACACCTGTTGTAGCTGGTATATCTATACTCTATAGCATATTTGAGTTGCTGGATATTTGTCTGTTGTCTGGTTTCTAGCAAACTCATGAGCACAGTCATCAAAGGGTTCCTGCTGAAATGCTGACTATTCGTCTTTGCAGGTCTTGCCCTCTGCAATGGCGACGCCATCTGTGTGAATAATACAGCGGACACAGTTGAATTCTCTTTTTCTAAAGTTGTACTTTGCAATGTAACCTTTCTTCTTTTTGTAAACAGAAGTGTCTGCTACCATCTCGTCGTCCACCAGAAACTTCACTTGTAGGTTCAGCGGACCAAGGTCAATGGCACTTCCTTGTTTTGAACCCTGCACATAAAATTGAACCAATTATTATCTATCTGCAGTATATTTTTAAATTTTACGCAGGTTGATATGTCAAATTCATATTTGCTTTCAGTCAATCAACTATAAAGTTGTGAGCCATCACCCTGTTATTGAAACGAAAGGAACAACTAACAGAGCACATAATTCTAACGAACCTGAGCATTACAAATAATCTTCTTCTTTGAAAAGCTCACATCAACCTCGATTCCAAAGTCGCCATCGTTAAAGCATTTAACAGCCATCCTGTCGAAACTGAAACACATAGCCTTCACACCCTTATCCGCAATAGCGTCTCCGTAACGACTTGCTTTACACGACTCACTGAGGAAAACCCAATTATCAAATAAATTAATATTGAACCAAAGTAAAATCATTAACAAAATAATAAGTGGACGTGATTATGATAAAATTTAAAGTATAGCAGCTCAATCTAAAATAGTAGCTAGATAAAAAAAACTGTACCTGGTAGCAAGAGTGTCATCGTGATCACAAGCAAAGTTAGTCCAGCCGAACGAGCTAGGCATATCGTCGGTTATTGACTTCGGTAGTGCCATCATTCCGGCAGCTTTCAAGAGTTGAACTTTCTTAGAAACAGGCACCTGGGCCCCATGTTGGAAACCTTGAGTTCTGCAGATAGCTCCTGCTGCATTGTCATTAAAACCATCGTTACATCCGTATTCCCATTCCAACTCGTCCGGATTTTGCCCCCCAATCACCTCCTTAGCCTGTACAACACCACCGAACACATTTCCTGCTTTATTAGTCATCTTCATCTCCTTGCTGTTCACAAGTCTGAACATTATTTCTACATGCTCGTAGGACCGGACACATCTTGGTATCTCCATGGAACCGTCTTTACGACACCAACCCATGTCACCCCTCATCGTCTTCATCATTTTGTATCCCTCATCACAGAAGTATTGAGCCATAAATGGCATCATTTCGTCGGGAAGTTGTGAATCATAGCCATCCACAACTTCTTTCATCGTTGCCATGGTCGCGTCATCAAAATATTGACGTTCATAATCGTCCGTTTCTTCTTTAAGCACATCTCTGAGAAACATAAATGGAACAGCTTTACCGTTCCAGATGTATTTTGGCAGTCCACAGTGACGGGCCTCTTCAGGTTCCATGCACTCAGGGAAGTACATCTGACTTCTATCATCAGAGCAAAAGGCGATATTATAGTAGGTGGAGTAAGTATTCGACAGTTGACCACTGGATGACGATGCTCCCATCATTAACTTTCTGTTGGGTGTCATGACATAGGGCTTGTAGCAAGAGTATTCAGCGTATGATCCACTATCAGAGATTTTCTCCCCTCTGTCGATTAAGTCCGGGAAGTAACAACCATCTCCATCCACCTCACCTTGGTTATCATCGTCACCATCGTATTTATCTTCGTCAAAGTTTGACTCATCATCAAAGTCAAACCACTTACATTCAGGATATTTGCCTACCTGGAAATTATCTCTTACATCACACTCAACCCTGTCCCCATTCTCGGAGTAATATCCTTCGTAGCACCGGAAACTCTTATAAGGGCACATCTCCGGGCTCATCTCGTCATCAGTTCTCCAATCGGTGTAGAATTCTCCCATATCCACGGATTCAGGCCAATCGCACTGATCCCGGATACAATTTGGATACTCTATATTATTTTCACCGGATGAGTAGTCGCATTTAGCCCTACTGTTGCAATCTTCAGGTACCCACCCATCATTGCAGACGTATTGGGCTTCTACATTGTTCCTGAAGACCCTTTTCAGAACAGCGTTGTCAATTTCCTCGTCGAAATCATCGACACATGAGGCACAGCGTTCAAATTCTACTTCCCTCCCTCCTTCGTAATAGAAGAACCTTTCAGCACAATTGTTACACTCGTCTCTCTCGCATTGAAGGTCGATTTCCATATCTTCTTTAGATCTCCTGCAACTATCGTCGTCACAATAAGAATCACAACTTCTCTTCGCTTGACCGTCTTTACAGAAAAATTGCTCTTCATCATATTCAGCTGCAAACGTAAACCTGCTCATCCTAAATGCACGAGGAACGCTCATACCAATATCCCTCAAATTGTTAGCTGTATCCCATCCCACAAGTGCATTCATGTCATCCATCCCCATGGATTCCATCATAGCCATGCCAGCATCAGCAAATGAACCGAAGTTCATAGTTACCAGGTTTTCCATTTCAGAAAACAGTGGTACAAGTATCTCCGAAACTCCCATGTCTATTCCTATAGAAGGGAGGTCAACAGGCATATTCATCTCATATAAATCTTTCTCCAAATAAGCACAGTCATCGGAGGTGTCCGCAACTTCAAGATCATTGACCCGCTTCAAAACAAAACACACACCATCCATCACCAACTGTTGAATACCGTCCGTCTCATCAGGTTCAAAAAGAGCGCTGAAAACTTCTTCCCATGTTTTGTCCCAATCTGGTCTACAAAGCTGGCCGAAAACAGACGAAACCTGCTTGCTTCCTGAGCATATAATTTGTTCAAGGGTCCACTCCTCTAAATTGAAGTTCATATCTTCTGGCCATATCAGCTCCTCCTCAGTGAATTTTGTTAGGCACTTTCCATCAAGATCTTTCTTTGCGTGAACGGGACCACACATATTCATTGTAGGAGTGAGAGCAAGCTCAAAGAAATTGTTTCCAGCAGATCTCGGCAGTTTGGATTCCCAATCCTGGTAGATGGAATCTCTAACTTCCTCCCAATTGTTCGTTTGAATACATTTGCCTTCGTCCGGCATGCCCCAGAAGGGTGTGGCAAATTGCCAGCCGCACGAGTTGCAGTGGACACCGTCATCTCCCCAAGATCCGAAGGGACATTTCTGACACACCCCCAAGTCATTGATGAAGCTTCCTGCCCCACAAGAGATGCAGTCTAATCCTGAAATTCAGATCGATAAGTTATCCTGATTCCTATTTAATAAAAATCAACTTAAGAAAAAAACAGAATTTTAAATTTTCTGCATATTGCTGTTATCAAATATTTTTCATCGCATATTACTATTAGATACCTTATCGGCCATAATTATCACGGACATTACTTTCAAGCTGAAGAACTTATAAGCGTGAATAATTATGTCCGTGAAAAATTTGGTCCGTGAAAAACTTGTCCGTGACAATTATGTCTGATAAGGTATGTCAATAATTACCTTTGAATGCATTTGTTAAATCATCAATGTTGTTCATCCCCTTTTTTTGGATATTGCAACCTTCTCTCATATCAGACGCCTCAAACTTTACGGTCGATTCTCTGAAGCGGTGGTGTAAGTAACTTCATAGTATTAGTAACGATATTTTAAAATATTTTGTGAATATGAAACATTTCAAATTATCGTCCTATATTGTGTTACTTCGTCGTAAAATAATTTGATGAAATGACATGATGGTCGATGGATCATAAGATTAAGATATATTACCCGTCCTGGAAAGTCCAAGATGCTTTTCCCTCGGCGTCATTTACCCCCATCTCCATATCAATATTGATTTCCTCCCCCTTTCTGAGTTGGGTCACCTGGATGTATACATTACCTTCCTTGCACTCAACAAACCTCAGTTCGCAAGTCTCTTCGTTCCTAAAATTAGCGAGTAGGTAAATGATTATTAATATGTATGATGAATTTTGATATAAATTATAAATTACAGAAGACCGAAAGTAACTTTCCGTCGCTCTCTGATGAATTTTGTAAAACAATTAAGTCCTTAAATAGAATACACGTAGTTTATTATAAACCAATCCTTTATAATTGTAGCTTCATGACCGAAAATGGCAACCACTACGGTATCAGTATCAAACATAAATGTAAGCTGGAATGTTGTTGACTCACCTGCTTTGACAAGGAATGATGCCAGTGCTCTGGTCCTTCTCCTCGATTATGTTTCTAAGTTTGATGCGGCCAGCATTTGAGGAGCAGTCTAATTTACCTTCAGTCACAGTGAAGAGTGCGTAATAGTTGTTGAGAAATAAATCTTTATCCTTATCTGGTTCTCCGGCTTTAGAAAAGTTGGTGTAAGTTACAATTCTGTTAAGATCAGATTGGTCATGACTGTATTCACGAGGAAGCTCAAGAGTCATGTCATCAATGAGCGGTCGGATTCTTCTTATCACACGAAAATCAGACATTAAACAGCTTAAACTGGATGACTTTATAGCTTATTCTTGTACGTAATGTCAGATTTGTAGTTGATTTATGTTTCACAATTAATGCTGCACTAGAAAACTTATAGTTATAGACGCAGTCCGGTTGAGATATTATCGCATAAATACTAATTCATGGGTAATCGGAGAAGTTATGAGACGAAAAACACAATAACTAGTAACTAGTAACTTAGTAACTACTACTAGTACTCACTGCAGAAGTAGTCGTCAAATCTTGAAGCGTATTTACAGTGTCCCTTAAATGAAGGATTGAATTCTCTCAGTTCGATTCCATCTAATTGTAGCAGATCGGGGTCCATATTTAAACCCAACCACTTCAATTCTCCCATATCAGAAATGAAGTTCACATAGCTGAAAAAGTTAAAAATCATTACCTAACGGTGTAATCTTCGATGCCAAATTCCGACATACCCAAAAATAAATGGACCCACTAAGTCCGTCATTAGAATAAATACTAAATATTAATTTTAAATAACATTCCTTGTGGGCTAGCGGTACCATCGCTTACAATTAAAAATAACTAAATAATCGACATCATTTCATAATTCACAGCATCTTACTTCATAAGGCGTTCTGCATAAAAAGATCCCAATTCCACATAAGCTGTTACAACTTCCCTCCATACTTCTACATAACTGAGTGCCGAGTGAAAGTACCAAGCGAACTTTGCTGGCAATTTCACCTCAAGAGTCATCTCCGTGATAGTTGTGTCCTCGACCATAACACTGTGAAAGAATTAGATTTAATCGATAATTAATTTAATTCGCATGAGACATACCAGGACTATACATTTGACTAGTGCTATCAGCTATAGTGGGTATAGTATCATCTAGCTGCACCACTGGCAGTCTTCATCTACTGAGATTCAATGCCACACAAACAGTGATCCAGCTAAATATGACCCAAACTCAATCGTGGTAGTACTAGTATTAAAAATAAAAACGAAAAAGATTCGTTTAGATTCATATTGGATCCACTTTTCCCAATTACCGACCAAATAATTAATAGCATTATCAATCTGTCCGCAAAGATTTGCCAAGGAGGACCCCACTACATGTTGGTCGATGCAGCTCATTTTTATTCTTAAATCAAAACTCGAAGATGTGGTCAGTTGCTTCCTTGTTCCTGTTTAGTTCATCTTACCTCGATGCATCTGATATTTTGGTTAAATTGTTCTCTTTGATCAATTGACGAAGAACTCAAGAAGTAATTACCTGCACTTGGTAAAGTGACCATCCCAAGGTAACACATTGGAGACTCCCCAGAGAAGATTTTCGATGCCTGTACAGAAATCTTTTCCAGCCACAGTGATATCTAGCCCAACTGTTGCTTGAGCAAAATTGGCTATAACTTCATCCGGATCTGTATTGAATTTTGTAAAAGTTAATTCTATACCGACAGATTTAGTTACATATATCTATAAATATTAAAGTATGTTCTAAGTGCAGCTTTAATTATTAAATCAAAGTTCTAAACAAGGGATAGTTAAAAAAGAACGCCCAAGTCTAATCTTTCCCTAAAACAAAAACTAAAAATTAAAAACTCCATTGCAATTTCCGCCAATATTTCTTGTCATAACTCAAATTACGGAGATAATGCAGGTCAAAGATATTATTCAAATAAAGATTTCTTTTACATAAATCATGCACAATCAGCGAGAATAGATTGCTTTGGGGTCTTCCTCTTCTCCCTGGTAAGTCCAGTGTATTGATGGCAAAAATGAGGGAAGAAAACGCTGGTCCGTCAATAGGACCCCGCAAAACATGTCCTAACATTCTCCACCGACTACGGGCCACTTTTTCTGACAATGGTTCAGCATTGCAGCGTTTATACAAGTTTTTGTTGGAGATGACTCCTGGGTACTTTATATTCAAAATAGTGCGAAGATGTCTGCGGTGAACAACATCTAGTTTTTCAAGGAATATTTTGGGGACGGCCCAACAGGATGAGTTGTACATAAGAACCGATACGACTAAAGCATTATACAGTATTAGACGTTTGTTTAGGGGCAGTTTATCACTCCAGGCCTTCTTGTAATTGTTAAAGGCACCACCAAACAATATCAGCACAAGAACGAGCGCGTTTATATGCACACTGCCATGGACCAGTGAAGGCGTTCACTTTTTACAGCTTTAAACAAAATATATATATTTTTTAAATGAGCGAGGGATATTTTCTTAATCGAGTACCGCGGACGAACCCTTGAATTATATAAACTTTAAGCACTCACCAACGCAGTCATCCATTGAAGAAGAGCCAATAAACCTTGTTGTCATGGGCTTGTCGAAGGCCTCTTCGCAGGAGTAGCAACTGAAGAAAGGTTACCGGTTAAATAATGGCCATAATTGGCCAAATGCCATATTGGTCGTAGAGGGGCTAAGATTAAATACAACATTTTTTCCCTCCGCGTATTTGAGTTTTTGCCAGTCTGTTTCAATTTAAACAGAAGCAACAACGAAAATTAATAAACAATCTAACAGAGTCAATATTTTTTCAATTTTTAATGTTGCCATGGGGTGGCACAATGTATGCCATTCACATAAATAAGTAAATAGTGGCAGTGCACAAACCAACAATTTTCAGACAATATCAAAATTATGAAACTAAAATGCTCACAATGTGCTCCTTGTGGTGCTGCTGAATTGTCCAATAGGACAACTCATACACTCGTCCACACGTGACCCCTCGAAGTTGTATTGACCAATCGGACAGTCATCTGAAAAATTATAGTACTAAGTACGTATATTTTTAGTGTGATCAAGGTTCAAACACCAGTTGAAAAAACCCTTTTCGCCGGATGTCTTATCTTTAGTTGAAGTATAAAAACATAACTTTATAGTTTACCGAGTCAAGATGAACTACACTTTAAATTGAATAATGATAGCTATAGTAAAACCCCGATTTACGGCGCTCCGATTTACTGCGAACCCCGATATACCGCGGCCATCTCCTTTCCCCCAAATAGAACTTAACGTCCATAATGTAAACAAACAAACTCCGATTTATAAATCGGTATACCCCCAAACTCCGCGGTAAATCGGGGTTTTACTGTATAAGGAAGTCTGGAAACTTACCACACTGTCTTCCTTCTCCACCTTCAAAATACCGCAATCCTTGACCAGGCTCATAACACTGTTTTTCTGGTGCTGGTGGTTGCCAGAAATCGTCTCCTGTAATCAACGATCATTTTTTTAGGGCTTAAACAATATTCAGCTCAACTATGCATTAATAGTCTGATAAGTTAATTTTTTAAATTGTACCAAAATATTAAAATGTTGGCTCACCTTCATCGTTTTCGTCCTCGTCATACTCATATTCATACATCGTACATTGAGGCCGGTCGATATTGATATCAAAATCATCCCTAACATCACACTCAACCCTGTTACCATTCTCGGAGTAATATCCTTCGTAGCACCGGAAACTCTTATAAGGGCACATCTCCGGGCTCATCTCTTCGTCAGTTCCCCAATCGGTGTAGAATTCGCCATTTTCCACGGATTCAGGCCAATCGCACTGATCCCGGATACAATTTGGATACTCTATATTATTTTGACCGGATGAGTAGTCGCATTTAGCCCTACTGTTGCAATCTTCAGGTACCCACCCATCATTGCAGACGTATTGGGCTTCTACATTGTTCCTGAAGACCCTTTTCAGAACAGCGTTGTCAATTTCCTTGTCGAAATCATCGACACATGAGGCACAGCGTTCAAATTCTACTTCCCTCCCTCCTTCGTAATAGAAGAACCTTTCAGCACAATTGTTACACTCGTCTCTCTCACATTGAAGGTCGAATCCTATATCTTCTCCAGATCTCCTGCAACTATCGTCGTCACAATAAGAATCACAACTTCTCTTCGCTTGACCGTCTTTACAGAAAAATTGCTCTTCATCATATTCAGCTGCAAACGTAAACCTGCTCATCCTAAATGCACGAGGAACGCTCATACCAATATCCCTCAAATTGTTAGCTGTATCCCATCCCACAAGTGCATTCATGTCATCCATCCCCATGGATTCCATCATAGCCATGCCAGCATCAGCAAATGAACCGAAGTTCATAGTTACCAGGTTTTCCATTTCAGAAAACAGTGGTACAAGTATCTCCGAAACTCCCATGTCTATTCCTAAAGAAGGGAGGTCAACAGGCATATTCATCTCATATAAATCTTTCTCCAAATAAGCACAGTCATCGGAGGTGTCCGCAACTTCAAGATCATTGACCCGCTTCAAAACAAAACACACACCATCCATCACCAACTGTTGAATACCGTCCGTCTCATCAGGTTCAAAAAGAGCGCTGAAAACTTCTTCCCATGTTTTGTCCCAATCTGGTCTACAAAGCTGGCCGAAAACAGACGAAACCTGCTTGCTTCCTGAGCATATAATTTGTTCAATGGTCCACTCCTCTAAATTGAAGTTCATATCTTCTGGCCATATCAGCTCCTCCTCAGTGAATTTTGTTAGGCACTTTTCATCAAGATCTTTCTTTGCGTGAACGGGTCCACACATATTCATTGTAGGAGTGAGAGCAAGCTCAAAGAAATTGTTTCCAGCAGATCTCGGCAGTTTGGATTCCCAATCCTGGTAGATGGAATCTCTAACTTCCTCCCAATTGTTCGTTTGAATACATTTGCCTTCGTCCGGCATGCCCCAGAAAGGGGTGGCAAATTGCCAGCCGCACGAGTTGCAGTGGACACCGTCATCTCCCCACGATCCGAAGGGACATTTCTGACACACCCCCAAGTCATTGATGAAGCTTCCTGCCCCACAAGAGATGCAGTCTGATCCTGAAATTCAGATCGATAAGTTATCCTGATTCCTGTTTAATAAAAATCAACTTATATATTAAGAAAAGGAAAAAAACCTGAATTTTAAATTTTCTGCATATTGGTGTTATCAGATATTTTCCATCGCATATTGAATATCATCAACAATTACCATCGAATGCATCTGTTAAATCATCAATGTTGTTCATCCCCTTGAATTGGATATTGCAACCTTCTCTCATATCAGACGCCTCAAACTTTACGGTCGAGTCTCTGAAGCGGTGGTGTTAGTAACTTCATAGTAACGATATTTTAAAATATTTTGTGAATATGAAACATTTCAAATTATCGTCCTATATTGTGTTACTTCGTCGTAAAATAACTAAATAAAATGACATGATGGATCACAAGATTAAAATTTATTACCCGTCCTGGAAAGTCCAAGATGCTTTTCCCTCGGCGTCATTCACCCCCATCTCCATATCCATATTGATTTCCTCCCCCTTTCTGAGTTGGGTCACCTGGATGTATACATTACCTTCCTTGCACTCAACAAACCTCAGTTCGCAAGTCTTTCCGTTCCTAAAATTAGTGAGTAGGTAAATGATTATTAATATTTAATATGTATGATGAATTTTGATATAAATTATAAATTACAGAAGACCGAAAGTAACTTTCCGTCGCTCTCTGATGAATTTTGTAAAACAATTAAGTCCTTAAATAGAATACACGTAGTTTATTATAAACCAATCCTTTATAATTGTAGCTTCATGACCGAAAATGGCAACCACTACGGTATCAGTATCAAACATAAATGTAAGCTGAAATTTAGTTGACTCACTTGCTTTGACAAGGAATGATGCCAGTGCTCTGGTCCTTCTCCTCGATTATGTTTCTAAGTTTGATCCGGCCAGCATTTGAGGAGCAGTCTAATTTACCTTCAGTCACAGAGAAGACTGCGTAATAGTTGTTGGGAAATGCATCTTTATCCTCATCTGGTTCTCCGCCTTTAGAAAAGTTGGTGTAAATTACAATGTATGTTTAAGCAAGGTTTGGTATTAAGAGTGAGTTGATATTTTGAGTGAGCAGCCCATGGTCTGATCCAGTAAGCCGGAGATATGAGTCTAAGACCTAGTTAAGAAGAAAGATTAAGAATACATAAAGAACTGACTTACAGCAAATGAAATGGAATCGCCTGTTTAGCTAATGTTACATAATATTTAGGTACAAAAACAAAAATACTCACTGCACAAATAGTCATCGTCTCTTGGAGCGTATTTGCAGTGTCCTTTAAAAGAAGCCTCGAATCCTCTCAGTTCAATACCGTCTAATTTGAGCACCTTGGGATCCATATCAAGACCCAGCCATGTTAATCCCCCCATGTCAACTAAGTAGTTCACGTATCTGTAGAAGTATGTTTAGTGATCTCTCTACATTTAATTGATTGAGAGGTCGGTTTTTATAAATATACATTTTAGAAACACGTGTTATTTACAACTTACCCGTAATTTACAACTTACCCGTAACACAGTGTAAAACGGGTAAGTTGCTACCAATAAATTATCATAATCATACCAAAATTATCACAATTTACAATCCTTACCTCATCATGCGTTCGGCATAGAAAGATCCTAATTCCGCATACGCTGATACGACTTGTGTATGAACGTCAACAAAATTAACTGCCGAGTAGAAGTACCAAGCGAACTTTGCTGGCAAGGTCACCTCAAGGGTCATCTCTGTGGTAACTGGGTTCTCTGCTGTGTCCTCAGTTACACTGTGAAACAGTTACGCAAGGTTAGATTTATTTAATTATTACTGATATCCACCTGAGATAAACTGCTTAACTAGTGTGTACAGTAATAGTATATTCAGGTAGCAGAATTTACCGACCTGGTCACACACTTGCCTCTCTGGTGCTATTATTTACCGACCTGGTCACACACTTGCCTCTCAGGTGCTATTATTTACCGACCTGGTCACACACTTGCCTCTCTGGTGCTATTATTTACCGACCTGGTCACACACTTGCCTCTCTGGTGCTATTATTTACCGACCTGGTCACACACTTGCCTCTCTGGTGCTATTATTTACCGACCTGGTCACACACTTGCCTCTCAGGTGCTATTATTTACCGACCTGGTCACACACTTGCCTCTCTGGTGCTTTTATTTACCGACCTGGTCACACACTTGCCTCTCTGGTGCTATTATTTACCGACCTGGTCACACACTTGCCTCTCTGGTGCTATTATTTACCGACCTGGTCACACACTTGCCTCTCTGGTGCTATTATTTACCGACCTGGTCACACACTTGCCTCTCCGGTGCTATTATTTACCGACCTGGTCACACACTTGCCTCTCTGGTGCTATTATTTACCGACCTGGTCACTTGCCTCTCAGGTGCTATTATTTACCGACCTGGTCAAACACTTGCCTCTCTGGTGCTATTATTTACCGACCTGGCCACACACTTGCCTCTCAGGTGCTATTATTTACCGACCTGGTCAAACACTTGCCTCTCTGGAGCTATTATTTAACCTTTTAACGACCTGGTCACACACTTGCCTCTCAGGTGCTATTATTTACCGACCTGGCAAAGACTAAATACTGGCAAGTACGTGTGCGTTAATTTCTTTAAAAGTGATCACCAAGTAGATATCTATACTATATGAGTATATTTTAAACTTGACGAGATCGCCCCGGCAACGGGGACATAGAAAAAAAACATTGAAAATCGAACTAAAACCGACCCTTCGATGTTGCACATCGTTTAGAGAATCTAAATACTTACAACTTTGTCGTCATAGTCAAATTAATCCATGATTTTTACAGTATAACAGAGCTATATTGTATATGATGAAGTGATGAAGAAAAATTAAAACATAACTGATTTTTAAACTTTCCTCGAACAAAGCTTTCGACTTGCGGGTTTCTAGTGCACTATATAATTATAAGAGCATGATGATACGACAAAGTATAGTCATGTGCTTGAAAATATGATGTCATCAGCCATTAAGATTGTTTTAAGATTGTTCTGGAAGTTCAAATCATCAAGTCGAAGGGTATAAACTATAAGCACTGAGCCTGCAACCTCAGAATAGTATACCCTTCCAGTTTCTCAATAAAGTAAGTCAGCTGCACTGTAGCACACTTCATAGAGGGGCTATTTATTATTTTCATTTACCTGCACTGAGAGAAATGACCATCCCATGGTATCACATTGGACATTCCCATAAGGAGATCTTCGATGCCTGTACAGAAGTCTTTTCCAGCCACAGTGATATCTATCGTAACCGTTGCTTGAGCGAAATTAGATATGATTTCATCCGGATCTGTATTTTGGTTAGGTTAGTTTTATAAATAATATACTAATATAGTGAGGCTGTACATTTTGTATCTTGATACTTATTCTACTTCGGTTTATTTACATTGTAACCGGCTATTTACAGAAGATGAAGGCGCACTTACAATATGAATAAGGCCATTAATTATCAAATTTTTCTTTCAATTATGCTCAATTCTATCGATGTGTTTCACTATCAACTCGCATAAACTGTAAGCGGGACGGTTATTTACCAACACATTCATCTACCGAAGTGGAACCCGACCTCCTCGTAGTGGAGGGTCTGTCGAGAACTTGTTCGCAGGAATAACAACTGCAGAGAAAGTAACATGTTACAAAATATAAAACGTTAACTTTCAACAAGATGTAGCCCAAGTTGCCAAGTTAGTTTACGTGTTGCTGACAGTAAGACTGTAAGAGATCGTTCACAATTCATAAAGGCCAGGTTTTAGCTATTTACTAGACACCCTCATCCTGTTACTGTGTGTAAAGGGGAGGGGGCCAACAGGCAACGTTACGTCACTGCTGTGTGTCCCTTACTACCACAAACACGTAAACCAACTTCGACCGGAGTTAACATTGGCCGTGGCAAAGTAGCTGCTCTATTCATTTCGATCTGTCAAAGTTTGGCTGCGGTAGCCCCTGTTCTTATTTTGAGGTTTAAGGTTTAATAATAATAGTCTCACAATGTGCTCCCTGTGGTGCTGCTGAATTGTCCAATAGGACAACTCATACACTCGTCCACACGTGACCGCTCGAAGTTGTATTGACCAATCGGACAGTCATCTGAAAAATTATAGTATGTACCTTTTTTTCAGTGTGATAAAACACCAGCTGAAAAATCCTCCGAATATACCGAATATTTTATATTAACGTCTAAAAGTAAAAGCAAGTGTCTTCATAGTACTGAGCCAAACAACACTTTAAATAATTATAGATATAAGGAGGACTAGAACCTTACCACACTTAGTTGTAAGTAGCATTGCAGAGTACTGCAATCCTTCACCAGGTCCACATTCTGTTTCCGGGTCTGGAGGGGACCAGTAGTCGTCATCTGAAGGAATTATAATTGCTAATTATAATTGCTAATTATAATTGCTAATTATAATTACTAATTGTAATTTCTAATTAAAATTGCTAATTATAATTGCTAATTATATAATAACTGCTCTTGTGATGATGTAGATATTTATTTATCGAGAAGGAACGTAACAAGTTGTAGCAAGTGTAAGGGGATAATTATAAAAGTCGGTGTAACAGTGACAGCGACAATTACGTTAGAACAATATTTCTTCTACATTAGACAAATACTATATTAATACTTTCAACACTACTTTATAACAAATAATTTGAGTGAATGGCATTCAACATGGCCGCTGGATTACTGATGACGACTGCTTAAAGACAGACGAAACTATAGTATAAAAGGCGGCAAAGAGTGTGACGAATTAGAATTTATTTATTGTTTTTTCTGAATCTGGTGTAGTATCATTGCTTCATTGGCTTTATTAAAATGATGAATGGCCCAAACAATATATTAGACAAATGAAATTTAAAAGGACTCTTCCGAAGACGTTTTATTTTTATTGATAGTTAAATCTTAAATCTTACCTTCACTTTGACCCCATGCAGTCAATACTGTGGCGAATAAGAGCAACTGAAAATGGTGTAATTTCAGATCGCAAATAATGATTCACGATATAATTCCCATCATCATACAAGGTTCTTACTCACAAAACATGGCAAAGATCCAAATACAATTCGATCACAGGTATGCTTTACAAACATTAAAATATGTAATGAAATTTACTTACGACGGTTGTTAACTTGATCATCGCAAGATCACTGCCAAGAAAACAAAATCAAGAATGAACAGTCAAATCTTTCTGGAAGAATTGAATTATGAATTGACACAAAACTCATGCACTCAGTTCGATTTTGTTAAATTATAAAGGTAGACATCAAGCAGGCCGCTTTAAAATGTGGTATGCATTGCATACGTAATCTGAATCGAAATGATTGATACAGTATAACTTCTGTCAAGCTCAAACTTGAGTATGTGTACAAGAAGGTTTCCAAAACATTTGGTCATTATATCAACTTTAAAAAGCGAAGATGGCTGATGTTTAAAAACAATTTAAGTATAACTATATGCCAATTGGTAAAACTGGACCATTGGCATCAATTTTTCCATCAGGGACTCAGTGAGCCACGTTCTTAGAACTATATGAATCTATATGCAACATACTAATGGAAATTTCGCGGTGATTTACGAATCATTATTGATTTATAAATCATTATTCCCGATGGTTCCAGTGTTCAAATTATGACTTTATTACATTTATAGCGAAATAATTTAAAAGTAAAGCGAAATTGAGGAATTTCATGGAGCATCATTATCAGTCGTCGAAGAGCTTAGTGCTTACATGTTGAAAATATCAAACCAAAATATTTATAGATCACGAAGAATTTGATTGGAACTATTCAAAACTTAAAATTTAAAGTGCAAAGTGTGAACTTATGATTCAAAAAGTTTTGACTAAATCAAATCAATCGAATTGTGATGTAATGAACAAATATTGTGATCAAAGCTTATGTTTTTAACCGCAACACCTCTAAAAAATGGCACTAGTTATTCAGTATAAAAAACATTGATCAGCAAAATTTTTAATGATCACGGCGATTATACGATTTAACTAGGTCAACGTTAAATAGTTACAAGTTGTTATTTATAATTTCTATAATTAACGTATCATAAATTTGAATGAAGAGGAAGAACTAACACGATTTCAAAAATTAGCCCTTTTCCATTAGTATAGCTGTGTGGTTACCGAAAGTAAAATATAAATGAAATCATATAAATTTTTTTCAAATATAAGTAATACATGAAAATCGAAAGAAAAAGTAGACGTGAGTTTTAAACAATGACACAGCGAATAAGCTAGAATTCGAATGACGCAGTTGAGACAAAAGCGTAGACTTTTGCATTCTATAATGTCTTACAAATAAAATAATTGCTTGCAAAGACAAATTTAAAAAACTAAGCTCCGACTCTGAGTCTGACTATATGTCTGACTAAAATGTGAGATTCACAAGTTATAAATATGAAATATCGATATTTGGGCTATTAAAGACACAGGTTTGACTTTGAGTTCGAATCAAACCAACCTTAGGTTCTAAATCACGACATATTATATATTAAAGTCACTATTGTGACGGTACATTAGAACTAGCAGAAACAAAGTGCGAAGGGCCTGAACGGAACCCCTCGGTTTCAGTTCCTTGTTTAACACTGCCGTATACAGCAAGGACATTCGCCGGGTTCTCCAATAATAAGGAAATGAAATATATAATACATTCATTTTATTTGTCGTTCCTAAGAACAATATTAATTTACGCCAGCATGTCGCAAGATGTTGCGTTGCGGATTGTTGCTATGGTGAATAGTGACGGCAGCAAATGGTGGCCTTTCTGCTTGTTAACAATGTACAAACAACAAAGCAAAATAGTAAATACAAAGCAAATTTAAAAACGATACAAAGCCTGTCACAACTCTTCTGCTTCATAAACATAACTGTAAATCTAGAAAATTCTATAAATTCCTGTGTATCAGAGATCATCATTCAACTATGTCTATGTGAATGTCATAAGGAACTATAAGTATAAAATGATTAAATCTCATACCTTACGAGACATGTTTATTATTTAATTTTAAAACGTGATGTGTCTTATACCGTCATCTCTGATGATCTCAAGTGATATCCAGTGTCTTGATTGGTATTCACGTACGGAACTATAATGTATTATATTTATACCGCTCCTACTAAATCGCTCGCCCAAATTTTAAGAAAATTCTTGTGAAAAGGCCAATTGGGTATGAAATTGATCTAAATCGGTATAAATTTGGACGCTGATTCCGAATCACCCCCCATGATGTAGGGTAAAAATGCTTCCCTGGAGAGTTATGGGCAAAAAACCGTTTTGGTCACGTGACAGGATAGTAAAATTGAATTCGATTGTTTAGGGCTTGGGTTAGGGACTAGGGTTAAGGTTGTGGTAAGGGTTATGGATAGCTTCGGGGTTATGGTTAAATGGTTAGGGTTAGGGTTGGGATTAGGGTTTATGTAAAACCGTTTTGTACGGCTGTAAAACCATAAAAACCAAAGTCACGTGAAATTTTTCATTTTGGGCGAGCGAATTAATGTAAAGAGCCGTATAATACAGATATTCATACATGGGGTATCTGCAGCGTAGGAATCACTATTGATCAAACAAATGACGTCGATCAAACTACTATACCTTGTATTGCGAGTGTACCGGTACGAGACATATTTAAAATTAAAAGGTACGAAATTGGAAATGCGGTGGTTTTCGGAAAAAATCTCATATTTTCGTTCCCAAATCATTTAGGTCGCCAGAATTATGTTGAATATAATATTTTATAGTTTTTTCTAAAAGGGCCCCCCGACACTCGACAGTACCAAGTACTGAAAGTGAAACCAACTTGAATCGATGTATTTTCGGACGCTGATTCCGAATGACCCCCATATCATTTAAAAAAATTTTTAAAAATAGTCGTTCAGGACCAGATAGGGAACAGGTTGAAAAAGTCACGTGACAGTCGAGTGTTGACATACGTTGCATGCCACTTTTCGCGCGCGAAGCGCGTGCCGCCGAAGTCGAGTGTAGACTTCAGACTTAGAGTGATTCATCATCATCCCTTTTCTCGCGATTCGTCGCCTGGCCCAAACTTAAATAGTTTTATATTTATAATTGTAACCCAGGGTCCAGGAGGCCTGGAGGATATATTGCTTTATATATATATAAATGCTTTAATGTTGTTATACTGATTGGTGTTTAACGGGTGATACTCGAGTCCAACTCGGCGCGCGTCCTGCCCCTGGTAGGACTAGGTTGTAAACCTACAAATTGGTGTAGGATCAAATTCAAGGCTGTTAGGCTGTCATAATAGTAAATTATCTTGTCGAATGTCAATCACAGGTCATGGTATTTCAATAAAAAGTTGTGAATACTGAAAATATTAAACAACTAGGATTAGGAATTAGCAATTATCTCAACCGTAAAAACAATTTTCTGTTAGTGTTACCTATAAGTGTAAAATAAATAACATTGCGTTGTAGCTCGGTTTACCTAGGAAACCTTAGGCTTAAAATTAACGGCTGGGGCCTTATAGTTATACCGGCGGTAGTACATTTTTGGAGATTTTTATTTTACAGGGCTTTCTCCGTGATTCTGACTTTTAGCACCTTTAATTTTATCGTGTCTTGTAAATGTAACATTGGTCAGTTTAAAAATGTGTTTAAAATTAAAACTTTTTTACTGCATAATATGTATACTATGTATGGATCTAGGGACAAAGTAAACAATGTTTCTTTCAATTCTGCGACAATACGAACTTATAATTATACGAATCTGTACATCAAATACAAAAACACCACAATAATGCCTATAACAAATGAAAATTCTAAACTTCTAAACTACTAAAACAAAAGAAATAAATCAATAAACTAAAATAAACATAAGATAAAATTAAAAAACCACGTTAATCTAGCATTTTAACGGTTATTTATGTGATATAAAGTGGGAAAACTAAACCTCGGACCATAAGTTGTATTTTAGTTGGAGCGATTCAATGAACAGGGTAGCCCAGTGTCGATGAAGTTCCCGCATCCCTAAATTCACAAATTGCAAAAGGTCTCTTCACTGCTTCATATTCACGATAAGAATAGCTTTCAATTTTTCTCAATCTCAACGAAATAAAACAACTTTTAATTGCTCTGATCAGTCTTTAGGCCATGAAAAGTGCGTCCATGGCGTTGGGAGCGATCCTGAGCTGGGTGACAGTCATGTCGCTGAAGGAGTATACGTATCCTAGGTAGGTGACCCACTTTCCATCCTCATCTCCCCGCAGATGATGTCCACTGAAACATTGTAGATTATAATTTTCATCATATTCTCACTCTTCAAAACAACTGGATTCACTGATAATACAATGAAGCTCGTTTCTGGTTTTTTGTTTAAATTTTTATCATTTTAGGCTTTGAAGGCTTAAAAAGGCGGCTTGTGAAGGCTATCAGATCGCTTTTACTTCACAAAGTCTCAAAAGGTTCATTTACACGACAAGTTATAAACAACACCCACCTGAAGTATTTAACTCCAGCTCTCTCCACCACAGAGTCCACAATACCCTCATGGTACCTCAACCCACCAGTATTGTTTCCCGCTGTTCCTCCGTAAGACCCTTGTGGGAAGAAAACACTGCTCCCTACTCCGATGTCATCATCATCCGGATCAATGTTCAGACCGACCTGTTCAGATTTTAGATAACACTAATTTTTTAATAATTATGTTAATTAATGTGATTGGGGTCGTCACTTGAATAGATAATCAAAAAAATACGGTTTTATAATATCCAGAAAGTTAAGCAGTTTAACATTAAATAATAAGTTTATAATTTAAAATATATTTTACCTGGTTGTATTTAGGATTTCTCCCGGAAGGATCACCATCATCCCACTCTATATAATAAGTCATGTCCTCTTTGTTAAAGGAGAGAATGGTGGAAGTGTAGTACGCATGACGAAAGTGAAATGAGATCACGTGATCGCCCACACGTGGTGCACGTGACTTTATCGCAGATTGGTAGTCGGGCGGAGGACTGTCAGGCTGAACCTCGCCCAGCGAATCAGAGTCTTGGGTGGGTTGGATGTGCTCAGATAACTGAGGTGAAGTGAGCAGGTTAAAAACTGAATTCAATTTTTAATCGCGGAAATTGTAATCTTCTTTTAAAAGCTACCCTCTCCAAATAATGAATGAACGAATTGATTTCCCTAATTCTACATATCGACTAAGCCACAATTAAAGAAACTATTCAACAACTCACCCTCTCGAATATTTCCTCCATCTTTTTCTCTAGATGACTCTCCCCGGAGATTTCCAACATGTCGATAGTGGGAACACCGCTCCCCATCACTAGCGCTCCTATCACTGATTCCCTCCATCCCATATTTTCACCCACACAGATTGGGATGAATGGCTTCCTCAGTGATTTTGCCGCGAACTAAAAGAAGTAATATTAGTCACGGTCACAGTACTAATATGTTATCAAATATAACAAGTTTATAAAAGGTTGCTTAATTAAAAGCTTATTAATTAAAAGCTCAGTGTTTAGCAAATTGTACAGAACTTGATATCGACAACCCAACAAAATAACCTGGAACTCCATTTTGCAGTTATCTGATTTAGCATATTCAGAAGAGATGAAAGCAAGGACAACTTTAGAGTTGATCAGACCAGTGGTAATCTGTTCGAACATTCCTGACGCTTGACCTGAAGTCAGCTGTTCTATGTCCAGCCATACTGAGGTTAAGTGCTATTAATGGTCACTTGAAATTTTAGGAATCTCAATGCTCATTACACGAATTTAAATTGATAAGCGATTACAGATGATGCAGTTATAAGCTGATGTACTAGTGATAATTTAAAATTACTTTTCAAGTATTTCTAAGATGAATAACAAAATCGATACCAACTAACCAACGGAGTGTGCACTGAGTGTACACTGAGTGGGCTAGGGAAATAATCAAGGCGTTCAAACAGATATTTGAAAATACCTACCATTATATTTTTCAGAAAGAAGAGACTTGATCTTTCTTGGGTCATTCCACTGGCTACCAAAAAGTTTTGGAATTTCATTGTTTTCTTCGCTGAGAGACGAGTTATTCCAGCAGTAGCTTACAAATATGTCTTTTTTGTTGGATTCTGGCGTTGTAACCTGCTGTTCACCTGATTCTGCTGTCCCGGATGGTTTGTCCTTCCCCGCTATATTGCCTACCTGTTTGGGATTTAAACGGAGATAAAACCCTTACAATTTACATTTGTAACATTTAAAAACTACATGATGTTTAAGTGTTTATCCGGATATCTACAGGGTGTTTGTAAACTTTAAAGGAAGGGGGAGAGGTTTGGGGAAATTCGGTCAATGAACTGAAAGCTCAGCAGAAATCGTAATCAAATATTACCTGGATCCTCAAATCTTCAAACTTCTCATCGAATAGATCCCTTGTTTTGAAGTCAATATATCTCTCTCCCGCGATTAACATTCCTACAACTGTGGCCTGCCAATCCCAACCTCCGTCCCCAACAATGATAGGAATGAGAGGCTTGTGGGCAGTTTTCTTGGCGTACTGCATCTCCATCCGACAGTTATCGTTCACAGCATAATCATCACTGATGCAGCAGATGAACATGCTACAGTTCTTGATACAGGACACGATCTTGTTGAGGTCTAGCTCACGATTATGGCCGTTACGGATGTTGCTGAGAACTTTGTAGCCTAGAGATTCTAATTCTTTCTTGATCCTGAAAAAAAAATATTAAAATTGTTCATTGCTCAATTTACTACAATTTATCGTCCTGAAAGTTAAATGACGGTGAATCAACAATCTTGTTACTCACGTAAGTGGGTCGTTCATGTTCTCATAATTCCTGGTTTTATTGGGAGATTTAGCGAGGCCTGCTTTCACGTCCACCAAACTATCACTGGGGCAGTAGGACAGATAAACATCACATTTGGTGTTAAAGCTCATTTCCTGGTTCTGTTGAGAAACGTTTTGCTCGAGGATGTCGAATAAGTTAGGTGCACACCGCAGTTCTTCTAGTTTGTAGTTGGAGAAAATTGGTTCATAACCTTTATATGTCACCCACTTGCCGTCAACCGCCGCTGCAAGAAGTTGCTGTAGGGATTCGACAATGTGTTTCATTATAATATGAGGATACTGCAAGATTAGCATTTTAAAAAGTGACACCACCAATGTTATCATATTTATTTCTAAAACTTCGCGGGAATTAAATTTCTAGATATTTACTGACATTTAGAATGAGCTCCACTGTAAAGTTTAGTGCCGTCAGCTGCAGTTGTGATGCCGGTGATCTTGCCTTGATGCCACCTGACTCCTGCTAGTCTGCCTACCTCCGCGCTAGCACAATATCCGCCTTGATGGAACAACACCATGGAACCAATACCTATCAGGATTGTAAACATCAGCAAGGTACTAATATCTGAGTTATTACCTGATAACCATATATTACCATAATTAATTATGTAGTTACCATACTATGTACATTGTACTTCCATGCCATCCTTTTAAATTTTAATACTTCAAAAATGAAACTGTGCAACTTACCGATTTCATCTTCATAGGGGGATTGGTTGACAGCGAGATGCTCGATGGAGACATGCCGGTCTGATGGGTCGTGGTCATCCCATTCTATGTAATACTCCAACTTGTTCTCGTCGAAACTACCAGAATCAATATTCAGTTAATGAAAGAATCTTAGATTAACTGCAAGATTAATAAACATAATAGTACTGAATACTGGTGGTAAAAACAGCAACTATAATATGAGTTCATGAAGCGGTGAATAAGAAAACAATTTAGAACTGATCTCAAGATTTTTTACCTTAAGATAGTGGAGTCGAAGTACTGCCATTTACCCCATTTACACAATACTTTATCTCCGGGCTTCGGTATGGGCCTCCCTTCTCGAGTTGGTTGAGGAGCTGAAATAATTGCGCGGTGTCATTTTATTTGTATTTGTAACGACACGTCTGTTGTGCAAATAAATCTAAGGACTACTCTTAGGGACAGCTCTAACAGTGGGTAACTCATCATCCCTTATGATACGTAAGATTGAATGAGTGGGTGACAAGAAAGTTTGTTATAGTGATAATGTGATGGAAGGACAAACTTTATTTTCTTGGAGAGCGAAAATGAACAACAGGCACTCTATCGGGCACCGATGCTTCGATAACGCAACAATATTCGCAATTTGCACGTGCAACCTATTTCAATTTGTACGCGAGCGATAGCTCGAACCTGAACTGGTACAAGGAACTGCCTCATCCTTATCAATATCAATAATATCCAGACACTCTTTTAATAGTGAGTGAGAGGAGTAAAGCTGCTGAACAGAACGGAATGAGGTAACATCGGGGGCATTCTCTTCTAGAAGAGATAGCTCGGGAAGTGTTTGTTTCGTGTCCCCTTCTGTACAGTCAGTATCGTCCTCGGATATTTCGTCGTCGGATATTTCGTTTTCAGATATATCGTCCTCAGAATTTTCCTTTAAAAAGTCATCTTAGCACATGGTAGCCTTTAATCAAACTTAAATGGATCGTCTTCAGAGGATTGAAATAGATTAAACTGGCCAACAACTTTTAGATATTTTGACAACCTTTCTAAGGACCTCCTTAACGAACCTGGTTGATCCAACCACTGGTAACATCTTGAATCAGAGTTTTTATCGCGGATATCTCTAATAAGATCCTATCACTAAGTTTCGGATTATCAGACATTTTTAGGGAAAGAGTACGATTTGCCTGCGAGTTGTGACTGAACTAGTTGCAAACAGTTTAAGAGGAAAATGATCATCTTGTTATGATGAGTGTTATTGTTAAGGTGTGTTTTGGTTTGAACTTGAATCGATGTATTTTCGGACGCTGATTCCGAATGACCCCCATGGCCCATATCATTTTTAAAAAAATAGTCGTTCAGGGTCAGATAGGGAACAGGTTGAAAAAGTCACGTGACAGTCGAGTGTAGAGTGATTAATATCATCATCCCTTTTCTCGATTCGTCGCCTGGCCCAAACTTAAATAGTTGTATAATTGTAACCCAGGGTCCAGGAGGCCTGGAGAATATATTGCTTTATATATATATTAATGTTGTTATACCATGATTGGTGTGGGATCAAATTCAAGGCTGTTAGGCTGTCATAATAGTAAATTATCTTATTCTTGTTGAATTTCAATCACAGGTCATGGTATTTTAATAAAAAGTTGTGAATACTGAAAATATTAAACAACTAGGATTAGGAATTAGCAATTATCTCAACCGTAAAAACAATTTTCTGTTAGTGTTACCTATAAGTGTAAAATAAATAAAATTACGACTGTACAGTGTACATGTAATTTGCATTATTGAAATTCATAAAGGTTTGAAAAATGATTTAAAGATTTAGAACGAAAATGTTTAATTATTTGGTCGCTGACTCTGATCTCAGCTTAATTGTTAATGTTATCAATGATCAAAATGATACGTTAAAGGACAAATAAAATTAAAAGGCTAACGTATTGTTATTCGACATGTTATACTTTACTTATATATATAGCTGCCACTTTAACTTATAGTTTAATTTATAATTTGATGAGCGCACTACTAATTCATTTGTCATACGTTGTATGACCCGCCGCGCACGAAGTGCGCGGCTCCCCCTGTATCTATAGTGAAGCGACCGTGGGGGTCACCACGTGATACAATAATTCATGTCCTAAGTGAAAGTCGGCCGGTCACTTAATTAAATAAAATCTGACTCTGTTGAGGCCGACTATACTTATAGTCAATAGTCTAGTCCAAAACCAGACACGTACAGCATTGTATCAGTATCACGTGGTGACCCCCACTGTCGCTTCACTATAGTGAGTTTCTACGATACAGGGGGAGCCGCGCATATTGTACTGTAAGTGTAGTTTATTGTTAAGCTCTGCGAAGCAAAATGAAGAATGATAGTTCGCGCGGCGCGTTGAAGCGTTGTAGCTCGGTTTACCTAGGAAACCTTTATTAGGCTTAAAGTTAACGGCTGGGGCCTTATAGTTATACCGGCGGTAGTACATTTTGGAGATTTTTATTTTACAGGGCTTTCTCCGTGATTCTGACTTTTAGCACCTTTAATTTTATCGTGTCTTGTAAATGTAACATTGGTCAGTTTAAAAATGTGTTTAAAATTAAAACTATTTAACTGCATAATATGTATATTATGTGGATCTAGGGACAAAGTAAACAATGTTTCTTCCAATTCTGCGACAATACGAACTTATAATTATACGAATCTGTACATCAAATACAAAAACACCACAATAATGCCTATAACAAATGAAAATTCTAAACTTCTAAACTACTAAAACAAAAGAAATAAATCAATAAACTAAAATAAACATAAGATAAAATTAAAAAACCACGTTAATCTAGCATTTTAACGGTTATTTATGTGATATAAAGTGGGAAAACTAAACCTCGGACCATAAGTTGTATTTTAGTTGGAGCGATTCAATGAACAGGGTAGCCCAGTGTCGATGAAGTTCCCGCATCCCTAAATTCACAAATTGCAAAAGGTCTTCACTGATTCATATTCACGATAATAATAGCTTTCAATTTTTCTGAATCTCAACGAAATAAAACAACTTTTAATTGCTCTGATCAGTCTTTAGGCCATGAAAATTATTGAAAAGTGCGTCCATGGCGTTGGGAGCGATCCTGAGCTGGGTGACAGTCATGTCGCTGAAGGAGTATTCGTATCCTCGGTAGGTGACCCACTTTCCATCCTCATCTCCCCGCAGATGATGTCCACTGAAACATTGTAGATTATAATTTACATCATATTATCACTCTTCAAAACAACTGGATTCACTGATAATACAATGAAGCTCGTTTCTGGTTTTTTGTTTAAATTTTTATCATTTTAGGCTTTGAAGGCTTAAAAAGGCGGCTTGTGAGGGCTATCAGATCGCTTTTACTTCATAAAGTCTCAAAAGGTTCATTTACACGACAAGTTAGAAACAACACCTACCTAAAGTATTTAACTCCAGCTCTCTCCACCACAGACTCCACAATACCCTCATGGTACCTCAGCCCACCAGTATTGTTTCCCTCTGTTCCTCCGTAAGACCCTTGTGGGAAGAAAACGCTGCTCCCTACTCCGATGTCATCATCATCCGGATCAATGTTCAGACCGACCTGTTCAGATTTTAGATAACACTCATTTTTAATAATTATGTTAATTTAATGTGATTGGGGTCGTCACTTGAATAGATGATTAAAAAAATAATTAAACAAAGACGGATTTATAATATCCAGAAAGTTAAGCAGTTTAACATTAAATAATAAGTTTATAATTTAAAATATATTTTACCTGGTTGTATTTAGGATTTCTCCCGGAAGGATCACCATCATCCCACTTTATATAATAAGTCATGTCCTCTTTGTTGAAGGAGAGAATGGTGGAAGTGTAGTACGCATGACGAAAGTGAAATGAGATCACGTGATCGCCCACACGTGGTGCACGTGACTTTATCGCAGATTGGTAGTCGGGCGGAGGACTGTCAGGCTGAACCTCGCCCAGCGAATCAGAGTCTTGGGTGGGTTGGATGTGCTCAGATAACTGAGGTTAAGTGAGCAGGTTAAAAACTGAATTCAATTTTTAATCGCGGAAATTGTAATCTTCTTTTAAAAGCTACCCTCTCCAAATAATGAATGAACGAATTGATTTCCCTAATTCTACATATCGACTAAACGACAATTAAAGAAACTATTCAACAACTCACCCTCTCGAATATTTCCTCCATCTTTTTCTCCAGATGACTCTCCCCGGAGATTTCCAACATGTCGATAGTGGGAACACCGCTCCCCATCACTAGCGCTCCTATCACTGATTCCCTCCATCCCATATCTTCACCCACACAGATTGGGATGAATGGCTTCCTCAGTGATTTTGCCGCGAACTAAAAGAAGTAATATTAGTCACGGTCACAGTACTCATATGTTATCAAATATAACAAGTTTATAAAAGGTTGCTTAATTAAAAGCTTATTATTTAAAAGCTCAGTGTTTAGCAAATTGTACAGAACTTTATATCGACAACCCAACAAAATAACCTGGAACTCCATTTTGCAGTTATCTGATTTAGCATATTCAGAAGAGATGAAAGCAAGGACAACTTTAGAGTTGATCAGACCAGTGGTCATCTGTTCGAACATTCCTGACGCTTGACCTGAAGTCAGCTGTTCTATGTCCAGCCATACTGAGGTTAAGTGCTATTAATGATCACTTGAAATTTTAGGAACGTTAATGCTTGCTTGCCGGAATCTCAATGCTCATTTCACGAATTTAAATTGATAAGCGATAACAGATGATGCAGTTATAAGCTGATGTACTAGTGATAATTTAAAATTAATTTTCAAGTATTTTTACGATGAATAACAATATCGATACCAACTAACCAACGGAGTGTGCACTGAGTGTACACTGAGTGGGCTAGGGAAATAATCAAGGCGTTCAAACAGATATTTGAAAATACCTACCATTATATTTTTCAGAAAGAAGAGACTTGATCTTTCTTGGGTCATTCCACTGGCTACCAAAAAGTTTTGGAATTTCATTGTTTTCTTCGCTGAGAGACGAGTTATTCCAGCAGTAGCTTACAAATATGTCTTTTTTGTTGGATTCTGGCGTTGTAACCTGCTGTTCACCTGATTCTGCTGTCCCGGATGGTTTGTCCTTCCCCGCTATATTGCCTACCTGTTTGGGATTTAAACGGAGATAAAACCCTTACAATTTACATTTGTAACATTTAAAAACTACATGATGTTTAAGTGTTTATCCGGATATCTACAGGGTGTTTGTAAACTTTAAAGGAAGGGGGAGAGGTTTGGGGAAATTCGGTCAATGAACTGAAAGCTCAGCAGAAATCGTAATCAAATATTACCTGGATCCTCAAATCTTCAAACTTCTCATCGAATAGATCCCTTGTTTTGAAGTCAATATATCTCTCTCCCGCGATTAACATTCCTACAACTGTGGCCTGCCAATCCCAACCTCCGTCCCCAACAATGATAGGAATAGAGGGCTTGTGGGCAGTTTTCTTGGCGTACTGCATCTCCATCCGACAGTTATCGTTCACAGCATAATCATCACTGATGCAGCAGATGAACATGCTACAGTTCTTGATACAGGACACGATCTTGTTGAGGTCTAGCTCACGATTATGGCCGTTACGGATGTTGCTGAGAACTTTGTAGCCTAGAGATTCTAATTCTTTCTTGATCCTGAAAAAAAAATATTAAAATTGTTCATTGCTCAATTTACTACAATTTATCGTCCTGAAAGTTAAATGACGGTGAATCAACAATCTTATTACTCACGTAAGTGGGTCGTTCATGTTCTCATAATTCCTGGTTTTATTGGGAGACTTAGCGAGGCCTGCTTTCACGTCCACCAAACTATCACTGGGGCAGTAGGACAGATAAACATCACATTTGGTGTTAAAGCTCATTTCCTGGTTCTGTTGAGATACGTTTTGCTCGAGGATGTCGAATAAGTTAGGTGCACACCGCAGTTCTTCTAGTTTGTAGTTGGAGAAAGTTGGTTCATAACCTTTATATGTCACCCACTTGCCGTCAGACGCCGCTGCAAGAAGTTGCTTTAGGGATTCGACAATGTGTTTCATTATAATATGAGGATACTGCAAGATTAGCATTTTAAAAGTGACACCACCAATGTTATCATATTTATTTCTAAAACTTCGCGGGAATTAAATTTCTAGATATTTACTGACATTTAGAATGAGTTCCACTGTAAAGTTTAGTGCCGTCAGCTGCAGTTGTGATGCTGGTGATCTTGCCTTGATGCCACCTGACTCCTGCTAGTCTGCCTACCTCCGCGCTAGCACAATATCCGCCTTGATGGAACAACACCATGGAACCAATACCTGCCAGGATTGTAAACATCAGCAAGGTACTGATATCTGAGTTATTACCGGATACCCATATCCAGGTAATCACCATAATTAATTATGTAGTTACCATACTATCTACTTCCATACCATCCTTTTAATACTTCAAAAATGAAATGCGCAACTTACCGATTTCATCTTCATAGGGGGATTGGTTGACAGCGAGATGTTCGATGGAGACATGCCGGTCTGATGGGTCTTGGTCATCCCATTCTATGTAATACTCCAACTTGTTCTCGTCGAAACTACCAGAATCAATATTCAGTTAATGAAAGAATTTTAGATTAACTAACATAATAGTACTGAATACTGGTGGTAAAAACAGCAACTATAATATGAGTTCATGAAGCGGTGAATAAGAAAACAATTTAGAACTGATCTCAAGATTTTTTACCTTAAGATAGTGGAGTCGAAGTACTGCCATTTACCCCATTTACACAACACTTTATCTCCGGGCTTCGGTATGGGCCTCCCTTCTCGAGTTGGTTGAGGAGCTGAAATAATTGCGCGGTGTCATTTTATTTGTATTTGTAACGACACGTCTGTTGTGCAAATAAATCTAAGAACTACTTTTAGGGACAGCTCTAACAGTGGGTAACTCTATCATCCCTTATGATACGTAAGATCGAATGAGTGGGTGACAAACAAGTTTGTTATAGTGATAATGTGATGGAAGGACAAACTTTATTTTCTTGGAGAGCGAAAATGAACAACAGGCACTCTATCGGGCACCGATGCTTCGATAACGCAACAATATTCTCAATTTGCACGTGCAACCTATTTCAATTTGTACGCGAGCGATAGCTCGAACCTGAACTGGTACAAGGAACTGCCTCATCCTTATCAATATCAATGATATCCAGACACTCTTTTAATAGTGAGTGAGAGGAGTAAAGCTGCTGAACAAAACGGAATGAGGTAACATCGGGGGCATTCTCTTCTAGAAGAGATAGCTCGGGAAGTGTTTGTTTCGTGTCCCCTTCTGTACAGTCAGTATCGTCCTCGGATATTTCGTCTTCAGATATTTCGTTTTCAGATATATCGTCCTCAGAATTTTCCTTAAAAAGTCATCTTAGTACATGGTAGCCTTTAATCAAACTTAAATGGATCGTCTTCAGAGGATTGAAATAGATTAAACTGGCCAACAACTTTAAGATATTTTGACAACTTTTCTAAGGACCTCCTTAACGAACCTGGTTGATCCAACCACTGGTAACATCTTGAATCAGAGTTTTTATCGCGGATATCTCTAATAAGATCCTATCACTAAGTTTCGGATTATCAGACATTTTGAGGGAAAGAGTACGATTTGCCTGCGAGTTGTGACTGAACTAGTTGCAAACAGTTTAAGAGGAAAATGATCATCTTGTTATGATGAGTGTTATTGTTAAGGTGTGTTTTGGTTTTCGTCCAAGCTATGTGAGCTACATTTCCGGTAGTTACCGTTAATTGACTGAAAAAAATCTGCTAATTGATAGATGTCAACTATTATGTTTGTTATGATTTTTATCGATCGTATCAGTGTCTACAAAATCAATAAAAATGCTGTTCACTATGACATGTATGAGTTTCGACACGTGTCAGTAGTGCGTGAAGTTGGTCGTTTCCATGAGCTGATCAGGTGGAACTGAAACCAAATCCCAAAAAAACAAATGTTTCTTGTCTCCACCCAAGCCAATATGCAATATTGCAATCTAGTAAAAATCAGACAATCCTGCACTGACCGTTATTGAGGGTAGCAGCTTGGGAGGAGGTAACCAGAAGAGCGTCCTCCCTGACTTCGTTTCGGTTTACAAACTCGTGATTCTCCCGCAGATGTGAGATGTAGTCCTGAGTTGCACCAGTCATTGCACCAGTTAAGTTGTCAGTAATTCAACTTCATAATTTTGATAACTTTTAATTATCAATAAAGAAATTATCATAGATAATTGATATAATTGAATAGACCCAATTGTGGATATTGCACTATAACGCTATGATAAAACACGCGTGCTATCTGAAAAAAAAACAATCACAAATCACTGACCACAAGAAAACTTACCGTGGATTTGACAGCCTCACCGCACAGAGAACATGTGATCTGATCCGAAATGTGAAGAGAGGATATGTGATCGTACAGATTACAACCTAAATCTTCTGAAATTGTTTATACGTGATCTCTTTTATCTTCTTTAATTTTGGAAATTTTATTTTATGCATTAATTATCTCTTTTTTTTATTTAAAAAAACTTATCTCTTGGTAGGTACTAAAAGGGGATAGAAATCGAGTATATCATCAAGGAACAAATATCGGCAATAAAAACCCATTTTAAATAAGTTGACAATGCTTTAGAGTTGTTGATCACTATTCGCTCTTGGAATCACAAAGAAAACGTATATACATATGTACTATGTAGTAAGAACAAACTAATGACTGTCATGGCCATCATGAGCAACCACGAATAACAGAGGAAGGTAGAGACTAGAGAGTGACAGTGTTTGAGTAGTGACACGAGTCAATGCACACGATCAATCAGCAGAAATATTAGTGCTAAAATTGTCATTCAAATATTATTCACGTCCATTCGCAGTTTACACAAACCTGCCGATTTAGATTCGAATGTTTTTGAGCACTCGGGGCAAGTAATAGTGATATCATGACCACCAACGCTGCCATTTTCAAGCTGTGCAGCGAAATTGTGCTCTTTTCTCAAGTGGTCTATATATCCCTGAGATGGCTAGGAAAAAGATTTCAGAAACAAATAGATTAAATAAGAAATCGAGATTCGAGTCAAGTACGTATTAGAAATTAAAGCTTACACAAGTTCAAAATCGTATCTGCAGTTAATGAGGTATTTTTATTCTCTAAGGGTAATCATCACAAATATCAAGATATCACAATGGAAATAGCGGGGTATTAACACAAACCTTACAGAAGACTTTTGAGTCACACAGGACACACTCGATACTACCTTGTTCAGGACAATGTGCTGTTGCTATGTGCTCGTATAGCTCTGTACCGATATTTGCTGAAGTTTTACTGATAAGTGATAAGAGAGCTAAAATTTCGGACGCAATTGCGTTAGAGACAGGAAATCTTGATTCTTGAAACGATTTATTCGAAAGGACTCTGATAGCGGAAAAATAATTCCGATGAACTGAGCAAATCATTAATGCTTGCACATTCCTTACCGATAACAGAAGAATCATACGTTTTGTGGCATTCAGGACATGATGCTACAATAGGTTTGACCTTAGATTTAGATTGACAGCAGCCCATCACATGTTTCGATCCTCAATCTCGTCCTTCTGAAAGGTTTTCTAGGTAACTGTTACTCGGAGGTGTTCGAATGGACCGGATCACCAAATTATGGCACGTTTGCTGGCAGTCGATCGACTCAATCTAGCTACAAGCCGATTTAATTTGGTCGACATGACCGACATGAACGGCGCAACAATGAACAAGCAATATAATTTATAATAAATATATATATATATAATATAAATAATATAATATAATTAATATAATACTGCGCGTAAAATTTGCGCCAGCTTGTGTATCAATTAAAGATTGGCGCCTTCCGACAACATGATGCAGTAGACCGTTTTGAGCATCTGTGCGAAAAGGACGATGGACATATTATCTCACATTAGTCCAGCCAACTCCAAGTAAAGACAGCTACAGACTACTTTTCCCCGAGTATTTAACTTTAGTCAATCAAACCATAAATTTCTGCATTAATCCTTCCACTTCAAACCCAGAGGAAGGAAAAACGTTTATGTACTTATATATTTTGACCCAAATATTAGCCAGCGTTTGAGTAATCTTGAATACTGAAAATTCAATTTTTCGCATTCTGCTTAAATACCACGTGAAAAGAGCATTGTAAATAGTTCAGGTATGTGGCGAAGATTCGGATATTTATCGCGCTTACCTCGATAAGACAGCTAAACTTCTCTTCTCGGTTGCATGTCGCTGATCTGGTCCTAAACCATAGATTTGTATCGGGTCTCGGATTTCAAAATTTAGATAGGAAATTGAGCCATAACAAGAATTGCGCCCGTTGTTTCGTTTTGGCGGACGCTAGATTTCCATTTCACATTTACTATAAATTTAAGTATAACTATAAGCTCCAATCAGCTCACTTCAATCTTCATGATAATAATATTGATCAATTATGCATCAAATACGGGAAACACTTGAAATTCAGTTCAATTGCCGTAGAACTTAACTTGTATCTGTAATTCAAGAAATTATCAGCAAAGGTAAACTATTATATATACTCGTGTACACATCAATACACTACGCGTGCCACGTACAAATTGGGTGTATTACCTAATAGTAATATTATACATTACATGCATCATATACACAGTCGCGCCGCGCATTCATAGATCACAGGCTATCTATACATCACATCTCCGCAAGCAATCCTCGCGCGCGCCCAACTTTTTCGTTGCATGGTAACGAACGAACACACGACATATTTAAACCCACCTATCTCGTTCTCCAAAATCCACGTTTTTCTGCAAAAACCTCCATTCGTAACCTTTCACTATTGCCTTTTTTCAAAAGGGTGAAAAGGAAAAAATTATATGAAAATGACAAACACCACACATGCATCAGTAGACGGGAGAATTATCTTGGTAATGTGATCAGTAACTTGATAATTATAAAGTGTAAGTTATTCGATTGTAATTTACACTCAATACTCTTCTTCTTGATTCTATTGGAAAATCCACAAGACAACATTTTTAGTGGATAAACAAAATCTGAACAAGGTCAATGCAATGAAATAATAGAAGGAAGATGGCGCAAGTTTGTTTTGGCACGTGACAGTGATTCTTCCTTCTGGGGTTTAATCAGTAAATGCAGCAAGCTGATAGGTTAATCCCTGTCACGTGTCGAAACAAACTTACTGCACCTCTCCGCCGCTCTGCTGTCTATTGAATTATCTGTGAGCTGGTATGTCATTATACAAAAGGGTGCTACCTAATTAATAAATAAGGGACGCTGGATTGAGCAAATTGTTAAGTATTTTTATTGTGTTATTCTAATTTTGCATATATATATGCAAAATTCCACCATTCTCTTTGCATCACCCTGTAGTTTATCCATCATATTTATTTTATATAGAATAACAAGGTACTGACTGTAACATCGAAAATCAGCAAGTTTTGTTCATAGTTAGAGGCAAGAAGAAAATGTAGACTCTGCAGTTTTCTACTTAAAAAAAACAGGCGAACTTTGAATAGTAAATTGCCACTCCTCAGCAACTAAAGAAATGCGACACTTCAAGTGTCAAACTATGCTTGCAAGACAGCTAACAAGAACTTGACGTGTCGGACAGGTAAGAAGACGCTTCAGGGCCGGTACAGTGTACAGTGTACAGTATACATTATACAGTGTACAGAGTACAGTGTACAGTAGTGTATTTCACGTCTAATAGTACAAAGTACAAATATATATGTTTTATTATACCTGTGTTAAATAGTCCTGTAAGCATATAAAAATTGCAGGTATAAATGAGCAAACTGGAGTAACGTTAAGCAAAGGGACATCTAGTCATTATATTAACTGAAAAAGCTGAAATTATACTAGCTTAAAGGAGAGCATATTATGTATTTCCTTTTCAGTACTTCACTCCAATAAAATACGAAAAATACAAAACACTACACAATCTGAAAGTGACTACAAACGCATCGCACCATAACCATGAGATGACTAAAGTTAAAAACAAACTTCACATCCACTACCACAAAAAGACAATAACTGGTGGATGTCCAATACATGTGATTTGCATGTCATATCTATGATGCTCTATTGCATGTTATTGCACTGTTTGTCTTGTCCACCGTGTCATCAATACGTAAAGGGGCGGTTATTTTAAAGCGCACTTAACAAGTGTTAAATTTGAGTTTCAGCAACAATGCCGGATGAATGATTATCTACGCGATACAATGTACTTTTGAAATGTACGTTGATACTGAACACAAGAAATAAAGTCGGAAATATCACGAAACACCGCCACAATTAAATGAAACTGTTGACTAATTAGTCAACAACTATTTTTCTATACCAGCTGTGAAATACTGAATAACAAATGGAGAACATGCGACAGTGATTATTTTGATACGCTTAAAATAAGCACAAAATGTGCCCAATTTAAGATAAAACAGGAATGTACAAGCTGATCGACTTGAATAACTTACGGTAAATCAAAACAAAATTTGCCTCGCAGCTCTTAGAAAACAACACAGCTTGAAGATTAAAACGTTTTAAAAGTTGAATATAACAACAAAAGCAAAATTGTTTATACCATGTTTGACAAAAGCATGCACAAGCGTTTAGTCTTTATACTTGAATACACACGGATATTGGCAACTATGTACCGACATTAGTATCTGAACGAGAAAGAGAGACCAGTACATACAGGTTATATCATTACGAGAGAAGTTATATTTATCTAATTTACCTGCTACATGTAAGGAGCTTATTACAGAGCTAACTGATGGAGATTGTATTGATGGTTCTGTAAAACTATACATAATACAAGGGGGATCCTAAACCTAAAACTATACAATAGTATAATCTGGTAACCAATCAATAGATTGAAGCGGTCATATTGTAATATAGTGTACAACTGTTCACGAACACCTGTTCGCGAACAGGGGTCGGGCTATCTGGATACTGCCCAGTGCCCAGATTTACGTATTGAAGGATTGAGTATTGACTGTAGAAACCATTTTCTAAACCATACTCTGAACCTCACAAAATACAACACCGATCCTACTACAATAGATTTGGAGGACCTAAGGACTGAGCACAGTTATCTGACTCACCAGGTGGCCTGTACTAGCTGAAGAACTTAGTGCTCTAAGTAGTAAGATTCGTAAACTAGACAGGTGACAAGAAACAGCTGGTGAAAAAGACAGGTGAAACAGCTGGTGCCTAATACAAACTCCTGGATTGTAGGAGTACTGGGTGTTCAGGGGCCAACAAAACATAATTAGGCTGTTATATTATAGGTACTCAAATAGTACATGGAGTCAGGACATAACAACGTTTAGTGACATGATACGTGTATAAAACATGTACATACGTCATACCAATAGAAATTTAATTGATTAATTTGAAGGCTGGTTCGTACTTCGTATGTTGCAAAGAAAGAATTAAAAAGATGCGGTGGACATGGTTGATGGTCACACACAACACACAACACACAAATACGTAATGGAAAATGATCTTCCTACAGTAAGCTACAATATATATCACGGTAACCATGGGAACTGGAGCAACAATACCATCACAGAATAGAGCTTTACTACGAAGTGTAATGACTAATTAATGAGGTAATGACTTCAGAAGTACCTAACACAAGCTGTCTAGGACACTCTTAGGTTCAAGCAAATTGTACTGAGCGCGCCTAGTTAATACAATCTGAGCGCCAATTTGCATATAGATATGATCTGGATTGCAAAGTTCTAAAGTTGCACGTAACAACAAACTTGAGCCAAAACTGCAGACTATCAGTCTAATCTAATGAGTAATTATGAAGTAATTAATACACAGTTAACAGAGCTGGACAAGCAATGGAGAGGCGTGTACACATGGAATAATAGAGAGTGGTAGAGTGGCAGAACCATCTCACTCTCACTTCACGAGGTAAATAGCGTGTAAATAGCGTGGTCAGTGTGAGTGTAAGGCGGGAGAGCATCCGAATAAGCAGGAGGCAGATTGCAGAGGATGGAAAATGACGTGCTGGAGTATGGAGATTAGAGAATAACGTGTTAGAGTATGGAGATTAGAGAATAACGTGTTGGAGTATGGATAATAACGTGTTGGAGTATGGAGAATAACATGCTAACTATCTGGAGTATGGAGGGTAAGCCAGATCAAGGAGAGCAATATAGCAATATAAATAAACAGCGTTTAAAATTATGTATTATAAGCAAGTGACAGGTAAATTATAACAATATGAAAGTGATTACTACCAAATTTATAGAGATGCCCAGAAAATCGTAAAACATGTAATTTCAATCAAGGCAGAACATTTAATTATCTTAATTAGATTGTAATGGACTGCAATCCACTATTCGACAGCCTCAAGTCGAATTACTTGAAAACAAGGTATTTCCGGGCGATCCGTCAGGAACTCTGCTTAAAGTAAACGACAGGAGGTTTGGACCTCAAATCACTTCTTATGTAGTAATAACAATCACCCCTTACAACTTTACTCTTGTTTTCACATGAGATTGTTCAATCTCCTAAGAACCCCCTCCTCAGTTTAATTAGCGAGGATGGTAGTTAAAATACAAATTAACTGAACATTAGCTGTACCTTCTCGCCTGGGCTGAAGTCCAGTTATTCCTGACATGGGTGTTGTTCTAACGTCAAGGACTATCACATCTCCAAATTCTTTGTAACCAATAACATGATCCAACATGTTCACGTCAACTGTACACACGCACAGGCAAGCTAGTCGTACTCTTCGAATCCTATCAAAAACTCATTATATCAATTTTATAATCTACGAAATATTCCCTCCAAGTATTAAGGGAACCTAGAATACTGCCAACTTGTCTGTCTGAATATTCGGTAAAAGGAACGGACTGTAACTGTTGAAATACGTACCAGATATTGTAACATTCGGGTCTTGTCAACGTGGTTACCTCCGCAAGCAACCCTTGTAACGCAGTTACCTTCCGTCGTTCCTATCACCGTTTGAAAGAGTAAATTTTTGTGGTTGACGATTTGAACTTTTGCAAGATATGTAAAATCATCTCAGTTGAGATGGTCATTTTTACAGCAAGTAAGTCATTATAATTTGATAGGCAAAGAATCAAAATATAAGCTATTGCAAATTATCAGTGGCTTTATTTTCTGATACGATAATAATAATAAAATGAAGAGTAACACATTTGAGTCTATAAAAAATCAAATTTTAAATCAATTAATATAGGTAATATTAATCATGACTATCACTGAAATTAATGTCCAAAGGATCTCTTAAAAATAAATCTCTGTCATAAAACATAAAACCTATAAATCCAGTAAAGCAATAAGCGGCATACAATAAAAACATCTCAGTAGTAGAATTCTCATATATCTAAACCATAGCGAAACAAAGTGATTTCCTCACTAAAAAGTAGAAATTATAGCGATTCTTCAAAAGATCAGTACAGCTCCACAAAAGTTCCCTTATCAGTAGGCTGATTCCAATTAGTAGCGCCCCAATCAGCACCTTCTCCCTCATACAAATGGAAAGTAAAAGCGTTTCTCGGCTTATCAGAAGTGTTCGAATACGATTTATGAACCACGTCCCCATCCAGAAGAACTAAAGACCCACGTTTAACCTCCGCTACCACATACTTATCATCCTCCTCATAGTTCGCATTCTTCTCCCCCACAAACTCACACGCCGTGTTTGCCTCGTTCCTGTTCATGAACAAAGTGGCAGGTTCCCTGTGGGATCCAGGGATGAACCAGAGACACCCGTTATTCGTGGTGGCATCGTCTAGAGGTATCCAGAGACCCAGCAGCCTGGTGCCTCCTGTGTGGAGGAAGGAATTATCTTTGTGAGGTGTCACCGGGCCACCCAACCCACCTGACTTGAAGATATACATGCTCTGGGGAAGAGTGGGTTTCTTGATACCCAGTGCTTTGCATATGTTCTTGATACCATCCCCCTGAGCTACTTCCTTAAACTCTGGAACATCTGTGTGGAGAGCGTGTCCTATCTTGTTAACAGCATCGTATTTAGAATAAGCTAGCTCGTTAGTCTCCTTGGAAAATGCTCCTTCCTCAAAAAAGAAGTTGATCCCATCCCCGCTGTTTAAGAAGTAGTCAGTCATCATGTGAGTGTCAGGTTTGGCTTTGTTGGCTTGGTAAGTTGTGAACATGGTTTTTGGATGGGTCTCCAAGTCAAGATGCTGGTCAATAACATCTTTTATTGTTTGTTTAAGGAGGTCACATTGTAATTCTGGGAGGAAGTTCTCGATTATTAAATATCCGTCCTCGTCGAATTTCTGCACTTGTTCAGGTGTTAGAGTAAACTCTTTCATGGGCCGAGTGCTAAGCAGGACAGCTGTAATTAGTTAATTAGTCAGGCGAACAAGAAAGTTGTAAATAAAACTCATGGTAGATTTTAATACATATTACATATTCTTTTAAAAGATTGTATGATGGTCAAAAATCTACTAATGTCTGGCGTTTTTTAACAATTAGAAACCTAGAAAATACAGGTCTACAGAAACGATCTCGTTACATCATTATCTGCAGAGAAACTAAGTGAAATTGTAGAAAGGGCTGATTAGCTGACACAAATCCCATTCACTGGCTGTAGAAGAAATGACACGTGGTGTGGAAGAAATGACACGTGGTGTGTAAGAAATGACACGTGGTGTAGAAGAAATAACACGTCGTGTGGAAGAAATGACACGTGGTGTGGAAGAAATTACACGTGGTGTAGGAGAAATAACTCGTGGTGTGGAAGAAATGACACGTGGTGTGGAAGAAATGACACGTGGTGTGGAAGAAATGACACGTGGTGTGGAAGAAATGACACGTGGTGTAGAATAAATGGCACGTAGGTCCTTGTTTACTATCTGAAATATAATTTAAAATGAAGGAGGAAGAGAACATATTTACTGCTTGTCATTGAGTTGACATGCGCAGTTAAATTTATTTCAAATCTCACAAGTTAAAACCACCAGATTTAGAGAACCAGCAGAAAGTTGTAGAGCCGTTCTTCAAATCAGATCCAGCAATCTCAACTATCATAATACTACATGTTACATTAAATGTAGCAGTGGTTTTATAACTGTTCGTTGTTGCTTGATATTACTCTATTATATAATATATGTTTTTTGGGTTACTTTAAAATACTGTAAGAGTACAATCAAAAACTCAGAAGAGAATGTAGAAATAACATAACATTGAAATGTCACATTTACTATTGTGCAGGACACAGGGTACAGGATCACTACAGGTGGGGAGATGATAACGAGGTTATCAACTGAACCTCTAAAGCTCTAATGAAGGTAGGTTCTAGCTACTAACTAATAAATATCATGACGTTTTAAATATAATACTTGTTGGGAGTGACTAGCAACATAGCGTCTAACTGTGTTGATATGCGTAGAAAATCTATTACTGGAACGATAAGGATGACTCGTATGAATTATCAGAAAAACTAACTTTTAATTTATTTGTGACTCAACGTTCCAAAAACTCGTCTCGAAAGCATTACGTCGCTGATAAGACACGAAAAAAAGGAGTATGAAAACCAATGCGAGTAGTAGAGGTTCTATGTAACGTAAAACCTTAAAGCGTATGAAACCCAAGAAAACGGTCAAGTATCATACTCTTATCGAGTATGAATTGAAACCTACTTAAATAAAGCGGTTCTAAGAGGGGCCATGATATGCCGGCTTACTGTTTATCGACAAATGCATATTTTTCTGGTCAAGTAATGACAATATTCTTAGTGTTTGGAGCTGATTGTAGCAGATCGAGTTCGAACCCCGTGACAGGTCTAAATTCTGAGAAAACTTAAGAATAGAGTTAAGTTGCCACTATTCTCATCAGTACTTTTGATCCGGGCATTGTCTATCTATATTTATATTTGTTATTTTGGCATAGCTCCAACGCAGAGAAATTTCTTTTGTTGAGATATCAATGGATAATTGATGGCAGTTCTTCGTTCACAGATATCATGTTTTATTGGGTGCAATGAGTTAATACGCTATAGCAATATCATTATGATCGATCATGCTCTTGTTTTTACAAAAAACAAAGAATGAAATTGGAAATTAACATAATATGCAGTATGTATTATGTTACATGGTGCCGCAAGATGTTTCCCCTCAAACGTCCGTCATACTAGAGACCTTACTAGACACTTCATTAGATCATATTACACGCATTCTGTCCACACTCACCCGGTCTTATTTATAATGTACGGAGGTAATATTATATTTAATAAGGGCCGAATTCCATCCTCTATTCGCTTTCGTTTTTTCGGTCTTTCATTTAACCTCATAGAAACTAAGATTACATACATGTGTTCCTTCTACAGTCTATATTCTAGTTTGTGAATCATCGTTTTATTGCGTTCCTGTGTTTACTTTGAATTTTCTCATGCTTTTTAGCGTTTACCGTTCATTATAAGTTCAGAATCCTCAGCTCCTACATTAATTGTCAAGTCATTCCAACTGTTTCGATTTTGGTATAAGATTGAAACTTCAATATCAAAGCTAATTTATCAATGAAGTTTCTAAGGCAAAATCTAAGGAAACAATATAAAATTCTAGGCCTAATTTCTTGTAGCGAGTTTCGCATTATAAAACTGAGTGTACACTGTACAAGGTTAAAAGAAGGTAACCTGGAATGTTATTGTAGGTCCCGGAATGTCATCTCATTCAATGTGCTCCTTATTGTTCAAAATGGTCAGTAGGACGATTATAATGTAACTAGTTTTATAACGTACCCGAGCTACCAGATCCCATATACACAATGATACATTCCTTCTACAAGGCACATAATATATCATTCTTGACATATTTCTGGGTTGAAAATCAGTAACTGGTCTGTATATTGCACATTGGCCATTGCACAATGCACATGACACAAAACAGTTCCAACAACTCCCGATTACAAAGTGGCTTCTATCTGGAACAACTCCAACTCTTTTTCTACTTGTCGAGCGATAAGTCCCCATAACTACACAGTAAACAATCACCATAATATATCATAACGTCATGATATATAATGTCATCTTACACACAAATTACTGCATATTCATTATTCGTGGGCCCTCTTTATTAGAACTCTGCTAAGCTACGTTATGTGTAGACTACAATGTTGTTGCTTTCGTTCAGTGTGGTACATCACTTGCTCATATCGTACAGACTGAGCTATGTTAAAAGCTTTGAATCTTTGTAGCAACTATTAGTAACTAGACTCATTTTGGTAACTTTCTGCATTAATTACATCTTGAAATTAACTTGAAACCTCTATTAAAACAGAATGACAATCACGGAAAACAGTCGATAAGTTTGTGAGAGCAGACGATAGTCTTGTGCTGAATGACAGAATCTTCAACAAACGTGTGGTCAATAGAGGAGCTTTCTCAGTTGGAAGATGAAACTTCGATCGAAAAGCGGATCATTTTAATTGGTGGGAAGTTGGGGACACTAGAAACAGTTAAGGATGTTGGAAAACAAGTTTTGAACCCCCTTGGTTCCCTTTTGCCGTCATCGGAGCAGCATTTTAAACTGCTGAGCGGTGATGATGGCACTGTTATTTTGGAATCTCTAAGATGTCTGCTCTATCGGCTGGATACCATGACCATTAACACTGGTCTTCCGGTTAACAAATTGATCGATATTTGTCTTGATGTTACTGATTCAGCTCCAAGTTTCCCAATTCTTTTTTACGTCGTAAAAATCTTCAGGCGATTGACGTCCTACAGATCCCCCGCTTCCAAAAGGAGAGGAAAATGTCACCGTTATGAGGAACATTCTGTCGGACAAAAACGGACCGGCTAGGATCGCAATTGCACTTACAAAAACAGCACCATCTATTGTAGACAAAGAGGACGATTTTGAGTTTATAACTGACCAACTAAATGATTGGTTTATCTTCGTTCAGAGAAAACTCAGGCGTCCAGTAGCAAAACTGGATGTGACATTGCTGGTTGAATACTTTAATGAAATCCTGTTGACACAGGATATCGCAAATCAACAGTGGATTGGACTAAACGTAAGGAATATATTGGTTAATCTTTTGAATTTTCTGAGCATCTCTGAACAGACGGAATATGTTGCAAAGCTTGTACAAGAGCTTACGCAACCTTTATCCGACACCAGCAAGAACAAACAAGTTCTAGAAATGCTGAAAAAGTTGGGTGGGCGTGGAAGATGTGGGATAATAAGACGATCTGAGAATAATGCCATTCTTTATCATCTTGTTAGCATATGCTTATCACAGAAAGAAAGAAATCCAGAAAACGTTACTCAGGTGTCTCTAAAGTTGCTGATAATGCTATACGAGTCACCTCATTACATAAAGGAGCATCAGGCTATGAAGACAAATGAATTTGTACAATTTTTAACCCGAGGCCAAGCAGCGGATAAATATAACGATGAATGCAACAAGATCCTCAGGTTCTTGATGTTCAATGATCCTAAGAATGACGTATTGAGACTACACATACTTGATGCTGATAAACACACACCTTTGTTGGTGGCATTGGCGAAAAAAATGAATAAACAGGAAAAGAAAGAACGAGATGAAAAGAATGGTAAAGACAAAGATATTGGGAAACTACTCGCCAGACACAACTGCTGTATAAGTAAAAGTAAGAATGCCTCATTGATCACTTTGGGATTCTTTGCCATGAGCTATCTTAAAGACACGTTCTTTGATCTGGTTCTAGCTGCAGATAAGATTATATTCAGGAAAGGAAACCCAGTTCTAGCTTGGTTACTCCTTGCATTCGCAATATTTCCTCTTCTGGTATGCAACGTTGTCTCCCTCAAGAATTTCTACTCATCCACTCCACTTTCGGTCTTTGTTTCTTTGGAAGGTCACGTACCTCGCTATAGACTGCTGAAATACGTATTTCCTTGGCAATTCGACAGCGTGAAACATGTAGTGTTTAACCTGCTGACTTTCCTTCAGCTCCAACCGTTAATTACTGTCGTTGATCATCTTTACCATCATGTGCAGTCTATAGAAAATATATTGAAATCACAGTACAACATACGGAAAGTAAAATGCCTTGAAAGTATGTTGGAGAACATACCTTGTCTGGCTATCAAGATAGTTCAAGTTGCTACACAAATCGAAGAAGGACACTTCGATTGGACTTCAACATGGAATATCTTTGAAATTGTATCCATGGCCAACTCACTTTATTCCCTGAGCAAATCTTTTCTTGATTTCGAGAAGGCAGCGAGGTTTGTGGATTACGATATGTATCAAATACGACTGAAATCACAGAAAGCCATGGTGTTCTTTGGATACTTGACCATGATAAGCTCTAGGATGCTCCTCTTCTTGATACTAGCAAGATTTGAACTATGGGTTCTCATTGTTGCTGTCTCGATACACATTTTGGTGACCTTCCTAATCAACCTTTTTACCTATCACGTTAAGGCTGAAAAAGACGGATCCGAGGATGAACATTTCGTGTTTCTAAGAAGATTCGACTTGAGACTAATTCCATTCGCACTATCAGAGGGTTTCTTGGTTCTGCTGAGGAGTCCTATGGAGTATATTGGGATCTATCCAAACTTTCAATATGCCAGGAGAAGATGGCAGTTTTTCGGAATATACTTCATGCATCTGACTGAAATTTTGATGATAAACCTGTGCTTTTTGTTCCTCAAATTGAATAATGCATTACACAGACATCAGGCGATGTCCATTATTAGCATAGTCAGCATGGGACTCTACATACTCAGCGGACTCTTCTTTGCAGTATACTTCTTTGTGGTGCATCCAAAGAAAAAAGAGAGTTCCAAATTTGTTCCAAAGAACAAAAGTTTGGAATTACAGCTAATTGAACCGGAGCATGATGATGATTGGAGGAAAAAGCCTTGCCTAAAAGTTAAAGATATCTTCAATATAAATGGGACGACATTGCCTAGTCCAGACGACAGGAATCCTTATATTGGACTTAATTCCGAAACAGAGGAATTCGATCCCAACAACGATACAGGCAATAACACTTACATCAAACAAAGAAGCAAATTCAAAATCAACGGCAAAAAGGATTTAATTAACATTTAAGAGACACGGTTCTCGAGAATCGATTATCGGGATTATTGCCTCAAATTCAGAGCAGTTAATTGCAACCGGCTAAAGCAGTGATTCAGTGATTGGTGTTATCTTATTCATTTGACAGACTAAGTGTATAATAAGTGTACAAAGTGATTTTAATCTTTTTATTCTACATTGGGATTTTTGAATTATGAGTTTTGAGAGGAGCTAATATTTTATATTTTCCTGAAAATGGCTCGAAAAAGTGAAAGTGTTCTTGAACATGTGCTGCCTGGCCCTGTTCTACAAATTTTATTGTCGATTCGCATTACTATTGATAGTAAGAAAGAAGGTGAAAGAGTTTCCATTTTTACAACTCTATCTTTGTACTTGTAGCGTTTATTCAAAGATTATTGTTTTACTTTGTAAGTTTTAAAAACTGGAAATAAAAATGAAACATGGATTTAATAAGATCGTTCAGATTTGTGTCTCACAAAGTTCGTATAGAATATTTCTCTTCCTTCAAAGTGTCCGTTAATTTGAAGTTTGTTGGATAACGGCAATTCGTGCCTTAACCATGCCTTAACCGTGCCTTATCCGTGCGTTAAGTGTCCGTTCCTTAACCGTGCCTTAACTAACCAATGTGCGTTAACCGTGCGTTAAGTGTCCATCGACAGATTACCGAATTGCCCGAATAACCTAACTCAAGAACTATGCAGACTGAAGATTCGAGCATGGGAGTTGGGACAGGGAAGTTCCATATTCATTTCAAAAGAAGATTCTGAAGGCAGACAGGCAAGTAAGTACCGATATTTGGAGCTGAGTTTCTAAGAGTTGTTAATCCAATCTATATAAGAAACATGACAAGTTAGTTATGAACTTATATGGGTCAGGAGCTCTGATATGACTTAAGGTGCGTGTGGGAATGAATTACAATAGCACTTCAAAGTCCCAGTCTAGGCTAATTAACAATGGTTATACCCTGTAAGTGGCCTTAAAAGTCTGTAACGACTGTTTGGAAATATTTTTTAAGTATTCCGCTACTAACTGATCTGATTTGCCGAATTTTGAAGTTATGAATTAGTAAATAGTTAGAAATCTAATTTTATAACAATTTGAGACTTGACAGATACAATATTCCAATGTTATTTAGCCAGTAATTTTTGTTCATTAGTGCGGTAATTAGTTTATTACAATTAATGCACTTGTACAGAAGTAACTCTGCAAAAATCCAATTTACACATTAAAATGGCCCATTTTTAATTATTCTTATTTGGCTTCCTTTCTGTCGAACTTTTAAAGCCCAAAAGTGCATTTTCTGTGAACTGTGATATCAATTGGTTTATTTTTGTAAGTTGACCATAAATTTTGCTTCTTGACATAAAATGTCATGAAATTCTTCTAATTGTATCTAACTGATGTTTGTCTGTTTGTATCATGCTTGAAAAACCTTTGCGATATATGGTATAGAGATTAAGAATTATTTTGCACCTTTGAGTCCTCATTATGCGATACCATGTTGATGATTTGACCCTTTGTGAAACGAAAAACGTATAAGTATCTATCATTGTATCAGCGCACCATCTGCAATTAAGTTTTCCTCGTAACGGCATACATAATATTAAATAATGCGGCCAATACCAATTAAACAATAAACAAATAATTCTTGTTAATTAAAACACCGTTACCGTGATTAGATCACAACAATACAAATCTTCCAGCCCTCTGACAGCCCCCTGTTCAGTTGTTTTACCCAATTTCCGCTCCAATAAGCCAGACTTACAGCCTTACCTATTAATCCTTACTTTAACATGTCAACCACAGTCATAGGACCTTTACAACAGCATGGACATTAATTAAGGCACAAATAACTTGGACGGGATTTCCTTTCCCACTTGGACAGGACTTCCTGGGGCAGAGTGCCGGTCACCAATACGAACTATAACACTTCGTAATTGATTACAGACCCGTTTGATTAATACGTATCACGTGATATAACTTCATGCTCTAACTAAATATGACAGAGGCTGTTACATTTGTCGTTTTGGCAAATTTATTGAACCACTTTTATAATTTCCTTCAACTCGTGCCGTGCGCAAGGATTAGGCAAGTTAGTGCAATTATTGATTTATCATCTAGTTTTTGTTAGTGGTTGGACTGGTGGCGAAGCAACGACATCTGCAAACTAAATCCCGATAGAACCCACAACTTCATATAGCTCATAATTGCAGTTGCACAACAAATGACCAAACTATAGGATTATGTTAGACTGAATCAAAGTTTATATCGTCGAAACTAAAGCTAAGTGGGTATTTCACAAATCGTTCTTCGAGACGGGATGCCCCAGCATGTCAATGCTCAGCGCTCACTTTTAAATCCCAAATAACACGGTCAATGTTCAAGTTACTGGCCAAGCAATTAGTCTGGTAAAGGACAGCTGAGCCATCAAAACAGTGGTCAATGATCGCTAATTAGCACTTTTAAAAACTTACTGAATCACATACGACTACATAAACGAGCAGAGGGGGGGTTAGCTGACCCGAACTACTATCATCGTGCAGCTTGAAATGGGTTAATTGTTGTGCGTACACCCTCAACACAGTTATTAGTTTGTTATTACTTATTTTCCTGCTCTGGCTTCCCTCTCAGCGTAGCATTCCTCTATTTTACCTTTGGCTCGCCATTTGTTGCGGAGAAATTAATGATAGTGGCATGTCATCGAGATACGTGCGCGTGCAGTGCCAATGCTCCGAGATTCGCACTTTAACTTTTAATATCGAAACCTTTGTTCGTTTTGCTTTTGATCCACTTTACTGTCATTTTCTGGTACACGGAAGAAGCAATTATACTACGTTCTCTGATGTTTTCCAGCCACATAGTTCTAGTTCATATCATAGGTATCTATCGAATAAACTTACTGCCTGTTTTAAGATTAGAGTTATACAAATATTCGAATATGAAAACAGTGAAAAGCCACCGATCATTAATTACCGATGAAATGTAGTGTTTTCAGGTCCGCCAAGATTTATTGAAATTTTGCAAAAAATTAAGAGTAAGACTACAAAATAAGGTAGAGCACGGTGCACCGAAGTAATTACTATTAATGCAATACTCGCCTCTTCCTTGTGCTCTTCAAGAAAAGAGGTAGATTTTTATTTATAAGCAATGACAAGAGACCTTAAAACTAAAGCTTTAAAATGTGGCTAGATCATAGATGTTGGTTTTATAAGTTATTTGAGTTTGTCAAAAGCACCAACACTGTTTAGAATTTAACAAATCTGTTTTAAGAGCAAGGTTATAAATAGGACGATGGTTCGTATTCTAATTTCTAAATAGATATCAGTTTAAATAGCGGAACTTTGATTTAATGGCATCTTGGCTTCTTGACAGAAATAGTCATGTAAACCAGATTCTTATGGTGTAAAGACTGGAGGTGGAACATATTTGTTTGACACGTGACAGTGATTTTGGCATGGGGTTTAATTGGTTGATAGTGGAAGCTGATTGGTTAATTTCTTTTAAGATTTTTCACCTCCCCACCAGAATCCGTAGAAAAGATAAGTAATTCTTGCTTGTATTAGTCGTTTAAATTTTAAGCTTACAATATTATGTGAAATAAGAGGTTCTGGCAAAACAATATCATCCCTGCTGTCTCATTTAGGTAGCTTGAAGTTCAATTTTCAATATCTGGCGAATTGGTAAGGGATCGTTAACCGGTAATTTGGATACTTTCCCGTGCAACCAGACACCATTTCTAGATTGTTCGATTACGTAAACTTTCCAAATTTTACCATGCCATAAAGCATGATATTGATACGCTTTTTAAATTTAAGCCTAATGACAAAGTAACAGGCAGGTCTATTTCGCATTTAACAAAATTAAGTAGGCGTCATTACTTAAATGTTGATGATCTGTGTTATTCTAAAGTTCTGACAATCAGACATTACTACTTGATATTAATACTCCTACGATACTATCAAATTGGCACTATAATAGTAAAATGAGGTAGTACTATAAACTGCATTGTTACTTTGATTTTCGCCTTTAACAAAATTAAATTGGCGTTTCCCTGTTCCCGCTCATTGCAAGTACGGATACTAAGCCAATGAGTTTCCCAGCCGACTAATTGTTCACTCTCGCAATTACTACATGTGCCATTTTAAAATCGAGAGAGCTATCTTGTCACAATTCTTGCACACAACAGTTTGCTGTATTTTTGAGAGCTTGGCACTTGTGTAAACCACTTTCAGTTCAGTTATGGCGGCCACCAGCACACTATTTTTACATGGTGACATTAGGTTTTTAAAGAAGCCACACGACCGTAACATGTTTACGTTTCTTGACGTCAGACCACCTCATTCCTCTCGAATTGTTGACAGACATTTTGCCTGCCATCCGCGTTATCACAAGTACTTTTTAGGTCACTTCCGATGAGATAACATTCTGCCGAAAAAAAATATGCAATGCCTTTGTTATTATGGGTATAATATGAGTAGGGATCTAATGTTCGAATGTTGTAAATTGCAGCTGCGTCGAATAGTATTTTATTGCTGGAGGTTGAGAGTTGGGTTAGGGTAACGAGATATCAGTAACTGATTCCTTTTATCACTTAATGTGCATATAACGCTGTTTTTATATTATTATGTTATTAGATACTAGTAATGGCTTTGTTTGAAATGTACAAGTAATCTGTACAGTTGATAACGAGACCGTTCTTTGATAAATGGTAATGTTTAAATATAATGAACCATTCTAAAATCTCAATTGATTTCATTGACAAAAGATGCAGTCTGTACTTTAGCAGACCTCTAATACGGTGTTTTAAACATACACATATTTTAAGAACCGCATAACCATAGGTCATGGTCATGAACTGATTTACGAATTTTCATTCTCTTACAGTGGTAACATGGAAGAAGAGGCTGCCGAACTTATTGGTGTAAAACACCTTTCATCCAACAATGGCAGCACAAAGCTGGGAAGCAAAACTGTTTCAGAACAGTTGATGGACGCTGGAAGACGATCAAAGGTCGTAGAAGACGAAGCTGAAAAGAAATTACACGGCAAAAAGATGAGCTATGACGAGAGATGTGAAATCGAAAAAGATTTAAAAAGCAAAGTTAAGTCCATTTTGGAGTCTTCATTTCCTGAGCAGAGAACTACCTTAAAGACACAGATATTTGAGTGTGTGGGGA